TTTCAACAGAATTATATTTTTATGTAGCACTTCTTGCAATCCTCGTATGTCATATCCATTTTATTCATGCTCTACATGCATCCCTAATGTCTTTCCCCGGGTGCTGTTGTACTAACTTTCTCCTGCTCTATGATGTCACCTCTTCTCCAAAAACTTCACCAACTTCTTTGGACATACAGTTGATTTGTTTTTTACTATCATAGACTTGTCTTCATATTGGCAATTCATTCGAAAAATCGATACATGCTGGATGAAACGATACGATATATCACCAGACAAAATATAGTGATACTTTGCTGTATCGATCTTTTCTCCCAACAATAATCATTATTATTGCTGAGGAATGCGAGGTATAAATTGGATAACACTGATCTGTATCAAACAGGTAAATCCGCCAACACCCAACAGATAGCAGAGGCTTTACACTTTTTTTCTTGACCACCCCAAAGGACTGCACACTTCAAATTCATCAATACTCAGTCCCAGAGAAATACTTAATTCTTCCCCAGAAAGAAGTGGATCATCTTTTGAGAATAGTCCGGTCAGTAAATGATCTGTACTGACCAGGTAGAGATTTAACATTTGACCGTTCTACAATTGCACCAATCACATCACCCCTATCTTTGTTTTGTTGTATGACAGTTGTTTAGTTTCCTTAATGACAGGGAATGTGTTAACCTGACAGCAGTGTGATGTGAGGAGCTGCAGACCTGTCAGGTTCACTCATTCACAGGAAACTAAACAACTGTCATTCAGCCTTCTTTAACTTAAATTCCTTTAACCAAACACAACAGTAACAACACCATGTAAGCCAGCCCATTACAGTATGCAAAAGGAAACAAACAAAAACATCAATACAATTCGATGATTCCAGCTAAACAAATTCCTAGCTAGTAAATCTCCTCTCTTGTATGAGTCGAATTGTAAGCTATCATTTACTCTGTTAGAGCTCCAGAGCTGCACTGCAAGACAAGAAAAAAGAAATCATACTTTCAGTTGGAATACTTTTCATTTGTTGTGGTGGCATAAACATAAAATAAAACCCTTTTAACCCTTATCTCTGATACTCCAGGAACTCAGGAGGATCTTCCAGAAATACAACGTCAAGTTCACTTCAAACCCACCAACTCACTGCCGTAGAGGCTGGACAAAACCCCAAAACTCAAAAAGAGCGATGTGGTGTGCTCCATGAAATGCACTGAAGAATGTAGGAGCTTGTACATTGGGGAAACAAAACAGCTGTTACATATCTAGCCCGGGAAGACCTTTGAAAGAGATGTCATGGAGGCCATCTTTGTCAAACTGGACAAAACATTCTTGAACTGAGGTGGTGGACTAAGGCACTTCTTACCCCCCACTTACAAAGTATGTGTAGTAAAACTCTTGAAAAGATAAGCTGTCAAAAGTGAGGTATAACTTTATCTACAATATTATAAAATTTCCCATTTGGGGACAATCTCTCCAACATAATTACAGACACTTGCACTCCTTGCGTCATTTCCTGTCTTTGGTGTGAAGGTCCGAATCTTTAAAAATAATGTTTTTATACTAGGCATGAACCAGACGATGGTTCAGTTTGGTCCAGATCGAGACCACCTCTTTTGGTCCAGACCAAGGTCCTGGGGGGTGGGGTGGGGGGGCACTGAAATGGACACAAATGAAAATTTGCTGTCAGGAGCTTTAACTTGAATCTACCTGTGAGCAGATCATACCCTCTGTAAACTGAGCAATTTACAATCAGAAAGATCTAAGTGGAACAGGTGAAGCGATCATATAAACCCACCTGAATTTTGAGTACTGATGGAGACCAATGTTTTTGACAGTGTCAACAGGAAAGTCCCTTTTTCACAGATTGATTTGAGAAAACCTGTGATCAATTTGACCCCAGTGTTGTTTTTCTTATTGAAAATGAATTAATGTTATTATGAGGATATGACCAATCAGACCAAAGCCAGATCAAATTTCAAAGAGCCAAGTAAAAAGGACAAAATAAATGAAAAAATGAGGCATTTTAACACCTGAGAAATTTAAGTGGCTAACCTATGGTAGATTTACACTACAGGCCAAAAGTTTGGAAGCAAGGCCATTACAGGCCGAACAGTTGGGAGTAACTTCAAGTTTTTGTTCACAATGCTTTTTTTAAAATCCAGCATGAGTTTTATGTATTTTGGGATGTATTTACTCCATGATCAGATGTTGCTTTCATGGAAATGCACCATTTTACTCCATTTACCTTTAGATATACATTGATGTTAACAGACCATTGCTAAATATATGTCAGCAAAAGATAATAAGGGCTTAGTTTTAGGGTTAAAAACATTTGCAAGAGTCACAACTTCAGTGCAAAAGCAAAAAAACAAATCACAGTTGGATTATTCACTTCAACTTTTTGGCTTTTGAGAGTCTCCATACAAAAATCCTAATAAAGAGAAATTGCAAAACATGTAAAGGTGTTTAACAAAGGAGTCCACTACACTCTGAAGAGACTAGAGGAACCTGAAAGTTATGATAATAGAAAAAGACCTGGACGAAAGAGAGTTACTACAAAAGCAGTGGATAAACAGAGCATTGTCACCAGTAAGAGTGATCAGCGAAAAACAGCACCAAAAATAAGGGAGGAAATCAACATGACAAGGTTGAAACCCATATCTCTTACAACCGTGAAATGACGTTTGAGAAAGGCTGGTCTAAAGGGTTGTGTATCTGCAAAAAAACACTACTTCGTCCACAGAACAAGAAAAAGAGATATGAGTGGGCAAAAGCTCACAGAAATCGGACTTATGATGACGAGAAACAAGTTTGCACTGTTTGGTTCAAAGAGTCTATGTCCCTAGACAAACTGGTGAACGTCTGAAAGCACCACGTGTTACACCCACAATTCAGCATGGAGGTGGTAGTTCCATGGTATGGGGATGTTTTGCAGGTGATGGAGTAGGAGATTTGTTTGAAGTAAAGGGTATCATGAAGAAGGAACAGTACCACTCCCTCTAGCACCATGCCGTTCCATCTGGACTCAGACTTGTGGCTCATAAGTTTGTTTTGCAGCAAGACAATGACCCTAAGCACTCTGCCAAGCTCTGTCAGGGTTACCTAGACAAAAAAGAAGAGGAAGGTGTTCTTCAAAAGATGGTTTGGCCCCCTTCAGTCTCCAGACCTTTCTCAATTGAGAGTGTGTGGGATGAATTGGATCGATCGGTCAGAAAAACGCATCCCATGAATCAGCAGTCTCTTTTTAATGAACTTAAGAAAGCTTGGAATGCAATCCCTGGAACATACCTTAAAAAACTTGTGAAACGAATGCCTGGTATTTCCAAGCTGTTGTTAAAGCCAGAGGAGGTAACTTTAAAGAAAGCAAAGTCTAAGCAACAATAACTCAAATACCTAATAATTATAGTCAAAATGTCTTCTGATAAATTACTCTTTACACAACAGTCATGTTTATTGTGTTGCAAATTATATATATGAAACTATGATCTTTTTTTGTACAAATCTGATCTTGCTTCCAAACTTTTGGCCTGTAGTGTATATGATTTGTATCACAAAATCTGATTGAGGTGCCTTTCACTTCCACATTATATCCTTAAAAAAAACCTTTTCTGTGAACCAGAATCTGAGCTGCTCTTTGCTTCTCAGAGGTCTGGTCTTAAATTAAACGCCCCTGCTCCATGTCATCTCCATGAGAGAGGAGGCAGTGGACCAGTTTAAGGGGCCAGTTAGGGAAGGCTATGGGCTAAAGATGAAAATTATTCAGCCTAGTGGCAGAAGTGCTGCCCGGCATTATAGGGTTTATAGGCCCAGGGCAGAGTTTGTTTTACGTCCTGCCGGAGGAGGTGTTGACAGGAGCGAGTGATGTAGGAGCAGGAGGGACAGACTTATTATTAGGCCTGGCCTTGCTGAAAGTGAGTGTTGGGGTTGTGATGGTGGTGGATGGGTTTAGCCTGCACATGGAGAGATTAGGGAGGATGCGGGTCGGAGGAGCATATAACACCTCAAATTGGATTTGTCTTCAGGGGCTGCTGGTCGGGGTCCACTTGGCCTGACTGTGTGGAGATCAATGGCTCCATTGGACCTAATGGATGCCAGATAGGGCTGTTTCTGATAAGAGAGGAGTATCAGCTATAGTGGAAGAGATTCAAGCTTGGTTAACTTTGTGTTTAAAAGAGCTTCTTCTCTCACTGTGGGTGAAAACACATTGTTTTTCAGCATGTACACAGGCAAAAGCGGCGGAGCATTCAACCCCTTGCTTGCTTGTCACGAAAACCCGAATGTTCAATTTGGTATCACACAGGTTGGAATCTCTGCAGCCGGTGGCGTGCTGTTTCGCCATCAGATACGGATCAGGGCTTGGTTTTGGCCTCGGAGGCTGTGGAGAGGAGTTCAGACTTGAGATAGCGTGTGTGAGGAGGGAGGAGGGAGATGTTGAAGCAGCAGGAGGAGAAAGGCAGGCGCCGTGTTCTCAACACCGAGGCCGTATCTGCCCCACTTCCTCTAAAACCACGCTGTTCCAGTACAGAATAGCACAGTATGAACAACGGCGGAAGTTTTACCTTGGGACCTGAGCATAACCTGGGGCAAACAGAGGGGCCTGCATGTTTTTAAAACAACATGCCAGCGCTGCATAACACACAGTAACACCAGAAGGAGGCAGAAATAGTAGACTGCAAGCTCTCTGTCTTCATAGAAGGAGCATTAATCCTCACAGTGGCTCCCATCTTTATTCATTCATCTGCCTGTGGTGTCCACTCAATCAGTCACTTAAAGGCTGGCCCGACGGCGCAAGCCCTCCTCACCCACACACACGGGGAGCAAAGAGGAGAGGGGGCAAAGGAGGGGAGGTGATGCTTCAAAACCTGCGGAAGCAGACACTGCAGCACGAAGATACAAACAGAGTGGGTTGGGGAGGAAGAGGAGGAGATGTGAGGAGGCTCTTTTAAATAATGAGGGAAAGAGATGGAGGAGAAAGGGGGGAAACAGAGTAGAGGGGTGGGAGGGAGGCATGGGACAACTGGAGGTGAAAAGAGAGTGTATGAAGAGTGAGCGGGGTTCAAAGTAAAGAGGAGGACGAGAACCGTCAATATCAGGAGCGAGTTGATGGGGGGAAAGATCCACGACGACGACAACACCTCCACAGACTACCGAGGTGTGTGAGTGTGTGTGTATGAGAGAGGGAGGAGGGAGTGTGTGAGAATTGGAGAAGGGGAGGGATATCCACTGCACTGTTGTGTGACTGGAAATTTAATAGAGAGAGAGGGAGGGAGGGAGGAAGGCAGGAAGGCAGCAGGGGAGGGTAGAGGAAGGAGCAACGCAATGTAAAAGCAGTGAGTGGGAGACAGTTGTTGGAATAACAGAGGAGTGGGGTACAGTGCTGGACCCTCTCTGCAGAGTATCGGGGGGCTGTGTGTTTGTTTGTGTGTTGTAGAGGGGAGGGGAGGGGGTGGTTTAAGTGAGTGGGAACATAAAGTGCTAAAAGGAGGAAATAGACCATGCAGAGAGGAACAGGTTGGACCCCCTGTTGCTGCATCCAGACTTAACATGCCAGGGTCACTCCTTATGTTATTCCCCGTGTAAATCAGGCTCGTGTGTGTGTGTGTGTGTGTGTGTGTGTGTGTGTGTGTGTGTGTGTGTGTGTGTGATGGAGCAAAGCTGTGAAGGAGATACGTGTGATACATGTGTGTGTGTGGAAACACGTGTCCATGTGTGATGGAGAGTCGGCGCCGAGGTGCAAGGGATGTGAGAAAGGAGCGATCCTCCAAGTCTGGATATAGAACGTTATCAATCCAGCACTAATCACGTCTGACTCCCCCCACCCTCACCCGCTCTCTCTCACTCTCTCTCTCTCTCTCTCTCTCTCTCTCTCTCTCTCTCTCTCACTCTCTGTCTTTCTCCCCTCTTTTATACTTCTATCTGACAGACACTCCCCCACTAACTTACCCACTCCACTCACACATGTTGATACCCTGAGGTGCTGATTGACAGCTGCACCCTGATTACAACTTTAACCTTAACCTGGCCTTAACCCCCACTCATCTCCTCGCCCTCCAAAGGGAGTCTTTGCTAAACTGCTCTCACTTGAGATCAATAACTGAATTCTCACGTTCATTAGAGCAGAATTTCCTCCATTGGTCTCCTTTGGCTCCTCCCCCTTCAGCTCAGCCGGTCAATCTTTTACCACCTGTACCTGCCCTGCATTATATTGTGTCTGTGTACCTCAAACATAATGACTAAAGCAACAATAGAGGGCACATCCAAAGAGGCAGCTACTGCTGTACAGGTGTGGCTCCATCAGCATTGTGTGCTTGAGCGTTGCCAAGGGAACCGGCCAAGCAGCAAATGTTCCCTGTAACAAGCTGTAAACACTACCATCACCATATTACAGGGATTATATGAGCATATGTGGATGAAAACATGTGTGAGTGACTCAGGGGGAAACTAAACCTGATTACTTTTATTATTTTGGGCAGTAATTTTGAGGAAAGGGTGGAATTTGTCATTAGATGCAACATTTTGCATCACAAAGGATGGACCTCACTATATGAATAAGGATGTAATTAGACTGTATGCAGTTGTATGTTAGCTGTATGTTATGTCATCTAATTTTTGCTTATCAATATTTGAGTCTTTGCTATGGGCTGTCTGGGTCTTGAGTGCAAAGCGCATACTGATGCGACTGCTGAATGCAACAGCGTCAATGTTAATTTTCTGCGCAGAACACAAAGAAAATGAATGCTGAGCAAAAAGAGTAAAGTTCAATAATCCGTGTCACCCCCCGCAGCAGCAGCAGGAGCAGTGTAACGTAGCGTCGCCATCGTCCAGTGGCTCCATCCACCTGAAGATTTCCGAGACAGTTCTTATTACCAGTGGTGGCAGCGCAGCACTTGCAAAGGGTGAATCAATCTGTGTGTGTGTGTGTGTGTGTGTGTGTGTGTGTGTGTGTGTGTGTGTGTGTGTGTGTGAGAGAGAGAGAGAGAGAGAGAGAGAGCGAGAGAGAGGGAGGGAGAGAGAGAGGAAGAAGACAGCGTCGGCGGCGGCTCTGCAGTGGAATACGCTCCTATTTGAGGGGAAGGTGAGAAGCTCTCGGAGTACCCGACCAACCAGCCAGCGTGTGCGGAGCAGGAGAAGACGTGAACGCAGCATCATGAGATAAAAAAGGTGAGTCTATCGATGACATTGACTGTGTCATTCTGTCATGTTTGTGTGCTACGCATGTTTGTACGTGTGTGTGCGTGCGGGTGCGTGCCAGTTTGTGCATTCGTGCTCAACAAACAAGTAAAGCGCTGGGATGGAAATCCGCATTTATGACCTGATATGTTGTGTGAACTGCCCTCGTGCGTATAATCTGGTATCGGCCTCCCGCCTCACCGACTGCACAGCTGTGATCTCCAGGAATTACATGTATGTATGAGGAGACCGTGCGCGTGCGTTTGCACGTGTGTAGGGAATAAACTGATTTGCATGATCTGATTTGTTTTTGTTATTTTTCTTAAAGAAAACTTTTCCTTCAACCTTTGAGCGTTTTGTTGAAAACTTGTTTGTTTTTCAGTATTAATGTGAACATAACCTTGGCGATAAGAGGAGCATTCACTGTAGCACAAGCTGTTGACAGGGCTTACTGTTTGATCCGGCCAACGCACAGCTTTCACTCAAATCAACTCAATTAAACATCCCTAATCTGGACCGTTTACAGACTTAATGTGTGTGATGCGGTCCGGTTAACCCCCCATTCGGCCCCCAATTGATGACCCCAGATCTGTGAAGGGAAAAATGCGCAGCCACCTTGCGGCTTATGCGCGGTGGGTTAAGCTCTGAGTCAGAGCCTGGGGGCCCCTCCGGCTGAGAACAAGGAGCGGATAGATTAGGACTGATGAATGAAGATCTACTGCCTCTATCTGCAACACAATGATACGGTTATGAGAGGATTTAAATGCTAATGTGCAGTGTTTCAGAGAAATCCGAATGGGGCTGAGGACTGGCGGGAGGAGATTGCTGGCAAGTGTGTGTGTGAGTGTGAGCTCATGGACCAGCTGGAAGATCTCCGGAGTTTTATGATAGAGAGAATAAGTTATTAATGGGGTGTTGGAAGGTGAAGTGGGGCACTGGGGCAGGATTAGACAAGAGAGGGGGAGAGCTAACTGTGTGTAGCCTGTGGGCTCAAACAAGAGGGGATGTGGGGGTATGGCCGCCTCCAACACGAAGTTTTCTCAGATTTGCATGCGAGGAAGGAGGAAGATGATGGAGAGTTTTAAAGGGGATATGGAGGAGGCATTTCTGTGTACAACAGCTGTTGCCATTTACTGTTTTGTCACCCCACAGGCTTATTTTTGCCTTTGTTTAATTCTCTATCCCTACACTATTTATTGATGATTACAGCACCTGTAAGTATAAACAGGATGTAGCTTCACCACCAAGCGATGACCATGACACATACCTTTTATGCAGCCTTTCACAGCATCATCTTTCCACTGGATCCAGAAAAGGCCTGCAGACAAAAAGAAAGTGAAGAAGGATTTAGGGGAAATTCTGTCTGTCATGGATTTGTCATTTAAATTTTTGTTACCCCCACAAGCAGATTAAGCACTTGTTTTTTGCTGCCTGAATTTTATACCCTCAGATTTTTATTCATGCACCTGTGTTCGATTTAAGGCTTGTTACAGTACCCGTAAACTTCGAAGCCTTCAAACGAGCACTGACCATGACACATATCATTTATGAGCTGCATTTCATAGCATTTTCTTTCTATTACATCCAAAACAGGCCTGAGGATGTAAAACTTTAAGAGGGTTGTAAGTTTTTATGCTGCCTGTAAAAGTATGTGTTTTATCCAATCATATTGTGGGCTTTATGTCTGAAAAGTGCAGGAAAAGAGGCTCCTCTTCAGGCTGATCATGAACTGTGTACAACACCAAGCAGTCATTGCAAGGCCCTGGCTTCATAAGGTGGCTGTCACATAATATCACAGTTAAAGGCAAGGTCCTCCAGCTCAGGGCAGGGCTTCAAAATATCAAGATGTCTCACTGCTGGGAAAAAGAGGCCAAAAAGGCAGAGGGATCTGTCGGCCTTGAACTTTGGAGCTGCCCTCTTTGTCCTTTGTGCGACCAAAGTGTTAAATAAAGTAGTTTTAAACAATGACTTTATATAAATATGGACAATGCACCACAATGTTCTCCCATTGTTAAACAAATGAAGCCAAAATACTGCCTTTAGTTGGGCACTGACCGAGGCTTTCATCGTCAACTAAAACTGACAGAAAAACAAAACAGAAGTGCTGCCAATTGATACATTTTAAATCAGATCAATCACAGGGCTGCTGTGGATTGATTTTGATTAATATCACTCATTTCTAATTTATATTAGTAGTTTAATCTATATTATTTTCATTTTGCTTGAAAAGAGAGAACTTAGAAAGCAAGAGTGCTAGCAGAATCCTTGACTAACTTTGCGTTCATGTGGTGTCTTAAGCAGGAAGTGTCTCAGTAAAATGAAAACTTCTTCCTGCAGAGAGTGAAAAATACTTCACACGGATCGACTGTTATGCCTTATTTATTTGTAGTCAGATTTGCTATCCACATGCGGTTTTGTGTCTTGCATGTTTGGAGCCTGTCACTACCCGATCAACTGCCCGTTTACGCATGTGTGAAGGTAACACTATCTGTCCAAATGCGTCATCAGGGATGTTTCAGGCATTTTTAGTCATTCTGTGCTGCAGATGGGTTAATTGGGTTAAAATTTCAAATCAGATTAATCATGTTGATGGATCAATCTGCGTAATTTTGCGTTAATTTTGACAGCCCCAAAAAGATGAGGAACTTTATTCATCACCGTGGAGAGATTCAAAAGGTCAAAAACATTTCCGTGTGTTTAGATAAACGTTTTTAAAAACTTTTGTAAAAGTAACTGAAATTGTCTTTCTGATTGATTAACACATGTCAAACCTGCTGCTCTTCAAAGTTAATTTCCTGCTAATTTTTCCTGCTCAGAAATATGCATCTTTTGTTTTCAGGACATCTACTTATTTGTCTTTAAGTGTATACTCAGCTGTCAGCAGAACTGTCCATTGAGCATGGCGTCATTTGCTGCTGAGCAAAGTTGCAAAGGGGATATGTACCGACAAGCTGGGGCGCATCCAGAGTACCTGACTGGGGTGGCTGAACTGGGGCACTGACTGTGTATGTAATCCTGCACAGCAATAAACAGCATTTATCGTTACGGTTAATTTGAACATAACTCCTGTGATGAGAAGGCAGATATCCAGATGAAATGATATTTTCAAGTGCACCTTTTTTAGTTTTCTTTTAAAGTGAAAAATCTGATGTGTACTTCAATCTCATTACACAGACACAGAGCCCCCCCCCCCCCCCCCCCAAAAAAAAAAAAAAAAAAAAAAAAAAAACCCTGTAAATTAAGGATTGTATTGTGGCTCAAAGCTAAAACAAAAAACTCAAAATACAAGAGCATTTTACATCAACAAAAAAAGGTTGAAAACAAAAGTACAAAACAAGAAATTTTCATGGTATTCTAGTTTTATGGCATTCTAGTTTTATGGGATACACTAGTATTTTCATATTCTGGTTTGACCCATGTCCTTCCCTCATTGGGGGTTTTATGTTGTCTCTTTCAAGGTTTATAGCCCTTTTTTCCATCGGCTCTAAGAGGTTTAAGTATCAAAAAAATGGCCCCTTGAGAGTGCAGCAAAAACACACCAGGGGAAAACTATGTTTAATAACTATGACCTGGAAGGGGGGACATCCACCCAACAACTTGGGTCAACTCTTGGGTCATTTTCACTTGGGTCCTGAAGAATCAGAGTCTTGACCCAATATATTATTAAAATTGAACAATCTTCAATTCACCCAGAAAGGTTAACACAGATTAGTTAATGGGGTCCAGGTGGAATAGTTTATTCAGATGATTCCCCTTTTTATGGAGTGTGCAGCTGTACCCTGCTTAACATGTAGACTTTTCTTCCAGTGGTGTTGGTCACAAATGTAGTCGATAAAGGTGAGCAAAGGACAGTCAACCCTCCAAGGAAGCTGAAATCCTCCAGCATCCTTTTCATGATAAATGGACCTGATCTGCAGCAGAGCCGCAGTCGAATACATCATGAAGAAACTTCTTCAGTGCTCCCAGCTTGTGGTCATCTTCCTAATTTTAACTGTCAACCGTTTCTTTAAACACGCTGGCATACATGCCACAAAAAATGTGTTTCCTCCTTCCTGTGTCACAAATTAAGCACTGGCTGAGCGATTTCAGTCATTTGAGGAATCAGGCAAGGCAGCTCTTTAATTTCTGAGGCACACCACTTATGCATGTCTGATGAGCTTGATGAAAACAAGCAAGCAGGTTAACAGGGACATGGTAAATTACACCTGCACACCTGGCCTAGAGGGAAGGTGTGACTTTGAGATAATGCTCAGCCCCCCTCCCTCATTTGGCTTGAAACTGTAGAGCTACTGCTGACTATTTCCAGAGGGGGCGCACTTCAGTCTCCACTAATTCTCCATAACAACAAGGGCAAAGTTAAGTATATATTCCTTTCTCCCCCAAAGGCCCAGTACAACACAATGTCAGTGATCTGTGCATCTCTGAAAAGAAGGTCAGGATGCTTTCAATCTGCTCTGCCTTTCCTCGTACCCTTACTGTACCTCAAAGGACTACATTAATTCTGAGGGACGTCTTTGCTGCTAAATTAGATGCAATGAGAGTAACTGTTGCCCTAAATATGGTTTCTGTGTGTGCACATGTATATATGCCATACACTTGTTTCCTAGCATGTTGGAGAAAGCAAAAAAGGGACGAGGACTATGGATGACAGTAAAACGACTCTAATCAGAGCAAGCTGGTCGCTGATCTCTTCATGGGGCAGAGCTGTCATTGATTGATTGCCGTACGACTTGCTGATGTACACAGGTTGAAGGGTAAAGGGAGGGTTGCTGATCTGCCATGAGAGGCTAACCTCCAGTTGTCTCTTAAAAATGCGGCAAAACGAGCCTTAAATCGACTTGACATGTTGGTTTCTTGTTGGGATGGGGGGGGGGGGGTTCAATTTTTAATTTCAAAAAACGTTCAATCTATTTGAAAAGTCTAAATATGGTTTCCATTTGTTTTTAGCTTTACCATCTGCTGCTATTATTGTATGACATCCAGCTGCTTCACACAGTTGCAACGAGGGGGTTGTTGGTCTTGGCTAGCCCGTCGCAATGCAAACTTAGCAAGCTAGCAGTCTGTGTGTCTGTATGTCTTTGGATTAACAAGAAATTCGGTTGGAAAGTAAGCATATTGCAGCTTCTGGAGTTTGAAGAAATGAAACAGCTGTCAACACCAGTACACACTGAACATCTTTATACACTTTCCAAATCTGAAAAAGAATGTTGATATCTACTTTCATTTTGTTGACATAGGCCTGCACCCCTGTGTGGTGAGACACCCTCCTCTGTTAGGGATATTGTGACAGCCCCGTGGGATAATCTGACTCCAAGGTGTACAGCTTCTTTTTATGCAAAAGTATCTAGAAATTGCTACTGATTGACAGTAATCTCCATGAAAAAGCAACAACTTGCAACAACAAGTTTTTATTGAAATCAAGTTCACAGTAAAAATATAGGCAGCCGGTCCAAGCATTCCTTTATATGCTAAAGTATATTCTTCACTTTGTTAAACCTGAACTTAAAATCTTTACATGTTATAGCTAAGTTACTAAAACATGTGACTTCATTTTTGTAAGATTAGCACAGCACAACTCTCAAATTTTGTGTCGGTTAATTTATTGTAATAATGTGAAAAAAAAAATCAGAGGCTGCATAAACTCAAATACATTTTACTTTGATGACATACTATAAAGCAATACAATACATTAAAAACAAGAAGTTATTTGATTCCCAAAGGGATAAATTAGTTTGTCTGGAATCTCATCTCATCTGCTATGTATAGAAGAAGGAAACAGTCTGATGGCTGTGGGTTGAAGTGAGAGGAGCTGTCCATTACCTTTGGCCCATCAAGGAGTTATGAAGTGGATGATCCATGTCTTTCAGAATGAAGTGTGTGAGTGAAGTTTGTGTGTTAGTGCCTTAAGATGTTGAGTCTGTATCCTAGCAACAGTATCATGGAGAACATCACACGGAACACAGCCATTGCCTTGGGTGGGATTTATACAAGTATTGTTATGATATGACTGAATTCCCTAAGGACATAATATGGACGAAGGGCAACTGCAAACAGTTCAATATCTGGACAACAATAATGATAATGATAGATCACAGCAAACTGAAATTAATCCTAAAAGAAGACCCCATTATCTTACAAGAGAAGCAGGGATTGGTTTGCATTGTGAAAAGATTTTGAATAAAAAAAAATTTTAAAAAGTGAAAAAGTGGGATATCAAACGATTCAGATCTTCTCGGTTTCTTGCCTTGTGTCTTAATTTGGGTCGATCTGGAGTTTTGTTTTTGTGCATTACATGGCACAGTTTGACTCTGGGTAACCACAGGGGCTGAGAAAGCATGAGCACTGACCCGAAGCTGGCTGTGATGGTGAGGTTGATATAATTAGCCCTGATTGGTTTGATTGAGCCTCCTGTCCATGCCTGGGTGTTGGCCCTTTGAGGGATCTTGATGCTGTCTGGGCATTAATTATTGAGTAAATTGGGGAGAATGGTGATGGTTAATGATTCAAAATAAATGTTATAATCTATTAGAATGGACATAATTAGAAATGTCCAGATTTTCCTCTGAGAAACATATTCTCGTCATGACCTCAAGTGGACAGGGATGCCTAAAAAATGAACTGAGGCCATTCCTTCTCCGCGTCTCTCCTCATGAGTTCATGAATGCATCTTGGGAGAGCAGGCTGGTGATGCTTGGCCAAATATCTGATCACTTGTTGGTAAAGATGGACCAAATAAGGAAGTCATGGCCATAAGTCAGGCCATGGTTAAGTTTGTGCTGTTGGAAATGAGCTGGCCAGAGAGAGGGGTCAGCCCTGCGTGTCTGATATTGAGTTTGGCAAAGAGGAGCGATATTATCTTCCCCTGGTTAGATTAAGTATTAGTAAATGTGATTGGGTAATGAAGGCGGTCAGGCCCCAGTGACCACAATGCTTTGCAGCGACTGCTGGCTTGGCTGCATCCAGGCGCTGAGTCTTGAGGGAGTTTGTTTCGGGTCAGTGACGGCATAAGAGCTCAATACAACATTGCAGAGTCAGGCTGGGGCCTTTCCTCTGTCTGCCTGGCTGACTGGCTGCCGAGCTGGAGGCACAACTGTAGTGGCATACTGATGCTGCTGCTGATGAGGATGACAGTGTAAATATTGAGGATGCAGATGCAAAGAAACAGAAGCAGAAAACATATTACAGCCCAGACGAGCGGACGAGTGTGATGCTTAACAGTTTGTTGTTTCATCCTTCCTTGTGATTCAAGCATGATACAAACAGGTTGGTCTCAGACTCATGGAGAGAAGTGTGGGCACACTGTTGCACACGTAATCAAACATCTTTTATGGATCCGGTTGGGGAGGTTGTTGTATTTTTAGGGGGGAGATGGTACTAATGTCACGGCAAGATGGTGAAGGCGGTCCCTGGAGGCCGCTCCAGCCACAAAGGAGGTAGTTAGTGAAGCTCTGCGCCATTGCTGTGATGAATCACGCATCAGTTTTTTACGGTTAGGACGATTACTCTCCGTGCCGTCACGTGAGCTCGTGCATGCTTTCAGTGTTTGCTCTCCCACTCCCCGGACTCTCTATGATATCTATAGACTGTTGACTCAGTTGTACTTGTATATTTATATATTTTGCCCCTCTTGCACTTTTCTTCCCGTGATATCTTTGTGTTGGGTGGTGCAACTGTGCGGCATTCGGGCTCAAATTTCCTCGTGTGGACAATTGAAACACATGCTGTTAATTGAAATAGATACAACACTGTAGGCAAGAGAGTTTGGATTTGTTCGTTCTGTTGAAATAGAGGAAGTATAGAAGCTGTTAGAGCTTATTTGGAGCTTTCAAAGCACTTTTCCTTCTCAGTCGTGTACCTGTGTTGACCCAAGTCTAATAATAAATCAATCCAACCTGCAGTTATCAATTGTTCTGGCAGCTATCAGTCACTGCTTTGCTCAGAAACACTGTCACATGAACCATTTTCAACACGGATTCAGGGCCTTCTCCATCACACTGCAGGGTTTACCGAACTGACGCCCCGCTTTGAGAGCTTCAGAGCGGGGCCTGTGGACGTCCCGAGCCCCCGCCGACGTGACGGAAACACGCAAGATGGTGAGTGGTTACTATGGCAGGTTACTATGGCAACCTCAGGTCTCTGTGAGAGCTTCCATTTCGCACAGCGTGGGAGAGAGGGAGAAAGAGGGAGAGATGGGTGGAGAGAAGGACCTGCAGAGAGAAGAAGGGTGGAGAAATCAGCAGAGGAGGTGAGGTGTGGAGATAAACATGCCATAGGTGTAGAAAAGGGAAGAGAAGGAGTGAAGTGAAGAGGAGTAGATGCAGGGGAGGAAGGAGGGAGGGGTAGTAAGAGGAGAGGGGTGTTAAGGAGACAAAGTGATGGAAAGGTGTGAGTGATGGGGTGAGGCAGAGGTGTGAGAGGGGCAGATCGAAGGGCAGGAGGGGGGGATCATGTAGCTCCTTCAGAAACCGCGTTACAGTGTTACGTCTCAGCACTCCTTTGTGATTGTACCATTGCTTCACACAGTCTTTCCTCTCTTTATCTTTCCAATACTTTTCTTCTTCTTCTCCTCCTTCTTTTCGTCTTTCCTCTCCCTCACCTCTCTGATTTAGTTGGAAAGACGCTCGGCTGCGAGAGACTTTGTGTCAGTCTTGGTGACTAGTCTCCATGGAGACGTCCATCAGTCAGTCCGTGTCAGTTGTTTCTTGGGCAAAGCCTTATCGTGTTTGTCAGTGTGAGTGTTTATCTGTCTGTGTATTAGTCAGAGTGTCACTCATAGAGAAAGGCAGGGCCAGGCCCTGAATGGATGGAGTCCAAGAGAGCGTTGCTTATCAGGCATGCATGCACACACTGTTGGTTTGCTTGTTTGATTTTTTTTTTTGTGTGTGTGTGTGTGTGTGTGTGTGTGTGTGTGTGTAAAAACAAGCATTTAGCACAAAAAACTGTAGGGTCCAACGTTCATACAGCCATTTGATTTTGAGATGCACAGATTCATCCACCTTTACACTTGTTGCATCACATGTGTGATGTGTCAGTGTGTGCGCCTTTTTTCTCTGTATAAATCTTCATTAAACACTGATCGGTGTCATCCTCTAAAACTGCAAACTGCTGCTGATGTCGCACATCTCCTTTTTCCTCTGCATATCTTTAATTTCATCTCCTACATTTAGTGTAATCACTTTTGACTGCAACATTACACTGTCACAACACTGCAATACTGATTCACTGCAATAACATCTCTCCTCTGTTTATCCTGTTCTCATACTGTTGGGTAGCAGTGTTTCTTATTCCTGAACAAGAATGAGTTGTGGTGGTTACACAGAGGATATGCTCTTTGCAGAGCTTGAGGTGTATGATCAACAAGTCAATACAGTTATGTTTTAAAAAAGAAACTGTATGTTAACATAAAATGAATAAATGAAATTGCATGTAAAAAGCTCAGTTTTCCATTCCAGCTTCAAATGTTCAGATTTCTCCCATTGGGAAGGATGCAATGCTCATTTTCACTCCTATGCTGTGTAAAGGTGGAAAATGTGTGTTGATCAATGCTCAGGAGACAGGATGAGATCTGGGGAGCAGGCTGGGTGATGAAATCGGTACAGTTGACAAACAGAGTCAAGACCAAAGTCTTCAGAGGAGCCCCAAACTCTTGTATTGCAAGTGTGACTCTCTCATCTTGCCTGTTAACCAGATGCCCGGGAGGTTAGCCAAGGACATTCCATATTGTTTTGAAAGCAATAGAACATTAATACTTCTGGGAACACTCAACGTAGCTTTCCCGGTAATCACCAGGAAATCTGGGAGTACTTGTAATCAAATATAGTACTTGTACTACAAATATTTACAAGACCGATCCTCCAAATATCTCAGCCTAGTATAAACCATTAATATAACTGTCTATAATTTCTACACAAAGGCCCTAATCGCAGATCTAGTCACACTTGCTGTGATGGTCACTGTGCTCTGCTAACATCATGTATTATGAATTTATATGCTGGTTACTGAGCCCATTATTGATCAAGTAGAATTACTGATCATCCCTACCTGGTTATAGATGAAACATCTGCAATGAATTATGAATAACATGGGAGAGTAGGGATGAGAATTGATAAGATTTTATCTGTATTAATGCTGTTATCGATTCTGCTTATCGATTCAATTCTTTAATGATTCCCTTATCAATGCCTTTCTTTGATTAAAAAGTAGACTATAGGTTTTCACTGTTAACTCAAAAATTTATTGAGTCTCTAAAAACAGAAAAGGATTTATGCCACCTTCAGTGAGAGTCTAAAAACAACCAAATGACAAACTATTTGTACAGCATTTACTTCATTCAGTATTAAGTCAAATACAAACCACATTGTTAAGTCTGGCATGTATTGTGCTTTTGTTAACACAGGACATACGTACCTCACATGCTGTGTAGAAGTGGAGCATGTTGCTAGTGTTTCCACCTTCGCATGTTATGACTGTTGTCTTTCTTAGTAAAATGAAGCCATGCTTTAGATTGTTTCTGCCTACCTTTTGTAGCGTCCGTTCCTCAAAGTCTCTGTTCTCAGTCGCTGACTGGCTCTCACGAGACCTTTTTTTCAAGGCCCCTGGAAGAAAGGAATCATTAAGATAAAATATAAAGTGTGTATGAAACATAATAGCTATTTAATGTCAAATATCGGAAGTATATATACCATCGACTGTATATGGAATGGACAACATGGCTTTGCCTCCCATCATTGTATGAATTTGACACCAAATTGCTCTCGGTTTTTACAGGATTTTCTCTGCCTCCTGGAACTGGCGGGAGAGTCGCTGTGGTAACGCTCTGCTTAAAGAGTGTACCTCCTGGATGTTTAATGCAATCCTCTTACATCCATAGGCTATATCTCTCAAAAATGGAGCTGCACCAACAGAAAAAGGAGGACTTGAGCTCAAACCAGTCTAACAGTAACTACATATCCACATCACAATGGGGGGCTATCCCCTTCTCCTAGTTTGCTGGAGGAGGCGGGGATTATGACCTATACTGCAACCAGTCACCAGGGGTGCTGGCTGTTCTTGTGGTGGTTTTACCCAGTGAGAAGGCAGAAGACGTCCATTCTATATACAGTCTATGGTATCAACCTGTAATATGAAATATGCAAAGTTTATTAAACTATGACATAAACCATCAAAACATACATTAGATTGTGTGATAAGAAATATTCATGTTCACTTACTTCACTGTGTTACCATAGCTAAGATCACCTGGTGTTATATCATCAGCATGTTAGAGTCACAACCCTGTTGGGCTGTATTTATCTACAAGGAAAGATTCTTACAGCCCTGTGCCCTGGTGTTACAACATCACTTTTTTCATAACACAATTCTCAGCTCTGGTAATACCATTAGTTATACAGGTTTTGTAACAAACACCTATGATTAATACAACTAATGCAATTAATGTGACTTCAAATTAACAAGTCAAACACTGTAAATGAAACAAAAACACATGGATTCAGTTCAACATTTCTAACACTCTAGATGAGACAGATATATTGTTTGTGTTACTCAGAGGGCTCTATTTTTGTGTCTGCCGGGGACGCGGCGGACCCCGCGCAGTGGTATTTATGTCTGGCAGAGCCTGGCGTACAGCCAGTTTGGTATTTTCATGGACTGAGGCGCACCGAAGTCCGCCAAGCTGGGCATGTTGGCGTGGCAGGGGGAGGTGTCGACAGAATCAGCTGGTGCAGTGACATTTTCGTGCTCTGAAAGACCAAAAGTGCGCTGAAAGCTCGCCGATTCAAACCTGGTCAGCTTTCATTGCATGCGGAGCGCAGCTGGTCTAGTGGTATTTTGGTAGACCAGCGGCGTATCGGCATACATCACTGATGCCTCACCTGCAGGTTTTCACAGTGTCAGGCACATTTCAGTGCATTAAATAATCATCAACAACTAATAATCTGAGTCAGTACATACATTTAGATCTATATAGATATATTCTTATCTATATCTGATCTGATTTGGCACACGTTTGGACACACAACCTGACCAAATCAACACAGCTGAAACCGCATTAAATTAAATATCTAGTAAATAAACACACATGATGAAGTGAACAAGATATTTCGTAATAATAATATAAATAATATAATAATTCGTCTCCCTCCTTTTCTTTCTTCCTCTTCCTCTTATTCCTCATGAAGCTCGACCTGGACATGTCTCCATGTCCTCTCCCCGTCCTGCTGCAGCGGCTGAACAGATGATTTGTTTCAGTGATCAGATGAGTTTTTTACTTTAAGCCTACATAAGAATATTATAATATTCAGTTTTGTGAGCCAAATTTATTTTATATGCCAACATCTATGAAAGAAAGAGCCAGGCCACAGAGCGCGATGCGTTATTTACGCACAGATGGTTCCGATTTTAATGCCATTATTGGAATTTATGTTGTGATCTGTGCGCACAACCCACCTTTGTCATGTGAGGTTTAAATATGTGCAACTTTATGTGAGTGTCTTTATTTGTGGAAAAGGGTGTTTGTCTTACTAGTGGGTCCAACATTACAAACACCAAATCCATCTGTTCTCATATCAGAGAGTGTGCAGGATGCCCTCTGCAGCGCTTACAGTGACATTTGATGAGGAGCTGCCTTCCGTCGCCATCATGTGGCATTACTGTCTTCAGACATCTCTTGATCTCTTTGACTACTTCACGAAAATTGTAATATGCCTAGCCGGTGGCGGATTTAAAGGCGAGGAGAGGAGCTGATTTTATTGGTCAATACAGGTCTTGGCTGTGTTAAATCCACTCCACGCCCTCTATCCTCCCTCCCTAAGACTTACGCTGCTGGGAGGAGCTGAGTTAGGGAGGGGGGATACTTACGCCGGGCTGCGCCGCTCACCAAAATACCAAATTGTGCTTGGGAACGCCTTGTCGGTGCGACGGACCTGACTTACGCCGCGCCCGCGGCACGTCTCCGGCGAGGCACGAAAATAGAGCCCCTGAAGTCTCCTCTATCTAATGTGTACACTAACTTAAATACTGTCTTCCCAATATCATCCATTCTTTTATGGGATTTCTGAACAGCAGCCTCTGGAAGCTGCCGGAAGCAACAGTAGCACTTCAAGTATATCCCCATTGCAGTAGAAACAAAAGTAGGTACTTTTCACAGCTACAACTAAGTACTTATATAACAGACATCACTCACCTTAGATACGCCCAGTTCACCAAATAAATAAATAAATCACTAGGTGTAAAGTTTCGTTTGCTAGCAAGATGACCATCAGCATTGGAGTGAGAACTGAGAGGACGTGACCACACAGACATCAGAAAGTTACATTTCAGTGTTTTTGAGCTCTGGTGACTGTTGCCTCTGATCTAAGGTTGGGTATCGTTTGATTTTGAACGATTCAGATTTCGATTCCTCGTTCCGATTCCTATCGATTCTTTTTTTCGATTCTTTTAAAAGGCATGATATAAAAAAAAAAAATGTTTGAATGAGGGTGCTAACCGGAGCTCTTCTTTTTAGATGAAATTTCTGAACTTCTCCATTAATTTTTAAATTCTATTAACTTTTTAAGAACTTTCATATGAGTTTCTCACAGGGCTTTTTTCAACCAGTATATAAATATCAATTTTTGTTGTCAGGTCGTTTGTCTATGAAAAAGTACACGGGCTAATGTTCGTTCAATATTTAAGTTGACCCACCGTACACAGTGCAATTTGTTTGCCGCTTTAATGTTAGCAGAGGACAGAAGTTATTTATTGTTTCACGTACCTGATTCTGGCTGGTTAGCGGAAGACTGGTGTTGTGCTGTAGAATGCATCCCTGCCATAGAATGCCTCCCCTCCACACAGAGAGATTGAAGAGAGACAGAGAGAGAGAGTGCATTGTAACCCACAGCGGCTGCATTGCTGTTGGTTGCAATGTACTTTCTCTCTCTGTCTCTCTTCTCTTTCTGTGTTGCTTCGTCTCATACCCGCCGTCCTCGTTGATGTTAAGCGGCGTCTTCTTCGTTGGAGTTGGGCGGCTATTTCTTCTGGTCGGCGGACTCCAGCATCGAAACTTGGAATCGAAATTTTTAAATTTGAACGATTCCAGGAGAATAGAAATGTTAGTCCCGGTCCCCATCGATACTCGATACCCAACCCTACTCTGAGCTCCCCCTTTCTTTCACTAAAGATGTACAGATGTGTGGTGTGCACACATATGTGGGAATAGTAAAGATCAGGACACCCATCCTGAGTATTAGATGTTGAACTGACCCTTGCCCTTAACCCTTTGGCACATTGTAATTTCTTTGGTTTAGAGCTGTGGTGTGAGGCACTCTGACTACAAGATAGTAATTTTGTTTGTTTGGTTGAGCATGTGTTGAGAGAGACTGTACCAATTAAAGAATCTATGGGCTGTGTCCTGCTATGTAAGTCTAATGCACACTGTGATACTGTGGTGTAGATATTTACTTTGTAATAAGGGCACATACTCTCAGGCTGTGAACCACCTCAGTTGTGCAAACTATATAAACCCTCTAGTGCAAATGGAAAAGTTCATCTCACAGTTAAATGAACAAACATGCAGAAGGTGAAACTTGAAGGATCAAAATCTTTTCTGCAAATGCTCTTTCAGAGTCTGACGGCACTTTAAATCGAGCTGAACACAAATCCAGCACAGCACCATGCAAACAATGTGTTTTAGTCAAATATTTGTATATGTCGGTGTCTGTGTGGGAGGATTTGTAATTGCTGTAATTGTCCCATATTCTTTGCTCTGCAAAGCATTCCTCATGAATTTCATCATAGTGAACTCAGCCGCACTGATTTGAATATGATGTAAAACTCAGAGAGCTCAAACTTGCACAGATTGTCATTATGCTCCAAAAGTAATCCATTATACCTGATGCATATTTCATATTTAGAAAAGTGTTATTTGTTCCAGGTATTTGATCTGTTAAATTCTATGTTGAAGTTAATATGTTTTTAATTTTCAATAAACTTCTACATCAACCTGATAATACTTTTGAGTGCAGATGACACACTTTGAAATGTAAATTTTGATGGTTATCCACCAAACCACACATGCAGAAGTTTATTGAATTAGAAAATCCAACCAAGAAGTAAGTTTATATTAAAATATTACAGGCGAACAACTTTTTAAAATTTGATAATTTTTTTTATTCCAGTTAATCCTCATTTGGGATTTAGTTAAATGCTGTACTGACTGACTTCAACATTTGATGATGTAAATGCTGTGCAGCTCAATCAGAAGCGTCTGAAACCACAATGTAGAACAAAGCTTCAGGCGCTCATTCTTTGAAATGCAGGGTTTATTTTGACTTTCCTCAAGAAATATGCAGGAGCACATGTGCAAAATGTGCAGTACATTTCAGTCAAGTGCAGATCAGCTGCACCTGCATGCAAGTTCAGAGGTGGTAGTGCATCCTTTAGTAATCTGGTGATGTTTTCAGCTTGCCCCCCTTAACCATTTGGTTGTTAACTTATAAGGTGAAATGTTTATTCACAAGCTGAACAGTTATTTTCCATTATGGTATGATAAATAAAAAGCTAGATGTCATTATCCTCAAATGTAGACTCAATTTAAAGCCACTTATTAGAGCCAGAATCAAGTTCTGTACAAGTGATTGAGATGGGCTTTCAGCTTTTTTGGCTGGTGCACTTTCATATTTCTGTCATGGAGAAAAACTTACTGAATGTCTCAATAATCACTCACCGGTCAGCAGTATTGCATTACAAATTGTGCAGCACAGCAGAGAAGGTGCTGTCTTAGAAGACAAGTATGAAATTTGGCCCAGAGAATTGGGTTCATGTAATACAATTGAGCACTTTTCAACTGAAAGTTGTGGACAAAATTAAAATGTTACATGCTCACCTTTTTTTTTTTTTTTTGATGCAAATTCAGCCTGTGGAGAGATGGTTCATATGAGACAGCTGTCACAGTCTGTTTGTGTTGCATGATGAGCGCCCGCCCATCTTGGTTACAGCATGATTTGATAAGGTTGATATGTTGTTGCAGAATTTGTTTTGATAATGTAAGGATAAAAAGAGTGTGAGATTTTGATTTGAAGGTATGTGTCTAATAAAGACCTGATACAGGACTGTTACCCTCTGTGGTAAAGCTAAAGAAGGTTGTGATAAGATTTGAGGATTTATGGTACTTTTAAAGATGTGAAAGTTGGACATTTTACCTTTATCTTGAAACCTAAATGTAACTTTGCAAAAGGTGAAAGTCTGTTCCTTGAACTAACACGTGACACATAAACACAAAGTCCTGCAGCTTGTACCCTCATGTGACAGTAATTTTTTATCATAAGCGACACACACTGAACGCAGCACGGACTGACCCCATCAGGGAAATGTCACTGCACACACACACAAACAATCTCATGGAGTCAGAGTTGGCACGCCACAGTTTGACCCCCGAATGAAATCACACACACACACATACCCACACATATGCACACAAACACACTCCTCCCTAAAATTTCCTGAGCAAAAAATAAAAATCACAGTGAGGGCAGCAAAGGAACACAGAAACAGTGGACCAAGTCATCCTTTCCAAAACAGCTGGGAGCAACGAACGCTCAGCCCAGAAACACTGGAAAAAGGTTTCAGAGCGAGCCGGAAAAACTGTGCACTTTGCTTTGCTCTGTAAATGGCTGAGAGACATTTTGATTAGCTACTGGCTTCACCCCCCCACCCCTGCTTCAGTGTGCAGGAATCAAGTGTAACGACACACTTTACAACCTTAAATACGGATTAATTGTTCACCAAATCAGTGTGGACCACAGAACGGACAGTAAGAAGTGGATTTTATTTGAAGTCATGAATGTGAAGATGGTAACATTAAAGAAGACTTTCATCCCAGCATGTAATGACAAGTGCTGCGCTTCCCCCAGTGAGGGATTTGAACATGTGTGGTAGGTAATGTAATGTGCACTAATGGGGGTGCTTTAGCTGGGTGATGAACACGGTGACTTTTAATCTGCAGCCCTGTGAGGAGGGGAGGGAGGTCGTCGCTCCTGTAGGAGACACTCTGAATAGATCAGACCTACTCTCTGCATCCTGCATCCTAATGAGAGCAACGCAGCATCTTTGGACAGTTTGAGTGGGAGGGCGAGGTGGGAGACAGATCCAGAGTGGAGGGGGCTGCAGAATATCCTATTTGTTAGGGATGAGTGGTGATAAAATGTGGAACGCCGAATGCTCCGGTTTAAGAAACCTCATCAGCCTGTTTGCTAAAAATAAGCTCTTATTGTGACATTGCTCCAAATAAGAAAAAAAAATAATAAACTGTTTGTTTTTGTAAAAATAGACCCAAAATGTGAGCTGAAGTGTTAGGCTGTCATTGAATCACAATAAGAAGCTTACTAAATAAACAGGGAGGAAATGAGGAGGAGTTTCTGTCTAATTAATATTTTATCTCACAATCATAAGCTCAATTGACCTTCTGTACATTGAGGAGTACAAAATGACAGATTAGCTTAAGTGTAAACAAGTCATTACAGGACATCAAATGTGCTTTTACTAAATTATGGATATATTATGTTTACAAGTTACAACAAACACATTTAAATATGATTAAACCAGGGAGAGAAACACGGTGGAGCAGCTGTCTGACAGTCATGATTATTTAATGTTCAAGAAATATTGACAAGTGTATGATCGTCTATTTCCTTTTTGAAATACCATCTAATACCATGCGCTCTATTTTCGTGCCCGCCTGTGACGTGGCGGATGGTGGCGGACCCCACGCAGTAGTTTTTTCGTCTGGCAGAGCCCGGCGCACAGCCGGTTTGGTATTTTCGTAGACTGAGGCGTGCCGAGGTCCGCAAAGCAGGACGTGAATGCGTGGTAGGGGGAGTTGTCGAAAGAATCAGCTGGTACAGTGACATTTTCGTGCTTGCTGCCGGCGTGAAAAGTGCACTGAAAGCTTGCTGATTCAAACCTGGTCAGTTTTCAGCGCAGGCGAAGCGCAGCTGGTCTAGTGGTTTTTTGGTTGACCGGCGGTGTAGTGCGCATACATCACCGATGCCTCACCGGCAAGTTTCCACAGTGTCAGGCACATTTCAGTGCAATAAATAATCATCAACAACCACTTTTCAGTGCAACTATCTGAATCAGCACGTACACATAGATCTACATCAATATATTCTGATCTATATCTTATCTGATGAGCGCGTTTGGACACTCCACCTGACCGAATTAACACAGCTTAAACTGCATTAAATGAAATATGCAGTAAACAGTCGCACATGATGAAGTTAAGATATTTAATTCGTCTCCCCGCTTATCCTCCTTCTTCCTCACGCAGCTTGATAGGTGTTGTGCCGTAGAATGTATCCCTGCCGTAGAATGCATCCCCTGCATCCCATCCACTCATTAGTTTCTTACAGTGGAAGAAATATGATCTCATATTTAAAAAAACACGAGTATTGGATCATGACAACATGTCAAATGGAGCAGCTAACTCTTGTTCTGTTTTTAGGTATTTAAAAAATGCACATACAGAGGTGTACTTGGGTATATAAACTGTACAGTAAGCTGTTATGGTAGAGAACATTATATTTTCGGGGCAGCAAATATTCAGAATCAGAGGGCTATTGATTTCGGCTTATCTGAATAGCCCGAATGAAATCATTAAAGGCACATGCTTTTGAATCTATCCAACAGTAAGGAAAACTTGGATTATTTCTCCTTGTTGTGTACTTTCAACCGCTCCCCGCAGGGGTGCATTCTACAGCAAGGGTGCATTCTATGGCACAACACCTGTCTCCGTGTCCTCTCTCTCCATCCTGCTGCTGCTGCGGTGGCACGGCTAACCAGATGATTTATTTTAACGATCAGATGAGTTATTTACTTAGAATTTTTAACAAAAAAGAAAAGAAAAGAAACTTTCACTCAAAATTACCTATTTATCTGATTTTCTCACATCCTTAAAATTCTGTCAATATTCAATCCGGAGTCAGGCCCATGTACGAATATTATATTATTCAGTTTTGTGAGCCAAATTTATTTTATATGCCAACATCTATGAAAGAAAGAGCCAGGCCACGGAGCACGATGCGTCATTTACGCACAGGTGGTTCCAATTTTAATGCCATTTTTGGAGTTAATGTTGTGATCTGTGCGCTCAACCCACCTTTGTCAAGTGGGGTTTAAATATATGCAACTCTATGTGAGGGTCTTTATTTGTGGAAAAGGGTGTTTGTCTTACCGATGGGTAGTGGTACAACCTTACTCACACCAAATCCCTCTGTGCTTATATGAGACAATGTGGAGCGCGCCCTCCGCAGCGCTGTCGCCATCCTGTGGCATTGCTGTCTGCAGCCATCTCTTGATCTCTTCGATTACGAAAATTGTAATACCCCTAGCTGGTCGCGGATTTAAAGGCGAGGAGAGGAGCTGATGTTATTGGTCAATGCAGGTCTCAGCTGTGTTAAACCCATTCCACGCCTTCTCTCCTCCCTTATGACTTATGCCGCTGGGAGGAGCTGAGTTAGGGAGGGGGGATACTTACGCCTGGCTGCACCACTCACCAAAAAATACCAAAATGTGCTTGGGAACGCCTTGTCAGCGCAGCAGACCTGACTTACACTGCTATTGCGCCACAACGCCAGCGAGGCACGAAAATAGAGCCCCATATCTCCTGGGATTTCTAAATGAAAAGGACTTGAAAAGCAGATTGGTTTGCTAATTTTGACAAAATGAAATAATCTTTTAAAAACTATAAGTGGGTGGAGGAAATCATCCCCTGATTATTGAACCACATTAAATGAGACCCACGATCTCCATGTTAGATCACACGGTGACAAACAACTTGAAGAAGTGTTTATTTTTGTAAATTATTTCCAGTCAGTCATGAGGAACAAACTAAAAGGTTGAAAAAAAAACAACAACTCTGACTCCACATTCAGACCCAATCACTAGTTTCTTCGCCAGTTGTGTATTTGACCAAATCTAATATAAAAAAGTTTTAAAATGGTCCAACTAACAAGCTGACAAATAATCTTGGAGACAGATACACTCCAGTTAGTTGGTTCTGGCATTAGAATATCAGTACCGTTTTTTTCCTATGAAAGATTATTGCTGTTCTCGAACTCTGGATAGCAGCTCTAAACCTTTTCTCTATCTAAAAAAAGAAGACTGTCTGAGGTGGCTTTTTATGCCTTTATTGACAGGATAGGACATTGGACAGAGTAGCGAACTTGGAAGAAACAGCAGCTCCTGACATGGAAGAGAGTGGTGAATGACATGCAGCCAAGGCCACAGGCTTTTGAACCCGGGTCGCCCACTTCAGAGACAATAGCTTCTGCTCTGGGTGTGATTTTTAACCACTGAGTTAAACTGGCAGTCTGTTTGAAAAGGAAAAGGAGGGTACAGCATCAGAAACCTGCACTTTGTCTTGTAGATAGTTGTGTTGTGTGTCTGCTGCTGGGATTTACAGCATGCAGCTGATGGAGTCTTCTGCCTTTTTCACAACAAAGTTGGATTGTATCATGTTTGGCTGTTCGAGTAAAACAGACTGAGACATTTAGTTAAAAAAAGAAAAAAAAGACTTCCTACACATGATCAAGTTTAACAAAAAGATCATAAACCTTTTCATCTAAAGCGGTGCCAGTGTTGACGCAAACCAAGAGTTCCTTACATGAGCTGTAGTTCAATCAATTTCACAGCTCCTGTGAGCTGTTTTGTGATGTTCAAATATACTGAAATTCATATTTTTGCCCTTATATGATAAAGAAAAGCAAATCAGACCATCAGCAACATGACTGATTAGTCTTTAGTTGTAGTTTGTTATACCTCCAACTGATGTGAAAGGGTAGGTGTCAGCTGAGAAGCTTTACAATAATTATACATTTGACAGGGAAACTTCCAGAGAATGTAAAGGGCAAGATAAGCAAAGACTGCTTTCTCCACATGGGGGCAGCAGAATTGACACAAACCGAATGTTTCCCACAGGAGCTTTAATAAGTCTACTCTCTGAGTGGTTAAAACAGAAATCTAAATTCCAACCAACTGACTGACTAGTCTTAAGGTGTAAAAACAATCAGAAAGCAGTATACATTAAGCACTTTTTGTTTGACGTGGCTTAACAAAGGATTGGATGAGGATTGGATTAGCACTGTCATCTCACGCTAAGAAGGTCCTGGGTTCAAATCCAGGTCAGGGCATTTCTGTGTGGAGTTTACATGTTCTGTCCACATCCCAAAAACATGCAGAAGTTGGATTAGGTTAATTGGTCACTTTCAAATTGCCCGTAGGTGTGACTGTGAGTGTGGATGGTTGTTCGTCTCTACATATCAGCCCTATGATGAACTGGTGACTTGTCCAGGGTGTCCCCTGCCTTCGCCCCAAGATGCTGGGATAGGCTCCAGCCCCCCCACAATGCCCAATGGGACAAGGGGATAGAAAATGGATGAAAAACAATGTTACAAAAGTCCAATGATGAAATCTTTGACATTTTTCTTTTCTTCTCATATAAAATGTTTTTTCAGTTGCAACAGTGGATGGCGCCCATATGCGGTAACAGGTTAATATACAGCTGCTGACGTGAATTTTGTGTGCTTTGTAGGATGCACAAGAGTGCATTCTCTGCACAGGCTCTTCATTGTAAAGTAAACCAAATCTCCGGGTGCAGATAAATGTAGCTTCATGTTTCTCTGTGCAACATCACATCCCTGCAGACGTACATATCTCTCCTTCAGGCCTTATACTGTCAGCTTGTTTTGTCTATAATAACTCCGAACCACATCCAGCACCCCCCCCCCCCCCCCATTCCCCAGCTGGTACCAACCACTTAATGATATCAGCAATAAAACACAGATTGAGTCAATAGGTAGGGAGACTTAAATGTGTTTCTACATAAAAGTACAATGTGGGGAAATCACTATGTGCAATATCAGGGAGAGGAAAAATCAATACTAAGCACAATGGTAGTGTTTTCACCTGAATCAGGTGGCCTGCTGGCATAACACACCCCTGTCCTGAAATCCCTGTCTGCATGAGGGTTTGGGTTGTTAGGGGGGCTTATTGACTGATACCATTGATCAACCTGCGCTTACGTCTAATGTCTGTGAATATTTCAATAACCTGGGGGGCTCCTTCCCCCTTAGAGCCAGACATGAATCAGGTATTACTGAAACAACACAAAGGACGTTAGTAGGCTATTAGTCACACTGCTTATAGTACGTAAGTGTGTGTTTTTGTGTGTATGTGTGTGGGCAGGTGACGTCAGGGCCCCATTCACCAGCAAGGCCAGTGCTTGTCCGGCTTTTCTTTCAGTCCCGAGGGAGGGTGGGTGCGGAGGAGGTAGGCGGAGGAAATAGAGATGAGGAAGTGGGTGAGTGCGGGGCTTCCTTTCTCTCTCTCCCTCACAAAACGACACAGCGGCACCCCCCTCCTCATCGTTCCCCCATTTAACAACCCTTCACAAGCAGCTTCTGTCACAGCCTGGTATTCCCACCCCCCTCCAGGATCATTAGAAAAAGAAAACCCTCTGCGTGACTCTGCAGAAAAATAAATCTGCTTTTTTGTTGTTTTCCATTAAACCGGGCCTTCTGCATCCCGCTGCAGAATTTCTCCCTTATTCATTTTTTTAAAAGCCCTCCTAGTCTTTCATCCTAAAGTCAATTTCCCTCGCCGGTTAGTCCCATGCTTTAAATGTTTATAAGTGCCTGTGAAGAGGGGAAGCCTAAGTGTGATAGACTACCCTGGGACTCAGACAGGGCTGAGTGTGAAGGAAAAATGAGGCCTGAAAGGCAGAATGGGCTGAAAATGAACGCAGACTGTGGACAGTCTGGATGGGATTATAATAGGCTGAATATGTAGAAACTGTCTCCATGGCAGGATTACTGCACTATCTGACATGACTACAGAGGGAACAAATGAAACGTGTTTTATTATTTAAAATTGTGAGCAGCACACTGTTTTTAGCTTAGGTGGCATGGTTTTATATTCAGCCTGGCCTCTGCACGCTGTATGTTATTCTGCATGAGTGACTTTTTTCCCAGGTTGGGACGAAAACAAGAGATCGCATGCTGAGTTGGGAGAGGCTGCCAAGTACAAATTTAGAGGTTGTTTTATGTTAACTAGCAAACATTAAGGGTATCATAAGAGCACTGATTTATCTTATTCTAAGGCTGTCTGCTTCAGATGAGCTTAGGAAACCAGAAATGAGCAGCTGTAAAAGTTTGAAGTCTCACTTTGGCCCTCTTACTTGATTTTTGTGAGGTCCCTTTCTTAGCTACTAAAAAGCAGGAGTGAGATGAGGCTGATTTGGTTTGGTGCTTTAATTGTGGTCAAATGCAGTTCACTGGGGGAGGTCAGCTGTCTTAGGAAATCTGAATCACTTTAAGAAATGATGATTTGACCACTGGTATTTAGAGGACATTTGTCTGTCGGACTTTTAAATGATGAGGATTTAGGAAACATCCTTGCTGCTGAATTTTGCATGCTAACACTTAGCATCCACTCGTGTGAAAGGACTGAGCTCTGAGTACTTTATTTATACACATTAAAACTGAGGGCAGCTAAAGGGAATATTTTACTCATACAGTGGTTTATAGAGCTGTGTGTGAGTGAGAAAGGTCAAAAGTTTTTCTGACTGCTAAAATGATCCTGAAACTTTCAAAGGAAATTCACACACACAGTTTCATTCATTAATTACAGGTAGCTTGGTTCGCACCTTCACAAGACTATGTCGTGGAAACACTGAAAGCAGTTTTTTTGGTAAGTGCGCTTGGTAGTACAGCCTGAATCTGAAACTCCAAATTTAACTGTTAAGTGGGAAAACATACAGGATCAGTGTTGAGAGCATTACATCAGCGTTCCGTATTAGCTCCGTTGAGCAGTGCTGTTTATTGCACACAGGATGCGTATTGGGAGCGTAGCAGCGGCAGTGTAGTGCAGCCCTGGTCAGCTGGGTTCAGTATAGAAACAATATGCTCACAACAGGTTGTTTTTCCTTTCTGTTGTCTATTTCCTGCAAATTTGGACATAATTAAGTGACCGTTGAGCTTCTACTATATGTGAAAAAACGTGATTTTACAGTTTGGGTTTTTGCAGGTTTCCTCGTGTTTAATACAGTAAACTATGTTCCTTTATACTGTGCTGTTACCTCCAGACAGAGTTATCAGTTAAAAGTCCTGTTGGGGTCCACATAGATCAGGGATTGACCATCAGATTGTTCTGTTTTACTGATAAATCCACAACCAGGAAGTATTTCTCATCTACATGAACTGAGAAGAAAATAGACTCAGCGTATATATTTAGCAGAGCTGCGCTCTATACGCTCCTGATACGGAGCTGCAACGCATCCCGTATACGATGCTGCATTGATTTAAATGGTAACCTATTTGCTGCGTGACAGGCAATGCTTATGGAACGCGCTCAATACGGATCCTGTATGTTTTAGCCTTTAGACTCAATGTTTTCAACCATTCCTGTAAATTTTCAAGCTAAAGGACCGAAAGGCTAGTACCCCTTTTCTTTTGCTTAATTCATGCTCAGCTTGCTCATGTAGAGACAGCATTGGCCACTGAAAGTAGCAGTGTTGGTAATCAAACTGTTTCTCTTATGACAGATAGTGTAGCTAAGCTAGATGTGTATTTGATTGTTTATGTCACTACAACTATATAGTAGTATTAGTAACATAGAACCTCTATCTTCCTTTAAAGGACCCTTGACCCTTTAAAATGAATTTCAAGTATTTTTGTTGGAATCATGACCAGTAGATGATATTCCCACCTTTTACTAGTGTCGCCTGCATGTGCATCTCTGCAGCAGCAGCATGCTATGTTTTGATGGTGTAAAGAGAAGAGGACTTTCATTGAGTCACAGCTCACTGGCTTAACCCATGTCTTCTTTACCGTCTGTTACTTCACGTACCTGCAGTCTCTTCTCCTCTGCAGTTTATCCTTATTTTTATGTGCACTTTACATTTGAGGAGAGCAGGGACTGTACACTGAGTTCATTTGGCAACAGTGGCGAGGAAGGTTTTCTCTTAGTGGGCAGACTTGGAGTCTGTGGTGAGCAGACATCAGACAACTATTTTAAGAAAATTGCTCCTGAAAATGCAAAACTTGTTTGTCTGAGTCCTTACAGAATGTATTGTTATTTACAGACACTTCTGAGCTGTGTTGATCGGGACCTTAGAAAATGACTCCGTATCATCTACTCTGTATTGTTCCCCAACATGTCATTGTCAGGGTGGATGATCTTCTGGTGCATGGGAGGAAATCCCTTTCCCCTGGGACTTGGCTCCTTAGTGACGCCCAGAAGGTCCAAGACTGTGTCACATTGTGACTCGACATCCTCTCATCTCTTACTGTAAAACTGAAGTGGGCAACAAAGGGACTGGAGGGAAATGGCAGAGGGTGTTTCATTGGTAACTGTTGTGATATTGATGCTGTAGATTAAAGAAGTAATTTTCCCTTCCTCGTCTTATTTTTCTCAGAGGGATTGAGCCATTTCAGCGCCAAAACTGTGGATCAAAACACAAGATGGCAGCAAAAATCCAGCTGTTGAGTCTGATTTCAGTCCAGATATAGAGCCTCAGACGCTGTTGTTGATCGATATTGGTATTGATCAGGAGATACTTATCATATCACTCATATCAGACATGCTTGACCACACACTGATTTTTAATGAAGGGGTAATTGATCAAATTGACGCAGTAAATTGACAGAGTCAGCAGCTGCCATGACACATAATAACCCTGATATAACACTGATATCTCCAGCTCTGGCACATTAGATAATTTGACTACCTGCTATTTGGAATCAAATCTATCTTATTACTTTGATTTACCTCCTTGTCTCAGTGATTTGCGTGTGTGTGTGAGGGCAGACTGACTTAGAGCCTCACAGGCACAACCCTGATTGCTGAGATGTCACAGTGATCAGGAAAGGTCATGGCTCTATTCCCAATGCACACAACGGACATGATGAGCTCCACTCTTTTCTCTTTTTTTCTTCATGGTGGCAGTATGAGCTGCCATCTTGGTGTGTGTGGAGCCATTATTGATGGGCCTCCACGCTGATGTGCAGACAGGACCCTGGAGTGAGGGAGCATACCCCTGTCTGTTCATCCGTCAGCACATCTTTCTCCCAACTCGTTTTTGTATCAGTTAGAAAAGTTTCCATCCAGCCATCTGCTGCATGGTCCGTGTGCAGTTGGTGTACTTCTCTGATTTCTGGTGGAGAAAGAAAGAAAATCCCACGCACCTTACTCTGCTTCTGTTCCCAACCCTCCCTCTTTTATTACGGCTGTGTGGTCACAGTTGAAGATGTAGTGAAGGGTAAAATTATCCAAACTCAATTACCCGAACCTTTAGAGGCTGACATAAATCTTTATGAAATAAAACTCACAGGAAACCTTATTGCACCAGGGATCAAAAACACCAAGATAGGGGTCTTTTAACCTTCAAATCCACCGAGCCTTTGGCAAGTCAAAAATTTAATATTTCATAGAAGACAGAATATACTGTATATGTAATGTTGTCTTAACAGTGTGGGAAAATGTTTTATCCAACTTTGAAGCTGCTCTTTGAAGCTTAGGGGAGAAGCTAAGGGGAACACTGGGAGCACTCTGGGTTGGCGATTAAAGGGGGATAAAAGCCTGAATTACATTTTTTTTTGTCATTACATTTAAAGCAGAATACCAGAAGCTTTGAATGTTTCAGCAGCCTTTCATACTCTCACATCATTTTACTGTACATTTCATTCCCATGGCCTCTTAATTGTGATTTCCCATCATCTATCTCTCCTTTATGCTAACCACTTGGCCATGTACTCACCTATTCCAACCTGTGCAGCTCAGTCGTCTCTACATCACTTCATACAATATATGTGTAAATACATATATATATATATGTATATATATATATATATATATATATATATATATGATCTAAATGTAATTACCATGTCAGGAGCACCATTTAAGCTAAGTCATATAGTCAAATTCTTTATTACTGTCCCCAAAACACAATGTCAAGGCTTCATGTTACATTTACTTATGTGTAACTGAGGTTAACCAGATTGTTACGGTAACAGCTGAGCCTTTTAAAAAAGCCTGAAATGTTCCAAGCATGTGAGCCATCAAATTCCCTCTCTATTCTTTTGGATTTAAGCCTGTGTCTTCTGCATCCTCCTATTTGATAATAATTATTTTAGAGCTGTTAAACCTTTATTTTTATTTTTTTTGACAGGAAAGATGCAGAATAAATAGACAGGTAGGACAAAACATTTGGTTAGAAATGATCCTAAATAACTGTAAAGCCAATTCACATAATAATACTGTGGTTAAATTGCATTAACATCCAGCTGTATTTAATAGCAAGAGGTGTTAAAACATGCAAGCAGCTGAGTGACCAAGACATCTACCAAAGTGAAGAAAACACACAAAGTAACCACAAAATGCAGCAGTGGTTAGGGTAGAGAACCTTATACATGTGCTGCAGTTATTTTCTGCATTTGTTGAGAACGGCAACAGAAAATGCTACTATTTTCACTGAACCTTGAATAGAAAAAAATTATATTTAATGTGATTTATAGCAATTGGCTAATGTTAAAACACACAAATCACTTTTAAGTTAGTTAAATCATCTGCAGATAAATGCTCATTGTCAGCATCTTTGTGTCTTAGTTGGTAGCTGGGTGAACAATGTATAGTGAGCAGGTGGTGATGCCAAATAGACCTCCTACAGGGTGAGACAGGATGAGTCTTTGTGTTGGGGTCTTATTTCCTATAATTGCCCACTCACCATACATACACTATCTCTTACAATATTTATATCAATAAAAAGCCCCCAGGTGATACTTAAACATCTTTAGCTGATATAGCTCCAGGGGCTATTATTATTTACCATATATTAAATGCATGAGCATGGAGTAAGCCTTGCACTACCATACATCTCTTTGATCGGTCTACTGTGTGGGTCATCACTAGGGTCCTACACTTATGCACAAACTAAACTCAGTGAGTAACCATGTCCCAATACGGGGCATTGCATTACCACAGCTATTTGAAGGCTTGATTTCTGTGCATCAAATATGGCAGACAAATATGCATATCCCTGAAGGGAAATTCAATGGATGGTGGACATTGTTAAATATTGGTGCTAAGTTTCAACTCGAAGCAATAATAAGCAAAACTTGTGTCAAATAAAAGAAACATGTTTGCCTATCTGGGCTATCACACAAGTGGGATGTTTTTCATGTCTAAGATACTGTGTCCATTTAGGGTGCTCATTTGCAATAACTACACCAACAACTTCAATTTCCCAGCACCACTCACTGGGTTGTACTACTGCAAGGTTACACAAGTTGCATCAGCACACTTTCTCTTCCCTTGGTAGTGAGTGTTGAGTCCTTTTTAAACCCCTTTGCATACTTTATGTTTACTTTTGCTCAAAGGAATTTTATGAAATCAAGACTTTAAGAATGAAAAGAAATCCTGTCCTGGTGTTAACAACAGCGCTAGTGTGGGTACCACTTCTTTATGAATTTGATCAGTCAATGAGGGGGCAGGGGCATCGATGTGTGTTGAACTACTTTCAACTGAGAAAGCTGTAGTGTGCTAACTGCAGATAAAAACTGAACTTCATTAGTTTTGTATGGAAAATTTGGTACAAAAAATGCTGTTAGTGGACACAGGCCCTTATAGAGTCTTCTGTATTGTGCTTGCTGACTGGACCTTGTCTTATATTGAAACAAACAAACAAGCAAAGAAAAAAGCAGGAGTATTACGAAAACATTTGAACTTTAAGACTTTCTCTCCCTGTTTGATTTTTTTAAAGCACATATTGTGGTGTGCAATCTTGAGTACTTGTTGCTATTAAGACACTGATCAAAAAATAGGTTCTTCAGGCCTTTACGCAGCTGAAACTTGCAGTTACACTTTAAAATATTAATTCACCAGAATGTCAGCTCAGATTTCATTTCCCCATGAAATCATCACTCATCATCTCTCAGGAAACATGTCCCTGACCTTTACACCTGTGATTTGTGGCCACATTGCAGATGGATCAAAGTGTATTCTTCTTCACTGTAAATCAGAGTATGGTCATCACCAATACGTTGAAAAACGCACTTTTTGGAGTGTTGATGTCATTCACACTCATGTTCGGTTTGTGCCATTTGTATAGGAGTGTGTATAGGGTGCTAATGAGGGAGGAGGAGGCGGAGGATTGGTGGGATACAGCTGGACAGAGCGGGAGACTGTGGTGAATAGGTAACCATGGTAACTCTGTTGGCTAAGATTTGAATGCAGGGAGAGAAAGAGAGCGAGAGAGCAAAAAGGGGGAAAGGAAGCTGCAGTGTGTTTGTGTGTTCAGTACTAAGAGAATGAGAGAGGGTAAAGGGTTAAAATGCATCATTGAAGAAGGTTAATCTTTCATCAAATCGTAAGGTCAATACAGCATTTAGCCCCCAAACTGGACACTACACAGGAGTGGGGGGCAGCGGTGGTGGAAATACTGAGGTGAATGAGGTGTAAGGCAGCTGGTAGGAGAGGAGGGCAGGCAGAGAGGAAAAAAAGTGTTTTACTTTTGTGCTACTTTTACAAGAGGAGATGGGTGGAGGAAGATATCAGGGGACACGGAGAAGAGGAGGAGTCGGAAGATTCACAGGTATAGACGTTTGTAACATTTGAAGAGTGACAGCTGCGAGGCCAAATACAATGGACCAGAATCCAACCAGCTGTCAGCTCTGACTAGGCTCACCTTCCTCTATGGACTCTCTGCCTCCTCCTCTTCCTCCTCCCTGAAAAACATTGAAGCTTCTACTCTAACCCCAGCATCCTCCCCCTCTCTCTCTCTCTCTCTCTCTCTCTCTCTACCTTTTTTTGCACCACTTTTGACTCTACCTGAAATAGCTCTGGCACTTCCTCCACATTGGCAAAAGAGAAAAAAGGTGGCTGGAAATTAAAATACATAAAAAAGGTGAGAGTCAATCCAAAAATAACATGAGTGCCTCATTTGTCAAGAACAAAGAGGAGGAACAGTTGCATTGCTACCAGGTGCTGCACTTGAAGTTGTTGCAGCTACAGCTCTAAGACTTGCATATAATGCAGTTGTAAGTATTTCAGTTGGAGTTGTTACAGTTTCAGGTGCAACTGTTGCAGTTGTTTATGTAGCAATTGATGCAGTAGTAGCTGTTGCAAAAAATTTTAGATTGCAGTTGGTGTTGTAGTTTCAGTTGCAGATGTTTAGGCTGTGGTTGCTGGCAAAGTTGTTGCAGTTCTGTTTTTTTAAATAGAATTTTTTGTTTGTTTTTTGCATGTGTTGCTTTTGCTATTACATGTATTTCAGTTCAGATGTAGCAACAGTTGTTGTGGTGCCAATTGGTGCAGTTGTCACTGTTGCAGCTGTTTTTCTTAGCAAATGTTGCATGTTGTGCTTTGTCAGTTGGAATGGTAGCTAACTGTATGGATGCAGTTCTATAGTTGCAGGTGCAGCTGTTGCAGTGTCAGTTGCTTAAGTTGAACTTGTGACAGAAACTGCTTGTTTAGTACTCATTGTTGCAGTTAGTATTGCTGAGGTTCCATCACAGGTTGCTGTTGTTAGAGTTGCTGCAGCTCCTGTGATTACAGTTGTTTAGTTGTTGTGTTAACTAGTGGTTGTTGCAGTTGCAGTTGTTGCAACATGACAGATATGGCAGTTTAAGTTGCTGCATATGGAGTCATGGCAGTCCCAGTTTAAGTTGTGGTGTCTACAGGCCTTAGCAGCAATTTGAGTTGCAGTTGTTCCAATTGTTGTAGTGACAGCGGTTTCACTCGCAGATCTAGTTGCTGGTGGGGTTGTTTTAGTTGTTGCTTCAACTGCAGTTGCAGGAGCAGCCTCTTGGTTGGGGTTGTTGCAGTTGTTGCTGGTGATGTCCTGTCCTGTTGGACCAGAGATTCTGCCTTCGATATGATTTATCATAGTGTCCTTGTGTGTGTTTTAATGTCATTAAACCACTGCATAGGCATTATTGATCAATCTCACCCCCGCCTCTCCTCTCCTCCCGCTACATCTCCACCTGTTTCATATTCATCCCCCTGTATTGTCTCTTTGCCTCCATCTCCCTGCTGCTCTCTGTTTTATATGCGTCTCTGTGTTGTCATTCCCCTCCCTCCATCTCTGTCTGTTTTATATTCATCTCTCTATTGAGCCCTCCCTTCTCCCATCTTTCTTTCTCACTGAGCGAGAGATTATTAATATTAATGTGTCTCTTCTTCTTCTTCTTCTTCTTCTTCTTTTCCCCCTCCTTATTTCCCCCCTTCACTCTTTTTTGTCTTTCCCTTACTACTGAGCTCTTCTTCCCACTATTTATACCTCTCTGGGTCCTCACCCCTCATCATCCTTTTCACTCAACCTTCCCTCCATCTGTCTTCATCTCTATCTCTTCTTTCTCTTTCTTCGGCCGGCTCTCTGCAGCTGTTCAGTATTCATCTATTACTGTAGTGTTGATAATTCCCTTCTCTGCCTGCAGCCATACAGTCATCTATCAGATTAATAATCCTCCTCTCCTTCTCATTCTCTTCCCCTCTTCTTGTCTCCTTTCTTACTGTGCCAAGTGAGGATGCTCGGCGTGTCAAATGAGTGTGCGTGTCAGAGTCCCATCATTACAACCATCATCATTAATAACCACATTGAGATTGCTGGATGCCCTTATTAAGGCTGGTCAGGTCTAAATAACCTGCAGAGGGAACAGAAAATGCCAGAGCCTGACTTCAGCTGGCCATCTATTAGTGTTAATGCAGACTGCACCATTCATTCGCTACCATTCTGCAGACCCTAGAGCATGCAACGCTGCATTCGTGCAGGAACAGAATTAACAACAAAAAGTGTTGATGCACTCTTGGTTTACAGGTTTAGAGGCTTATGTTGATAAACCCAAATCCTGATGATTGGGGTCCCCACAGGCCTGAGAAATGGACTTTCTTTTTTTTTGATTTTTTTATGACTTATTTAAACAATTTTTGGCAGTGTCATGGTGAGGGACTTGATTCAGAAGAAATTTTGGCAAGAAAAGAGAAGGAGATGGTGTGCATCAAATACTGTGTAGACCGGGAACTGATCCTATCACCACTGCGGCCTCTGCACATGGTGGGTCTTTCCCACCTACACCCTTTCTCGTCTGTCTTTTGCTGCAAATTGTAGATTTTGTGAACTGTACTTCAGTTTCTTGTGTGTCTGTGTCTGCAAATTTGTGTTTTTTGCTGCTAACTGTTTTGGCCAGGTCTCCCAAAAGAGATTTTTATCTAAGTGTGACCAACCCAGCTGAATAAAGGTCAAATAAAGGTTGAAAAGAAAAAGAAAGTAAATCAATACCATAGCTTCATGTGGAAACTTGAGGAACAGCAGATTCAATCTTCAACACCGGGGCAGCCACTTGGTCACAAAAATCTAAATAAGAAATATAAGACAATAAAAATAACACTGACGTGCCGCTCGTTCTGTCTTTAGAGTAAAGGGTATTATGCATAGAGTTTTAGTCTGTTTCATGTGCCACAAACTGACAGGCAGGATACAGGAGCTCAAGCAGTCAGCTGAAGGAGACAGAGATGCAGCAGAAACAAGCGTCAACCTTTTTTTTCTTTCTTTTCTTTTTTTTGCACAAATTTATGAGACACCAAAAGGACATTATTACTTCACAGCTGCTGATTATGAGAATGAGAGAGAGTAAATAAAATGTGAAACATGATCAAGTCTTTACCCCACTGGATTTAAATTTTAGAATAGAATAAATATTACAGTTGATATAAGAGTTATACTACTACATGGATACAACAATCAAAAAAAATATAAGTAAAAGAAAAAAATGCTTGTATGAAGGCTTACATAACACTAACATTGCACTTCAATAAATAAATTAAATGTTAGTATTATTTGTTTGATCTTTGAGGAGCTTCACATTTTGCCATCCTGGTTGTTTGCTCCTCTTGTCCTTGCATGGTCAGTCTCTGCTGCAGGTAAAGGTGCTAAAGTTAGCATGGTTAAACCCTCATACATCATTGTCTAATTAATGGTTTTGGTTTGGTGTAATTAGTGATCACAAATGAAAGGTATGCTGAAATGGCTGGAAGCCTCTCTCTCTCTCTCTCTCTCTCTCTCTCTCTCTCTCTCTCTCTCTCTCACACACACACACACACACACACACACACACACACACACACACACACACACACACACACACACACACACACACACACCACTGCACCACTGCTGTTATTAATGGTTCTCAGACTGGAGACCACCTGTCTCATAGACCCTGTTGCTTTAGCACACAGCAGGCTGTTTTTTTTCTACTCCTTTTTTTGAATGAGGAGGATGTTTTCACTTTTCTAAACCTGTTTGTAAACAGAAAGAAACAGAAATGTCTCTTCTACAAATAGTTATTAAATAATATTAAACCAAAAAGAGTTGAACTCATTGGTTTTTGTTGGTGTTTGATGAACTGTAGTCCATGTTTGTGAACTTTTTTTTTTTTTTAATGAAAAGATGCAACCTTTTCTTTTGGGGTTTTGGATAGAAAATTTTCATGATTTTATGCACATAGGATTGTTTCACATGTAAACAAACAGCCTGATTATTTTGTCATTATAAAAAATATTCTGAAACCCTGGTTTGATCATTTCGCAGAAAATGTATTTATGATGTTTAAAAAATAATATTTATTTAATATTTAAATAATTTTATACAGGAAAAAAAAATTAATTAAATGGTAGATAAATGTTGATGGTTGAACAGTAAAGAAAAATAAGTTTTCCATAAAAACTGTGTAATTCGAACAGTTTAAAACAAATAATAATCTCCTTTAAAAAATTATTTCTGAGCAGCTGTGGGCACATTCAATATATGTGACACTGCTGGTGTATGGCTTCCTTTAATCTAACATATTGTCTCTCTTTTTCACCTGTGTGCCTTAAAGGGTGCACAGTAGAAAAAAATGAGAAGGTTTGAGTACAGATAAATTTGTACCTGTTCACAACTTCCCTTGACAAACTAACTTTAGTTCTCAGCTCATATTTACATTTAGTTTAATCAATTTTGTGTTTTCATGTTATTTATGAGCATAATGTAAACAAAGCCTCGACACTGTAAGGCAATGGCAGCTCTGTGTCTTATATAATTTTACATGCTGTAACATATTTGGTTCTCTCTTTTCATCAGATATATCCTTCTGAATTATTATCTAATTTAACCTGAGATGATAAACAAAAAATACTTAACTATCATAACTTTATCCGTTTCATTTTTTGTTTAAACCTTTTTGCAAACAACCACTCCCGCATCACATATCCCTTGGTCAATCTTTGTATTAAATTGTTTATTACCTGTATGCACTTGTGAATTTCATACCAAATGTGTGTGTGACAGAGCTGATCTGTTTATACTTTAAATACTTTGATTGTGTGTTTGAGTATGTGTGTGAATCCCAGTCTCAGTATTTGTTATGAATGGTAAATATACACTGTCCGTACATAAGTACTGTACATATTCATAAATAGTGTAGATGCACTAAAGCGTGCATTTTCATTCTTAGATGCAAGTATTTTAACAAAACTCATTTGATCAGTGATATGTTGCAACCAGAGGATTATCAGCTCAGAGGGTAGCTGCCCCAATGCAGCGACTGTACTCTGTGTACGTCAAATACATGTTCAACAAAACATCAGTTTCCTTCAAACTGTTAGCCCTCAAGTTCACAGATATTCATTTCTCCCATCAGGTTTGTGACATGAAACAGCAACCTGCCTTTCGAGCCTGCTCCTCTGCTCCTCCCTGGTTTGGCGTGGATGTTTCTTTGTAGGAAACAGGAAATGATGTTTGACTCTTGCTAAGATGCGCTTCAAGTATTTAATTGTTGTCCAATCACAAGTAGTACAGTCATTTCTGTTTTCAGAGACTTTCTGCAGCAAAATATATCAGTCAGAAAAATATTTTTCCATTTTCCAAGTTATTTTTATATTTTCAAATGTTATTCATTTCAGAAATAATTATATTTTTCCAAATACATCATTTTTTTGTGTGTTTTCTAATATCTCTTGTGTTAATATGACATATTCTCATGTTTTGTAATGTGTTTTTAAATACTTTTTTTTGTATTCAATGAAAATTTTTATTTTTATTTTATTTAAATTTTTCGCCTTTCCAAAATATTTGGTTCATCAGGGTCACCCTACATTGTACTGTTTTCAAATTGTATTTAGGTTTTAAAACAGTTTATATGTATTTTTTGTTATTTTTCTATATATATAACTTTACATTTCTGTGAAATTCATATTCAATATTTTTTATCCTCATAAGAAAACATTTGTGCTTTTGTAAAATCTTTTCAGGTTTTATGATTCTTTTTCCTGTTTCATTAAATGTTTTTTGTGTTTTGACCCTCAGGACCACTGTACATTGGATACATTCATCTGTATATGTTTAATGTGGCTGCACACACACACCTGCTTTCAGTCATTTTTTCTTAACTCACTGCACTGTTTGTATTACATTTATTCCCATATTAATGTTTTATTTCTTCTCTCTTTACATTGAATTAACACATCTTTTTTATTTCTTCTTGACACATTTCCTCATTTACACATTTTTGCTTGTACAATGTTTTGAGGAAGTAAAGTATTAAGTTGACCGTTTTCACATAAGCAATCTGTCCCAAAACTAAATACAAAAAAAGCCTTTAAAATTTTTGCAGTGAACCTTTATTGTGTGTTGTAGTTAGTATGTTGATCTGGTTTTGAAGTTTGTGTGCTCTCAGTGATGTTCTCCTACTTTTGATCACAAGTTTCTATGTTTTCTAAAGACCTTCCTGAATGCTTAATTAGGCAGAATCTCTTCCTGCTGCCCTTGGTGAGAGGATTTGATCGGTAACAAAATATCTGCTGAGGGATTATGTGGGATTTGAAGTGAGCAGTGACACAGAAGTTCTGATGCTACTTAGATTTTTTTCCCACAATCCCTCCAATGATAAGCTATACTGTAGATGTCTGCCTCTTATTTGTTCAGTTCATTCTCTCTTGGTGAATACACGGATGGCAGTCTGTGTTCTGTCTCTAATATCTCTCTCTCCCTGTCTCTCTTTTGTTCTCTCGCAGTCACTCCTGGGTTCCTCTAACTTCAAAAAAAGCATCGCTCAAATCCCCAGACAGCTCCAGAGAAAAAGGGAATAACATCTGTTTATCTGCATATTTCTATGTTCAAAACACAAGAGGAGAAAACACAGAGATCGACAGAGGACACAAATCATCTCAGAGGATGCAGAATTAGAAAGAACAAATTGTCGCTGGAGGACCAAAGGAAGGATAAACCTTTTCTCGCTCGTCCACAAGTGTGGAGTCCGCTCACCTGTACCTCCGGATTAAAGAGCAGGGTCATGTCCCAGTTGCCATGCGCATCACCACGCTGACCTGCCTCCCCGGCCCCTCCCCCTTCCTCTTTCTATTGGCCCAGCTGCTACTGCGGCTCCTCCTCCCTGGGCCGGAGTTGGTGGGAGCCGCCTCCTCCTGCCCCTCCCACTGCACCTGCTCCAACCAGGCCAGCCGAGTCATTTGCACGCGGCAGAACCTTGAGGAGGTGCCTGAGAGCATCTCAGTGAACACACGATACCTCAACTTGCAGGAGAACTCCATACAGGTGAGTATTCAGGCCTCATCGGTTTTTACATGGCAAAGTTTATGAACTGATCCTTCTGTTCCCCCTAAAATTCCAAAGTTATATATTATTTGTTGTTTTGGACTGTTACAAATGGCTTTATGGTTTTCCTAGAAAAGGGTGATTGCACTCTGGTTTTTATTTTTATTATGAAAGACTGAAAGTTATTTATATCAAAGTCTTAAAATCCTAATCCTATGTAGGTTGAAATTGTGGAGTATTTGAAAAATACCCCCCCCCCCCCCCTTTCCCAAGTTAAAGACAGCAGGTGGATGCAGCGTGAATGTATTTATGACAGAGGTTAAAGCAATGCAGAGGCAGGAACTGGAATTCTTGCAGCTTAAATAGAGTGCCAAAAAAGGAGGATATGTCTGTCATGTGGTTGTGAAAATGACATGCAAAACTTACAGCTCCTGGGAGGAACTTTTGGGTTGTATTAATTTTGGTGTCCCCTGTAGGCAAAGCTGTCTTTGCTTATCTTGCCCTTGACATGCTTAAGTCATGACTTCTGCCAAAAACCTCATCCTCCTGACTCAAATAAACCATTCATCATGAAATCGTTAAAACAAAATATAAAATATATATATATTTTTTTTAAAATAAAATTGACAAAATATAAAAACCCTCAATATTGTCGTTGATGGTTTTGTTTTCCTAAAAAGGCATTAACGTGAATAACAGTTAGTTTCATAAAGGGAAACAAAAAACAAAAAAACAGGAGCTTTAAAGGTAGTTTGGGGAGTCATTTTATGTTGTGATGATTCTGATGACCCTTTTGGATTAATGTTTTTCTGGGATGAAGATTGCATTTCTTATGAGCACCGTTAACCAAAGATGTAACTTTTGCCAAATTGTGCGTTAGTTGTGAAGGCACATGAATAGATACAGATCATGTTTTAATGCAACTTCAAGTTTTTGCAGGATGCAGAGTGAGGAGCTAGTATAAGTCTGTAAGTGCGGTGTAAGTCTGGTCCGCTGCGCAGACAATGCGTGCCCAAGCACATTTTGGTATTTTGGTGAGCGGCGCAGTCCGACGTAAGTATCTCCCCTTCAGCTCCTCCCAGCGGCATAAGTCGTAGAGAGAGAGGAGAGAGGGCGTGAAGTGGGTTTAACACAGCCGAGACCTGTTTTCGTGAATCATATCAGCTCCCCCCCTCACCTTTAAATCCGCCACCGGCGAGGCATAGTACAACTTTCGTGCATTAGTCAAAGAGATCAAGGGATGTCTGAAGGCAGCAATGCCACATGATGGCGACAGAAGGCAGCTCCTCAACAAGTGTCGCTGTAAGCGCTGCAGAGGGCATCCTGCACACTCTCTCAAATAAGCACAGATGGATTTGGTGTGTGTAATGTTGGACCCACTGGTAAGACAAACACCCGTTTTCACAAATAAAGACAATCACATAAAATTGCATATATTTAAACCCCACATGACAAAGGTGGGTTGTGCGCACAGATCACAACATAAATTCCAGTAATGCCATTAAAATCAGAACTATCTGTGCGTAAATGACACATCGCGCTCCGTGGCCTGGCTCTTTCTTTCATAGATGTTGGCATATAATATAAATTTGGCTCACAAAACTGAGTATTATAATATTTGTGTATGGGCTTAACTCGGGATTGAATATTCACAGAATTTTAAGGATGTAAAATTATTGGATATACGGGTAATTTTTAATGAAAGTTTCTTTTATTTTTTTTGTTCAAAATTTCTAAGTAAATAACTCATCTGATCACTAAAATAAATCATCTGGTCAGCCTTGCCGCTGTAGCAGCAGCAGGACGGGGATAGGACATGTGAGATGGTTGTGCGCACAAATTACAACATAAATTCCAATAATGGCATTAAAATCGGAACCACCTGTGCATAAAAGAAGGCATCGCGCTCCGGGGCCTGGCTGTTTCTTACATTGATGTTGGCATATGAAATAAATTTGGCTCACAAAACTGAATATTATAATATTTGTATGTGGGCCTAACTCCGGATTGAATTTTCACAGAATTTTAAGGATGTGAGGGAATTAGATAAAAGGGTTATTTCAAATGAAAGTTTCTTTTACTTTTTTGTTCAAATTTTTGAAGTAAATAACTCATCTGATCACTAAAATAAATCATCTGTTCAGTCTTGCTGCCGCAGCATCAGGATGAGGAGAGGACATGGAGACATGTCCGAGTCGAGCTGCGTGAGAAAAAGGAGGAAGGTTGTGTGTCCAAACGTGTGCCAAACGCAGTCATCAGATCAGATATAGATCAGACTATATCGATATAGATCTAAATGTATGTGCTGACTCAGATTATTAGTTGTTGATGATTATTTAATGCATTGAAATATGCCTGATACTGTTGCAACCTGCCGGTGAGGCATCTGTGACGTATGCGCACTACGCCGGTTTACCAAAATACCACTAGACCAGCTGCGCTCCGCCTGCGCTGAAAGCTGACCAGGTTTGAATCGGCGAGCTTTCAGCGCACTTTCCATGCCGTACGCGAGCACGAAAATGTCACTGCGCCCACTGATTCTGTCGACACCTCCCCCTGCCTCGCCACCACATCCAGCTTGGCAGACCTCGGTGCACCTCAGTCTACGAAAATACCCAACTGGCTGTGCACCAGGCTCCGCCAGACGAAAATACCACTGCGCGGGGCACGACACTACGCCGCACCACCGGCGGGCACGAAAATAGAGCCCATGATTTGAAGCCACATTAAATGACTCACTGCAATGTAACAACAAACCTCAGTACACTGCTTTATTACCTTTACTTAGGAATGACTGAATATTGTACCTCTTACCTGTTACCGTCATAGTCTCTATGTCCCTGTATGCTACCATGACCCAAGGAAAACCTGAATAATGTAAAAATGCACGTTTGAAGTTAGTTTCCTCAAAGAGCAGCGCAGCATTCCCACCAAAGCTGAAACAATACATCCTTTGCATTGACATTTTGCAAAAATTGGGGTGAGATTGCAGAGATAGAGTCATGAAAATTCATTCCCACAACAGGCCTTTTATACTGAGGAGCTCATGATGAGGAGGTGGTTGTTTTAAAAAAAGTTTAAAACTCCTGATAGTATTGGTGTAGGTACCAGATGTGTTCAGGCTGCCAGATCAGCTCGGGGCCCAGCACCTGTTGAAGACGTCACACTACTGCAAGTCCACTAGGACAAACTACATTGCGCTACATTTGATAAGTTCAGTGTGCTCGGTTAAAAGCCCCTCGTGGTTTTCTTTATTTCTGTTTCTTCATTCAATTGACCTCGAAATTTTCTATCCATATAATACAGAGAATTACAATTTATTGTACTGTAATTTTTAGATGGCTTTAATTGTTTATGTTAATTTTTCTAAAGGAAAAAGAAAAAAAAATGTACGCAAAATCTCAGTTTAGCAATAGATGGTTTTGATCTTATTCCACATTTCCTTTGGCAATCTGAAAGAGGCGGCAGTCTGGCTGTCTTAAGTCCCCTTCCATGTTTTCTCTGAAGAACTACAATCCCAATAAAATCTAATCCAGCGAAAACCGCTTGTGTAATGTCTGGACCAACCACAATCTTCTACATCATCCAAAACCAATTTCCAGCCAATCATATAGCATGACGTCATTAATAGGCGCCGGGCCCCAAGCTGATCTGGCAGCCCGGACACATCTGGTACCCACACCGTAAAGTGCATGAGCCCTGGATCTGTGTTTGAAGATTATAGTACTCATATAAATCCCCATTATCATTTTAGCTATTGATGCACTTCTTGATAGAGATGGATAAGATTCCATAAATGAATTATACTGTGACAGAAAATGTACATGGAGATAGGGGAGGACGGTATTTGTCACTTGTGTATTGTTTTTATAGCCAGTGGCAGATGCAGGGATTAACTTGTTGATACAGGTATTCATTCAGAAACTTTATTTCTGAGAAAAGACGGTAACTTAGGCAGCAATAACAGTGGGAAAAATGATCCTTAAGCCTCTCCCGCACTGAGGGAATATTGAATGAATGAATTGAAAGCAAGGTATATTTCCATGACACTGTGCTGCCTTTTGTATGCATTACCAATTTATCCAGAGTCCCCAGACAGCATTTTGTGGCTTTACTGCTGCGAGAGAAGATCATTTAACCACAGACCATCAATACAAAGCACATGAATCTCCACATTCATAAACAGAGTGGGCTGATTTTACTCTTTGCAGCTGCATTTTAGGTAATTGGATCCCTCCTTGTGCTGCTGACAGTGCTTTGTTCTTTTGTGATTTTAAATTAATTTCTACTACATCTTATCTCATTTAATGAAAAGCAGCAAATATCCTTAACGTTGTTAAAATTGTCCAGTGCATCCGTCCAACCCCCCCTGAATGCCCTCAAATCCTTGGAGAAAACATCTTATTAAACATTATGTGATGTTAATGGAGCAGAATTGGGACATCATGCCACATGATTTGGTTTAGGAGGCTTAAAGATATACAGTTCACACAAAAACATTTTAAAGAAATAATAATAACCATGATAATAATAAAAATATTCATCCCATTTCATTTTTAGCACACAAATTCCGATTCAGTTTTTGTTGTATCCTGCAGCCCGACATGAAATGATTAAAAATCTAAAACTGTTTTAACACCTGAAGGCATCCTAGATTCTGTGGCTTATTTTTTCCTTCACTGAGTACCCTGAGAGTAAAGCCTTGACAGCTCCCACCCCCTCTTAACATGCTCCCTCCCCTCCTGCTCCTGCTCTACATACAGAAGAGGCGATGGCCTGACTCCAGGATCCTCTCTGAATGTCTTGAAGGGGCTCTGGCTGCACATTTCTCGAACAATCAGATATTTGAGGGGCTTTTAGTCCAGCTCACTAGCTGTGCGTCTTTTTCTTCTCACCAATTATGTCCGGTTGGACGCTAGTGGGTGCTGTCCAAGGCCCTATGCATCCATCGTAGTCAGACCCATAACTTCCCACAGGAAAATAAACACAAAATTTTTGACCGTTTGCAAAGTTGAATTTTAAGGAGGGTCTTTTAAAAATATTTAGTTTGACTGAAGTGAAGCACAGAAGAAACATATATTTCACTTTCTCCATCTCCCTCTCTCCCATCTCTAAACCCAGCTCAATCTCAGCAGATGACTGTCTAACATAAGTCTGGTTCTGCTCAAGGTTTCTGCCTGTTAAAGGAAGGTCCTTCTATCCACTGTAACTTGATAAATGCTGTAAAGTGTTTCACTCATGCAGTTGAAGATGGGATGGGAGTGGGTCTGATATTTCAGAATGGGGCTCAGTCTGATCCCATCCCTACACTAGGTCTTTGTTAGAGTCTGGTCCAGACCAGGTTTTTAATCATCTTAAGATAACACTTGTTGTAAATTGGTGCTGTATTAAGAGTGAGTGAGTGATTGAAATTACACACAAAAGTTAAACAAAGAAAAGAAAAAAAAAACAAGCTTTCTGCAGCCTCAATAATTAATTATTTAATTCATTAATTTATTTATTTCTTTTGCTAAAAAATATGTGTTGAGCGTGCACCTGTCTATATTCATTTCATTTTAAAATATTACTACTTGAGCTGTGATCACAGCATCATAAATGTTCAGGATTATGTAAAAATAACTGAAGACAGTTGTTGTCTCATTGTCAGGGCCCACTTGTTTCATGTACTGTTATTTTTCTAAACCTTAGCCAGGCATATTGACGAAAAAGATGAAAACACATCAGGTCTCCCTCTCACCCCTGCAAACACTGGATTTAGCTCATCTTTCCCGACACACACCATTGTCCCTCCAATGACATAGAGCCCATCGATCAGCTGATCGACCTAACAACTGGAGGGTGTCGGCCTTAATATTTAGACACTTTTTGTTTTAAGTAATTAAGTGTTGCAGCTCAATCCTCTGTGGTGGTATGGAGTGTAAACAGACCAACACTATTTATCAGTTTATTATCAGAGAATTACAACATGTGAGTGGAAATGTCCCCTGAGTCTTATTGAAACAGCAGAGTCAATAGCTCTTGAGTGTCTGGAACAGATGCTGAAATAAGACTAGCAGTCAGTGTATGACAATGCTTAGATGTGGCATAAAGCCATGTTTTCACAGCTCCTGCGAGGAGCATTCTGTATGTGTCAAATGTGGCGCCCCTTGTCAGTGGTACCTGTCATCTCTGTTCTGGTCTTAGCCTGAAAATGTGGAAGTCATGTTTTTGGATTAAAATCTCACACTACTGTTTAAATATTCTTTGTGGAAAAGTAATATTAAAACAGATGAAGTTTTTGTTTCCTTTCTTTCCACATCCTTGCGTAACTCCACGCTGTCACACACTATCAGCTCTGTCAGCTCTTTCAGCCGCTCACTCGCTCTTTCCATCAGAATTTATTTTAGAAAATTAAAAGAATAATTAAAACCTGTTTTTAGGCCGGATCTTTTGTGAAGTATGCTATGGGAGGCTGTAGATATTTCTTCACAGCCTCGCAGTGTCAGCATACACCTAATAGAACTATCTATTGATATGTGATCAATAGCTCTGGTGGTAATGTCTGAGGATTATGATAATCATGGCTTTTCGTTGGGTGTGAGTGCTTATGTTTATTTGAGCACTTGCTCGAGGGTGGAAAAAGCTGGTGTTGCAGCATTGCATGATGTATTTTTTAACAAGTTACAGTCCTCTATAATCAATGGATAGAAAACTATCATGTCTTCTACATTTACATGTCTTACAAATGGGGGAAGGGTCAGTTAAAAACAACTGAAACAACAACAAACAGATGTATGATGGTGACTGATTTTAACTCTTAATTCAACTCTCACATTATTAATTCATGATCAATTTTTTTTAAATGTCACCAGAGGGGCTCAATATCTGTCCTTACTCGTACACATTCATCACAGACCATTTAAATTCGTACACAGGGTCCTGCTCATAGAGATACTAGAAGTGTAACTCCCTTGTTAACACGGGAGTACCAATATGGAGGCCAGGGTGGCCTGTGGATCCAGAATGAGGCTGGGAGTCACATGCTAAATTGCTTGTTGTCAGCAGTCAGTTAGAGTCTGAAAGCCAACCTTTCCCTGCAGACAGCGGCACGAGTCAGTGAAGTGGAAGGGTCAGCTGTTTCCATTATTAGCAGAAAAATGAATTATTTATTTTTGTGTGGTTTGTTCATTTAAATATGCATCTAGTCATACTTCCCAGCTTTCCTTGAATCATTCATTGACAATACTTGCATTGTTTTTATTTTTTTTAAGATGGTTGTGAAATTGTTTACAAATCCACTCCATCTCCAAATCAAAAAACATGAAGTCTCAGTATTACTGCTGAATGTTACAGAGAAATTTTTGGTGAAGCTTGAGGCTCCTGTGAGGAACACTTCATTGGCTATGAAAGATTCTCAGCGACAAGATCCCCTATTTTTACACATTTGTGGGATAGGTGTTAGACAAAATGACATATTTGACTTTTAGATTACAGAACCAGCGCAAGCAATGGCTTATAATTACTTTTAATAAACATTTTATGAAGTTACATGACCGGTGCTGTAAAAGTAACTTTACAAGGAGCCCCTTGCCCTCCGCAGGAGCTTCAACCAGCAGACTGCAGCTCCAAGCACTGCTGCTGATGACAGTCTCTAAATGCCCAACTGTTGAGTCCTTCATGCTTGCATTACAAGCAAATGTCAGGATAATGTCCAGCATAGCTTACCACTAGTTCTTCTGTTGGATCTGCTTTGTTTGTCGTGGTCTCTAATTTTTTTTTTAGTCTTGTTTGAATTTCTTGAACACCTCATGGCTGTCCTTTGCTGTGTGGTGGATACCTAGGGCAGCAAGCAAATAGAAAATACTTCAATGTTTGGGCATGTCTCATTGTATTCCCATCACAACGTGAACACACTGCTTCCTCAACTTCATTGTCAGTCTGTTTGTTGGTCCTTTTCTCAATTTCCAAGGCTTCAACTGCCTTTAACTGACTGATTGCTATTTTGAAAATGTTGGCTGGTGTGACTGAAATGGCACTTGTGTCCAAACTACAAACAGGACCTAGTATCCTTTTCACACTCATGGACCAATCACCATGCTCAACCACCTACTCTGAAGCAGGAACCAAAATGTTTCCTCTAAATTGGGCTCTACCATGAAAGTCAATCATTCCTGTTGTGCAGAATCAATAATATAGCGAGGGTTTCAACAGTTCCTGGAATTATGAAAAAGTTCCCAGTCTGAAAACACCTTTTTGTTTACAGCAGGTGCCAAAATTAACAATCCAAGTCCTTCACAAGAACTTTAAATTGAATGTGACCCTAAATAATCATAGATGATAGTTCAGTGAATCTGTTCACAGGTATTTTTTAAACAGATACAATGGAGCTTCCTGAATGTACATATGTAATCCAAATACTCAATGTTGTAAAGAAACACCATTTTTTTTACCTGTTCACCTTGTTTAAACCTGTCCATTTTCCACAGAATTACAAAAATGTGTTCTTGATGTCTACGTTAGTCATTCTACATGATGTACTGACACCATTTTTATTTGTCTTTCCAGGTCATTAAGTCAGACACTTTTAAGCACTTAAGGCACCTTGAGATCCTCCAGCTCTCCAAGAATCAAATCCGCCAGATTGAAGTCGGAGCATTCAATGGCCTCCCCAACCTCAACACCCTGGAGCTTTTTGACAACCGCCTCACACTGGTGCCATCACATGCCTTTGAGTACCTCAGCAAGCTGCGAGAGCTGTGGCTGCGAAACAACCCCATTGAGACTCTGCCAGGCTATGCCTTCCATCGAGTGCCCTCGCTACGACGCCTGGACCTGGGTGAGCTCAAGAAGTTGGATTTCATCTCTGATGCAGCCTTTGTTGGCCTCATCAACCTACGATACCTGAACCTGGGCATGTGTGGGCTGAAGGACATTCCCAAACTGACAGCCCTTGTGCGTTTGGAGGAGCTGGAGTTGTCAGGAAACAGGCTAGAGATCATTCGACCTGGTTCCTTTCAGGGCCTGGTCTCGCTCCGCAAGCTGTGGCTCATGCACTCACAGGTGTCTGTAATTGAGCGCAATGCTTTTGACGACTTAAAAAACCTGGAGGAACTCAACCTGTCCCATAACTCCCTTCACTCCTTGCCCCATGACCTTTTTACGCCACTTCACCAACTGGAAAGGGTCCACCTTAACCACAACCCCTGGGTCTGCAACTGCGATGTGCTTTGGCTAAGTTGGTGGTTGAAAGAAACAGTGCCGAGCAACACCACCTGTTGTGCACGGTGCCACGCTCCCCCATTTCTAAAAGGTAAATACATTGGGGAGCTTGACCAGAGCCACTTCACCTGTTATGCACCAGTCATTGTGGAGCCACCTACTGACCTTAATGTCACCGAGGGTATGGCTGCTGAGCTCAAGTGTCGCACAAGCACCTCCACAACATCTGTCAACTGGATCACCCCAAATGGAACTCTAATGACCCATGGATCTTACCGAGTTCGGATATCCGTTCTGCATGATGGCACGCTCAACTTTACAAATGTCACGCTGCGTGACACTGGTCAATACACCTGCATGGTCACCAATGCTGCTGGCAACACCACAGCAACTGCTGTCCTCAATGTCACAGCCGCTGACACCAGTGTCAACTACACCTACTTTACTACTGTCACTGTGGAAACTGTGGAGACCCCAGGGGAGGAGGACTCTGCACTGGTAGCCATCAATGAGACCTTCATTCGTGTTCCCCCTGGTCCAACCCCCTCTGGCCACCTCTGGCCTGAAGGTGTTTCAACCACAGCATCTTCTCTGTCTGCCGGCTGGTCCCCATCATCCCCTCGGACCACCAAACCTACCTTCACTGTGCCCATCACTGAACCAGGCTTTTCAGGCCTGGATGATGTGATGAAGACCACCAAGATCATCATCGGCTGCTTCGTAGCCATTACCTTCATGGCAGCGGTGATGCTGGTGGTGTTCTATAAGCTGAGGAAGCAGCACCAGCTTCACAAGCACCATGGCCCTGCTCGTGCCATCGAGATCATCAATGTGGAGGATGAGCTGGGGGCTGGGGCCAGTGGTCGGGGGAGTGGTATCTCTGGAGGCTCCACTATGACCCAGAGTGGAAACAGTGGATTAGGAGGGGGCCAGAGCCTCAGGCTGCACCATCCAGAAATTGTCAACCTGCCAAATTTGGCGCGATCTGAGCACCTCAACCACTACTACAAGACACACCACTTCAACAACAACATGATGACCTTGGGCATGGGCACAGGTCCTGGTGTGGGCCTCAACAACAACAACAACCCCTCACCTTGCTCGCCGTCTCAGAACACAACCATACCCTGTTCCCAGATCGCAACCTCCACCACTGGAGGGACGCCAACAGGGGGTACCCTGCCCTCCCCTGTGCCCCTGCCCCAGTTGGGCCTCCACAGTTCTCTCAAAGGCCTTATGGGGAAAAGCCAGAATGAGCCCCTGCTTTTTAAGAGTGGCTCCAAAGAAAATGTGCAAGAGACTCAAATTTGATTGAGAGTGAGAGCATAATAAGATGTAGAGATGCTTGATAAAGACAGTGAGACAGACAAGAGCCTGTGAGACTGAGTAATAGAGACTGATTGTAGCCTACTGTCCTCATGGACAGATTCCAGAAAAGATTATATTTCACATAGTTGCTGCTTTGCATTGTCAGTCTGTTGATGGGGAGAAGCAGACAGAAATACAGAAGGAGACCAAGTACAATGTCGTCTCAGCACTAGTCCCAACAATAGCATTTGCACATGCTCTTAAAGTCAATCAAACACAATTGTACTAAATGTACATGCCAAACATTAGATTTGTTTAGTTACCTGTTAACCCTGCAGAGGTCTTAACCAAAGCAATGAAGCCAATTGTTTTGACTCTACCACCCAAGTGGATAACTAGAAATATAACACGTCCCTCTCGGTTTTATAAAAGTCAATTCATATATTTCCAGACATGTATAGCTATATCTTTGGAAAGAAACTTCATATTGGCCATTGAAGCTATTGTCATATCAGTGTTGGGCAGAGACTCTGGATAACAAACAATGGTTTGGGTGAACAGTGTGGTCCTAGGTTTCCAGGAAGCGCAAATACAAAGTGGAAGAGGCAAAATTAGAGCAATGCAGAGACTGTGTCCAAGACACACGTGTGAGACTAGTGCTGTGCAGGGGGACAGAAAACAACACAAAAGTATTTTTTCAGAGTGGTTCCACTCTCAATTTCTCACTTTCCCCCTTTTTACACCTTTTTGGCTGCTGTCCTCTTTGAATGAAGAGAGAAAAGAAAGGTTTATCATGGGGCAAGGAAAACCCCCATGGCTTAAAGGACAATGAAAGATATTAAAAGACTGAAAATACATATTATATATACCGTAAATATATTTTCATTCAAAGAAATAAATTATAAAGAATCTTTATCAAACTTCTGACTGAAACTACAATGTCTGAAGAATAGTTAACAAAAAAGAAACAGCTGTTGTAGTGGCCCTCCCTTACGACTTTTCCAAACTTGAAACACGATGGTTGCCCCGCCTGTGCAATGTAAGGACACATGTGGGAGAGTGGCAGCTGTTGAGAGGGAGCTAAAACATATTTGGGTGAATTTATTTTGGTCTTGACTCTTTTTTGTAGCCACACGAAAGTGTTTTCCCTCTCCTTTCACATTCACACAAACAGGGTCACTGCAGAAGGGAGATCTTTACACCCTGCTGCGAAAATGACACAAAATACGATTCCAACTCTTCATTTGCTACACAGCATAGCTATAGTATTAATAATAATAATCATAATGGTAATAATGATAACAAGCTTTAGCTTAATTTGTCATAATGGCCATCTAATAATGAACAATATGTTATAATATTTTACTGTATTATTACGGTCACTCAAATGTTGCACATGCTAGCTTATCATGCTATCTGAAAATACATGCTAGTTTCAACGTAAAGAAACCTTTACAATCAAGATATGACATATTATTGTTACCATGTTATCATTGTTATCATTGATATGACTATTATTATTACTACTTGTGCCTATAAATAGCTGAGATGACATATTTTTTCATTTGTATATGACACTGAAGTTGTTTCGTGACTGACTCGGTCGGGTTCCGGCTAACACACGGCAGTGGGACGAACTCAGCGTGCCACTAAGTGAACTCCACATGCATCAGCAGGAAATAACCTGGCCCTCAAAATGGCTTCCTCAGTCCAGCCCTCACTGACTCCGTCCGCTCTGATGTCTGGAGCAGGCAGGACTCCTCATTTTATCACATGGTTAAGACAGGAAATGAACCTTTGATGAAGACTGCTCCTTTGCAGGGGGGATTATTTCACAACTGTATCTCAGTGTTATCGTGTATGAGTGGATTTCATGGCAGCAGGGAGCTAAATGGACAACAGGCGCTGCTGAGCATTTTTGAAGGTAAGCGATAAAGCAGAAGGTAACATACAGAGCAGTATACAGTGGTGGGTGATTTTTTCTAAAGAAAAAGGACAATTAAATGAAAAAATATAGAAGCTTATAGATCTCTTTTAAAAAAAAACAAAATTATTATGATAAGTGTTTTTCATTTTGGGTTTTTATCAAGTTTGATTATTTTCTGTTTTTTTAAATCAAGTGTTATCTTTATTGTAATATTGTTATTGTTATTATAATTAGCTAATTACACTGGTTATAATTCTGAGAGATGTTCTGTTAGCAGAGGTCACTTTGAAAATTAAAAAAACCTGGCACATACAATGGCAGTTGAAGTCTGTGAAATTTGGTGGCTACTTTTTCTTTCCTTTTTCTGTTATGATTTAAATTGTAGTATCACTGTTTGTATCCCTTTGGCTCTGCTTGAGATGAGACCCAGCGAATGTGAAAAAGTACTCACTGGGTCCTTTTTTTCTGCACAGGGGGACAGGAAAGGCCCTGCTCTGGTTTACAAGCTCACTCACACTCGCTCTGTGCTTTCCTGAATGTCATCGCCATGTCAGTGTTCACATTGCGGTTGCGCAATGTCAACCTCTCGTTGCCATGACTACACACTCAGAAAAATTGCGCCAAACATGAATGGCGTCAAGCATCAGTGTGGCACCCCTTCGCCAATCGTCAGTCTCGTTCCTGTCAGGCATTATATCTCATCGAGCTGGCCACCATTCCTCTTAATGGTAGCAAATCAACTTGAGCATTGTACCCTTGTCCTCGCATAAACGCCACCTCCTCCTCCTCGTCCTCCCTTCAGCCCTCAGCATCCTGCCATCAGGTTTCCCTGGCAACTGTTGCTGCTGCGACAGGCCTTATCACAGCGTCTTGATTCCGAATGCTAAACAGACAGGAGCAGAGGGTATAGAATTTCATCCATGTTCAGCCATTGTTAAGACTTTTTCCCCATCTCAAGTTGATGTTATTAATTTGTTTACACTACTGACCATATTTCTCACACTGCTGGCATTCTGTCGATGAATCATGTGGTTTACAACCCCTTATGTGTTTAATTTGCATAGGCTTCACACAATTGCTTAACGCATTTATGCACCATACACTTCTGATTAACACTCATTCCTTACATCAGTCATTAACATATTCCTTCCCCTGCACAAGGGATCCATATTCTGCTCCTGAGTTATTTACATATTCATCTGCCTCTGTGTGTGCAAATAACAGAGAAATTATCATGTGGGCATGCTTGTGGGTATGAGTGCGTGTGTTTGTGTGGCTTCAAGCAAGGGCTGTTATGAAAGTGATTCACCCCTAATTCCTCAAAAACTGTGTGCTCTGCATATCCCCTGTAGTAGATCATCACTTTAGATAAAGCAGGGTGTGTTGCCCCTATAGCTGGTGTGAAGTGGCAAGGACCAGAGGCGGTGTTATTGAGGCTCACCGGTAGAGAAAGAGAGAGAGAGCAGCGGTTGAGTTGGAGACACAAAGTCACAGTGCTGCAGTGTCTGAGTCACAGAGCACCCAACACACTCCCAACACTCTAATGGAAATACTGTGTTTACCATGCAGGAAGAGACCAGCTCGCTCACCCATTCAGGGAAAAGGTGAAAAACATCACAAAATAGCCGTGTGTGTGTGTGTGTGTGTGTGTGTGTGTGTGTGTGTGTGTGTGTGTGTGTGTGTGTGTGTGTGTGTGTGTGTGTGTAAAGGTGAGCAAGTGGATAATAAAACGCCTGTTGTGCTGTTGTGTAAGACAGAAAAATCAGGACATGTGAAGCAGTATGCTGTTTATGGCAAAAGATGTTACACCACCGTTGATGCAATGCTGCTCTAGCGTGTGTGTGTTTGTGCGCGTGTGTCCAGGTGGGCTTCTGCTCACTAGGTTGTATAAGGAGTGGAGGAGGGAGGAGGGGTTGGTCAGACCTCCATTTTAAATCCCCCAGTTCAAACTAGATCTGTCTGTCGCTCTCTCTCTCTGCTTCAGGCTACTTCATGATCCTCTCACTGACACTCAAAGTAAAAGGAGGATTTTTTTTCTATCTTTGGATTAAGAAGGTCCTCCCTCCCCTCTTTCTCTTTCTTCTCCCTTTTACATATTTAGATGAGCCAAAAGTCTGCTCAGTCAGGCCAAACTCAACCTTTGACAGAATATCCCCGGTCTCTTTTTGCTGCTTTCAGACAATTTGAGGGTCAGTTGAAGCTTTTTCTCCACTCATGTCTTTGGCATGACAACCAAATTTAATGCTCTGACTGAGATACTGCCAGTATGTCTCATCCAAAGTTCTTCCTTTTTGTCATGGTGTCCCAGAAAGATTGTTGCATTTGTTTTTTCCTCTGTTAGTTTTCTGCCTTCAAGCTCCTGTGGGGAACTTTCCATCTGTGCAGCTTGTGGCGCCCCCTGTGGTCAAGGTGATCAATAAATCAGTCCTCGCCTAGTGCTAGTATACAGGGACAGGGATAGTGGTCCAGTTAAATAGCCTCAAGCTGAAGCCAAACTTCTCTGTCTGTGTAAATGTACTGGGAGGTGAAGTTTTCTCTGTCAGACAGGGTACAGCACCTGACTGCAGACACAACAAAGCTCTGTAATGTATGTGCAGTTAGATCTGTTGATTATTGGAAAATCAGGCGATCTCAGCTGCATTAATTGTTCTTTGTAGTGCCTTTTCACAATCTTTTACAGAAAAGAGTCTGCACATTTCAAGAGGTCTATATTTTAACTTGCAGTGAGGAATCAATCTAGGTATTTGAATTACGTAGCTTCACATATGCTCAGTTAGGTCTCAATGAACTTTTGCTGGAAATAAGGTGAATGGTGTCAATTATCTTGACAGCATGAAATGAGTTCTTCATGTTGTTACCAACCTTAATACTTGGCAAACTCTGTTTGATGTAATAAATTACAAAGTTTAGTATGAATCTGTAAATTTTAATCACATAGCTGTGTGCAGGTTCCAACTGAGCACATGCTTACAGATGTCTGCTGTGTCTGTAGCCAAGTCCTTGTAGACAGGAGTTGGGGAGCCTTACATGGCAGGACACAACATAAAGCGGCCTCATTCCACGAATAAAGACTTGCGCTGAATCTTCCTGACTTTTACCCAGTCTGCACCCTTCAATCTTGAGAAATGAATGCAATGCATAAGTGCTACAAACTGCAGTTCCCTCAGTCTCCACTTAAGGCTGGCTTCAGATTCACTGGACATCATGTACACACTTAGCCATAAGAAAAAGTTTTTAAACCACATAAAAATTTGTTTATATTGTGATTCAGAAAGTAGCTGCCACAATACCCACTGTATGGGAAGTGATTTTTTTTGTTAAAAGTTTATTTAGAAATGAGTCAGGTAACACAAACAGTGAATCAGAGGCATGGCTGATTTGGGTGGCAGCCCGGCACACTGAAGCCATTTGTGAGGAGAAGGCTTGAGACCCCCTTCTGGTAGACTGACCAAAATTTAGGCTGAGTCAGCATTTCCATTATGGCGAACACAGCTGATTAAGCTTCAGAAACAAATGGGTAATGTCCACGATGCTAACTCCAATCATTGTACAGTCCATGCTTTTACCTGTTGTGTTGTCACACCTGCTAACCCTGTTGGATAGGGCTTCACAAATGCAGCTGGAATTTTCTGGAAATTCTATCTACTGATAGATGATTGCTCCCCAATGTGATTCTGTCATAATTATTGTGCAGAATATGCAAAGATGTATCCTTGACAGTGTGAGATGCTTGTCACAGACGCGCCTCATTGTATCATAGTGTGCTGAAACTTTGGCCGAACTTGTGCCTGTCCCTTAGGACAGTGTTAAATGGGTGTTAACCTCCACATTACAAGCCAAGTGTGAGCTACACACTGCTTAATTTCTTTGCCCCCAACCCCCCACATTTAAAAATAGCGGTGAAGCGACAGCCGAGCTCGATGCATTATTGATACAGGCGGTGTCAATGATGCATGTGCTAAGACACCGGTGCTAATTTTCACTCCCATGTAGAGGCTGGAAACATTGACCTGCTGTCATTCATTTGCGTTGTTATTGCTGCTTTTTTGACCCCGGCCATGAGGACAGGGTAGCTTAAATACGGCAGCTCCTCTTGACTTATGATGGCTGCAGTGATTGGGTTAAGTGTAGCAGGGTTTTGTGTGCCACTGTGTCACTGAGGACCCCCCTGCTGCAGCATTAGCAGCCGCAGCATCAGCAACCCTGTCTGGCCTCTGCTGTGTGATGTTTGGCAGTCGGGGGGCTGGATTCATCACCATCACGCTGATCCAAGGGCCGATCTGATGGCATCGGTTTTTACGATGCCCCGGCTTTCCTGTTCAGTCACATTATGAAAGCATGACAAGTGTTTTTTTTTCTTCTTTTTTGTCACTGCCATGTTGCTTCTGCTGTTGGAGATGTGATGAGTGCAGACATTTTTTCTGTGTCATCACTGTGAAAACCCTGCCCTAAAGCCTACTATCAAACTTTCACACACACACATTTGCACATGTACAAGTACACACGCGCACGCTTACACACACTGACACTGACTAAAGAGTGATTCAGTGATTGAGGAGGGGCTTTCTTTAACAATTTGAGTGCAGTGGAGGCTAACACAAACCCTTTAACAGCTCCTCCTGCGTCTGCTTTATACCCTGTGAAGGTGTCCTTAATTTTTCAACAGCACATCTCTTATTTTTTTGTTGCCTTGGTAACCGTGTCGGTGGTCATAAGATGTCCGTTTTGGTTTGGCCTTGTAAGTGTTGAGCTGCGTGGAACTGGACGGTGGGGCTTGTCAGTGTGTGTGGGCTGTGATGTGAGAGTGATGAGTGGCATCTCAGCCCAGATAACTATCTTGTGTGTGTCACTCAGCTGTGGGTTGGCAGGGTCTGTGATCAGCAGCTGAGGAAAATCCACACAGTCAGTGAAAATAGTAAAATGGGACACGCTCACAGCTCATGTAATTGTAAAGTAGCGATTAATGGGAATAGTAAAGTGGGAGCTCTGCTTAACAGTGAGCTCATGAATGCTTTATAAAGGAGGATATCAGTGTCGTCATGTGAAAACTTTCTAACTGCATCTCTGAGCATCTGTGCAGTAATTTAATTTTTTTTCCCTTTGAATATGAAAACTCTTCCTGGCTCTGGTAAAACCAGCTCAGAGCCCCATGGGGTAAAGTTCAAAAGGGATTCTTGGAAAAAAGCTGATATTGACATTAAGCAAGCAGCCAGAGTCCCTTTCAAACACAGATTTGGAAACAATCTGCCGGGTTAAGACACCCTTCTGGAGCATCTCCATGCCCTAAAAGAAAAAGAAAAAGAAAAAAGTCCTCTTCAGGACTCTGGGACTTCGACTTGACTGTCCCGGACTATTGGAGTTAGTGCTGACCCAGCAGCAGCAGCAGCAGTGCTCTCCTCCTCACAGGGACATGCTGGCTGTTAGGTTCCAAAATGCACACAGCGGTCCTACTCTCAGATTTACTGGTTATGGACATTTTGGCTCGGCATCATGATCGCACTTCTGCAGTGTGTGATGTTTGTTTGAAGCTGGGTGCAGGCCACAGAGTACAGTTCACTGCTTTGAAGTATAAATTTAGGTCTGGTTGGAGCACCTTATGGGAGAGGAAGGAGACAAAAACAGACATATGGATATTAGCTGCTGGTTTTGATAGTAGAGCTGTCCAACCAGGATCTATCAGCAGGAGCGTGGGAGAGCATGAGGTCAAACGTAGGAGCAAGGTAGGGCTGGACAATACAGCCAAAATTATGACCACAATGTATTTGTTCTATATGTATGAATATCAGCATTTCTTATGATATTTGATGTAATAAAAATAAAGAGACAGATCTGTTTGTGTTGTTGACTTTAAATATTACGATGCCATTTATTACCATGTCATCCCTTTTTAAAAATTTTACTTTCTGAAAGTGAAGATAATACAAACCTGTAAACTACAAAGACAACTACAGCTCCTCAAAAATGAAGTTCTAACCGGGATGAATTATGCCTGTTTTCTTTTTCTTTAAAGCTGAAAACATACAGGATCCATATTGAGCACGATCTGTATTTGCTCCTTAGAGCAGCCCTGGGTATCAAATACAGGATGCCTATTTGGGGCTTGGCAACAGTGTAGTGCAGCCCCGGTCAGCTTGGCTCAGTATAGAGGAAACAACATGCTCACAACAGGTTGTTTTGCCTTTCTGTGATCTATTTCCTGCTAATTTAGTTATAATTAAGTGACTGTTGAGCTTCTACTATATGTGAAAAAGCAATGTGATTTTACAGTTTGGATTTTTGCAGGTTTACTTGTGTTTAATAAAGTAAACTATGTTCCTTTATACTGTGCTGTTACCTTCAGACAGAGTTAACCGTTAAAAGTCCTGTTGGGGTCCACATTTATCAGGGATTGACCATCAGATTGTTCTGTGTTACTGATAAATCCACAACCAGGAAGTATTTCTCATCTACATGAACTAATACATAGTCGGGAGCTCGCATAGGGTGTTTTATTTTAAAATACCTGATGTCATGCGTGGTTTTTCGTGCTTGACTTCCTGTCTTGAACGATCGTCTCTGTGTAGATTCACATGCATTGGAAGCGTAGAGCAGCAAAAATAGACCCGTCTATAGCAGTGCTGCTCTCGATGCACTTCTGATACAGAGCTGATACGCACCCTGTATGCGATGCTGCATTGATTATAATGGCAACCTATTTGCTGCAAAATACACAATGCTGACGTTACGCACTCAATAAGGATCCTGTATGTTTTAGCCTTTAAGCTTTAAGATTTATGATAGACCGTTAAAAAATACAGACAAAGACAGACTGCAGTTTATTTCTTAAAACTTCGGTCAATCTTTATCTTCATTTTTTTAAATCATAAACTTCATTGTCAGTACTGACATCTTTTCATTTAGAGTGTTTGCCTCAAGTTGGACCCCAAGTGACTTTGAGAACTTTTTAATTTAAGCACGCTGGCCCCTTTGTCCATTAATTTGAAATAAAATCCAAATTTTTCATAACACAGTACATTTTTCAGTATCACAAACTGACTTATCTTTGCAGGATTTTGAGTAAATTATAGAATTTAGATGATTTTAAATTCATCAAAGCTTTTCAACATTTTACCCAATGTTGCAACGTTTTTGGAACTGGGGTTGCAGACTGACCCCAAAGTAGATGTTGAGAGACGTAGGTCACAGAGATTGATTAGATGGACTTGAACTCAGTTGACAGCTAATAAGGAAGGAGCTAGAGAAACTTGAGATTATCAATTTGTCTGGTTACAAGTCATAAGTTTGGACAGATTTTGGCTTCTATGAACGGAAGGCCTCCTTGATAAACCAGCAGCTGTTTGCAGAGTATACAGAGTTGAAGACTGCGCTGACAACACTACCAATCTCTTCACTTACCTCTGAAGGCAGCATGGTATCAGCATCAAACACAGAGCTACCAGTTCTGTTCCCAAAGCAAAAGCAGTGCCAGCTGCCCTGGAAAAAGTAACAGATATGCCAACATCTTTACCCAGACACTGGCCAAATCTCAGCAAGTGCTTAAGTTACAATAACAGTTGCCAGATTTATCTGTAATACTATCATACAGTGCGGTTGGAAATTCTGGTTCCCATGAAATGATCCCAAGTCCTTCACCAAGCTCTAACTTACCAACTTGCATACCTGCACTGTATGAGTAGACAAAGAATGAGGTACAGCTGTTACCTCCACAAACTGGATCATCACAACAGATGCATCGACATCTGTCCAACTCAGAGGTATGTTAGGGTGTCATGGTATGGCTCTAGAGAGGAATATGGAGAGCTTTCAAGTTTGCATAAAGCCCACACTAGTGACACAAGGACACTGCAGTGTGTGACACATGCACAGACTGGAGCCTTAAAGACAAGAACCTGACCCTAATAACAAATCACCCAAACCTGAACTGCACAATGCAGAGCATTCAGGTTTATTTCATACAAAGATTGTAATACTGCGTGAGCGAACTCTCCATCTCACCATAAACAACAAACCCTGTCATATGAACTGTCAAAAACGTGTCTCTTTGATGCCAAGAGGAGAAGCCAGCAAAGCTGGAGCTTATATTCCCTTAGCTTGTTTGTAAAGAACTTGGCCTTTTTGGGGTCAGGATTGCATGAGTACAATTTTCCACAAAGGTCTCCTCTTCCCTAAAAGAGATCCCAAAATAAAGGTTCAGTCTCAAAATTAGTCCCTCAGTCTCCAATGATCTTGGGGATGATCACTGAGAAGGCACTGAGCGGAGCTGCCAGCAGTTGTAGTTGGTGCAACATTATTTTATTTCTCCAACGTGTCATATGTCCAATGAGCTGGTATTTTACCCCTTGTGTTGACGGGCATTATGCTTACATGTAAAAAATCCAGAGTTTGTAGTTCTTCTTTCATAAAATTCACTTGCAATCCTTTAATCTTGCACAAACTGTTTATTACTCTGCTCCCACCTGAGGGTCAGAAGTTGTGATCAGAAAGCAACAACCAGAGCACAGATCCAGCCTGACCCATATAAGCCTCCTGAGCCGAGCTTTAAATCTGACCTCCAGCATCCTCAAAGTGAAACAAGTTTTCTTAAAAAAAACAGTTGTAAACTCATCAATATGAAATCAACATTTTACTGCAGTTATTGATTTTTCTTTACCCTGTTTGTCTCCACCCCCTCATGTCAGCCAAGTGAGGCATACTGTCTCTTTTTTTATCTCATCGGTGCTGATTTATTCACACAGTCTGGCCCTTAATACCCTCATTTCATGTCTGCTCCCATTTCTGCTCCCAGTCTGTATGAAACCAAAATTCACGTTTTTAATAGTCCCCCTCTAATGCTTTTAAACGTGACATTCAGCAGACACTGCAGCGGCCTCCTTTGTGTTTCAGCCATAGTTGATGTGCGTTTGCCAGGTCCATCCGGCAGTGGAGCCTCTGTGCCGCCTCAGGGTCTCCCACCCCTTTGTGCCTGAAGGAAAGAGAGAGACAAGGAGGGGAGGACGAGGGGAGACAGAAATAGAGAGAAAGACAGGAGAGATAGATTGAAAAGAGATGTGATGATGGCAGGAAGAATGAAAGATGACAATGAGAAGCATCCTGTCACTCTATATCTTTGTAGGTTTTGTCTGTGTGTGAGTGTGTCTGCATGTGTGTGATATATTTGACACACACGGGGGCCCCGGCTCAGTGCACTTGTGTGTCTGTGTAGTATCTGCATGAGAGGCATAAGTATGCATATTTATGCATACGTCCGAGTGGCTTGCGTGCATACTTGTGTGCACTTGAGTGCGCGCAGTATCTGTTTTGTGTATCTGTGTGCGGCAGAGATAAAGACATGGAGGAGGAAGGAGGCCGCCATGGTGCTTATATGTCAGCCGGTGCCGGAGGGGGAATGACTCCTCTCTGTCCCCAACCCAGAACAGAGAGGAGCATGGCTGACTTCTCCTGCTTCTCTGCCTTTTTCTCACCCTCTCCTTCAGAAATGTAGCTAAAACCTTCACCACAGCCTCTCCCTCTCCCCAAATCTCCCTCCCTCTCCATCTCTAACTCTCTCTGACTCACACACAAACTCGTACACTCGCTCGCTCGCTAACTCACAGGAGTACCTCTTGCATTAAATCCCCTCCTTTTCCTCCTCTTGTGCTCCTCATCCCCTTAACCCGCCCGTTCTCCCTCCTCCGCTCCTCTATATCTACCTCACGCTTCCAGTTTAAGCCCTCCCACCTTTTCCTGCTGCCATTTTTCACTACCCTGCAGCTAGATGTCAACTTGTGATTCTGTATTAACCCCATGATCCTCACAAACACAAGCACACATACACACACACACACACACAAACACACACACACACACAGACAATCTCTCACGCTCCTGTTAGTCCCTGCATCAAGCTGATCCCCTCTCAGGAAAATGGAAAAACCAACCCAACAACAATAACAAAAAACAAGGCTTCTGATACTTCCTTCCCTCTGTTCAATTAAACATGGCCTCCATCTGCTTTTTTGTTTCGCTTAGGCTTCTCTTCTGCAATATTGACTATGGTTGTTCTTGTGATTGTTTCTAAAGACTGTGTTTTAACCTGTTATAACCACAGATGTACGTATTAACACTGGAGGAACATGTGAAATAGAGAGTGTGTGTGTATGTGTGCGTGGATGGAGGAGGGTGGATTTGTTCTGCTTCAAGGTTCTGTGCCAAATCTTTTCAGAACATTCAATCTCTGTTCATGTGCCATACTGAGAAATTTATGAAATAAAAATAACATTTTTTCACAAAATTCAAAGTCAGATTGGGCTGCTTTATTTTTTCAACATGGGTCTATATTAAATGAGAGCGGAAATCCAATGTTTATTTCTCTGCTTAAAAGTGTGTGTGTGCGCGCGTGTGTGTGGTGTAAATTGGAGATGTGTATGTTCTCTCTTGTCTCGCTTTTTTCGCATAGAGCCTGCACTTCTTCTTTATATCAGTTTCTTTTTTTCCTTTTCTAGTGTGCTGCAGAAGTGTGTGTGTGTGTTTGTGTGTGTGTGAGTGTGTGTGTGTGTGTGTGTGTGTGTGTGTGTGTGTGTTTGAAGGCATTGTGTCAGTGTGCTAAAGCTGATTTGACACCAACACTACAGACCAGCTAGCTGCAGGCTCTGTATCCTGACCCGAGTGGCTGACCTCCACCTGCGCCCCAAGACTGATCATGTGCGTGTTTGTGTGTATTCAAATGGTTGTGCGTGTGTCTTGTATGTGGGCTGCTGTTTAGCTGACAGTTAATACTTAGCTTGTGCTGGTTGGGTTTGCCAAGAGGTCGGTTTCTGAACGCAACTGACTCTTGGTTTCAACGATGGTGTGTGAGTGTATGTTTGTGTAGGGGGGTGCTGGATAGTGTCATTGGATGGGTTTACATTGATTCTCCTTTGCTTAGATAATCTATTTAAACACTGAAGCTCTGGCAGTTAAGTATCCGTCAATCAGCTCAAAGGCTTTGCACTCTGAGAGTGTGAGATGTTATTTCAGTGGCGTGCCCTCAGAACAAATCAGCAGACAAACCTGCTGACAGCTGGGCACGAGCAGCGATACGAAACAGATATCAACTCTTTGTTTGTGTGTCTATGTGTGTGTGTCTCACTGTGTGATTTAAAGGAATATTCCGGCGTAAAATAAATTTAGGGTCAAACACACCAAAACGCCGAGTTAGACAACCCCTCGAGAGATTAATGTAGCCCACCGCTTGCTTCTCTAGTTATACCAATTTTAGTAACGACCGCACAATAGCAACACACAGCGGTCTAAAGAGCCACGCACAAACCTCAACCAAAATGCCACTCTCTAGCCACAAATAATGCTCAGAACAGCACCTAACTTCATCAGCAGTACATGTAGGTGGCCAGCCATAGTACTAGCCACCAAACATCTTTTTAGCTTTGCCTAACTGCTTTAGCAAAGAGACGAAACACAACTCACCTACTCTCTTCCAGCAGCTGCTTGCAGTCATTTCCGTTGGCAACCTAAAAGAGGCGGTAGTCCGGCTGTCGTAAGCCCCCCTTTGATAAGTAGCGATAGATTGCTTTGTAAAATTCATCTATGTTTTCGCCCGAAACTACAATGCCATGAAACCTATTCCAGTGAAAACCACTCCTGTAATGTCTGGACCAACCACCATCTTCAACGTCATATGAACCAACCTTCAGACAATCATATAGCGTGAGGTCATCTATAGGCACCAGGCCCCAAGCCGATCTGGCAGCCCAAACACATCTCGTACCTACACCAGCACTGATAATCAATAGACAATAAGCTGAGAGTAAAATAACCCAATAACGTATAAATGAACAAACCTAGTTCAAAGTTTTTCTGTAAGTCAGTGCATTATAAATGAAACAGAATTAATAGCAGCACATAGATCAGCTTTTATTTCGCTTTGCTGATCCTCTGTCAAAGCCGGTGTAATGGACAAGAAGAAATGTTAACAGTTTTTAAAAGCACCCTAAAAAGGAAAAGTCTGAGTATAGCCAGGGCATTTCCCTTCATCCCCCAAAAGATTTCCTTCAGAAACATTCATATTTATCCATCAGGCATCCGAGCTGTTGAGATTGTTGAGATTTGGGGTTTTAAAAGTGGTGGACTGACTAATAGACCGACTTTGCAGTTCCTAGAGACATACATCTAAAAATAAGGCCTGTGAATTTTTAATGGGTCTTTTTCAGACACTTGCAAATGACTGCTTAGTGGAGAGTGATGACTTGACTTGGATTTTCCCATGAGGACTTGACACTTACTGTGAAATTTATATTCACTGAAAAGAACTCAGAAGGAGCTCTGCATCGACACAGTCATTACTTTGCTTGTATGAAAAATGTAATCACTCCAGTACATGGGTCAGTAGAAAATTCAAGACTTGATTGCTCATCCCAGTAAATAATGTGTGGACTCAAATCGACATACAGTTTTACAATGTTGTGGACAGTATTCAATCAGAAACACTGTTGTCCAAGTCTTAACTGTCCTGGTTTCCTTCAAATAGCTTTTACATGTAAACCAGGAAGAATTTTTTTTTTCTGTTTTATCCAAAGCTGGTAATCTAGCAATTTAGCTCATCTTTTGTTGCTCCAAAAATTCAGTAAATTCTGTAATCAGATTATTGTAATCCAGTTACACGTTATGTATTACTCCTCCAGCCTTTGTGTGGGTGTGCACATGAGAAGCTGCAAAAAAAGACAAAATGCAAACAACACTGTCCTGCTTTGCATGATGTCTGTGCACAACCCAGGCTAAAGCAAACAGGTTTGAATTACATGAGCAGTGTGTGATTCATATTAGCATACTTTAAAAAGTGGTGACATATCCCCTGCATAGTTGCTTGAGTTTCTACACACGCTGGAAGGTTATCAGATTGTGGAAAATGCACAGGCACTTTCTCCAGGACTCATGTTGGAACTTTAAAATGCTGATGCGACACCACCTCCGTCTCTCATACATGCTACCAAGGGGGCAGCCAACGGTCGCGCTGAATAGATTATGCAAAACCACCTAACAATTCTCATTTTCACCTCACCGACTCTAGATTCTACATGACTCAAGGGTAGAGCAGCAAGTACGCACTTAGGATTAGAACCGACTGCAGGGATGCTAAAGCATGCAACTCAATCACAAGGCTCTATTTCTTGCTCAGCTTGCTTAGGTTAAAATAGTTAAGTTTGGGGAAGGTTCCCGTCAAGGGGTTATATACAAACAGTAGGACAGGGTTGAGGATTTGAGGAAAGGGTGGAGGAGAGGGAGGTCCTAAAGTAACAAACAAGTTCCCGTTTTCTGCCTCCTGTTCTCGTGAAAAGGCCAATTCTTTCAGTTGGCTGGAATCTAAACGATTCCTCCACCCCGTTTCTCCCCTTCTGGGGCCTGTCGCATGTCACTCTCCTCAGTGCTGCCGATTGTCTGCGCTTTTCTGCTCTGGTGCTCCTGCGTTGTCGGCATGGCTGTTGTTGTTGCTGGCTGCTGCTGCTGCTGCTGCTGCAGTGGCGGCAGCAGCAGCACTATTCCCTGCTCTGTCTGGAGGTCAAGGCCGGCGCTAGTTCTTTATGTGAAGGTCAGAGCTGAAAAAAACCTGCCTCTGTCTTCTTTAATTCAGCCCTGTGTGATGAACGGTGCATGTCACCCTTCAACATCCCTACTCCCCACCCCCCTCCCCTCCAGCTCCGCAGTGATACAGTTGTAAAGTGTAACCTTGGAGACGGGGGCTAATCATCCATCCAATAGCCACCCTTTCAAATCCTCTCTCTCAACCTTGCTGTTTCTTTACTCTGTCCCTTCCACTGCAACAGGCTATTTACCTATTTCGCTGGATTTACAGTATTTCCCCGATTCTCTGCCTACCTCTGTACCTCCCTCCATCGCCTCATCATCCTCCCCTCTCTTTGTTTGTCCTGTGGAAGGACATTTGTTTTCCTGTGGGGGTAGAGGGGAATCGACATGGAGAGATGAGTTATTGATTAGAAGGCAGGTTGCAGGGGAGAGGTAATGCGACTCAGAGAGAGAGAGATAGAGAGACAGAGAAGACAGGATGACACGTACAACCTATGACACATCTTGCATACTGTATGAAGGCAGCATACCCACGCATGCCGCGGTAACATATGTGCAGCTCGCTTTTGTGTCATGCGCTGTTACATGCACACATGCTTCAAGGTGGCACAAATTGTCACCGGGGTGTGAAAATCTTTGCTTTTCAGATGTTTCACAGATTAAAGGACACATGGTTGGCAGCGGGCACTGAAAATTAAAAAGCCTGCGAGGCTTTAAAAAAATATTTGGCTTCATTTGTAATGATCATGAATCCTTAAATTTGATTAAGTTAATTTAAGGGTGTCATCAGTGGGAGGAGACTGGCATTTCTTTTCACTTGCACAACAATGTGGATCATCTGTGGAGAAGACCCAGAATTAATACATTTTCTGTCAGTCTAATATCCGCTATTTTGTTTTTTTATTAAGCTATGTCAGCATACACAGAGCACCCCAGAAGCCGAAATGCGACAGGTTGTTATTTCTCGAACAGTCTGAAAATGATCTGCATAGTGTTGTGTGTGGAAGCCAAATTAGTCACTGAGGTCTTCTTTTCCTGAAATCAAACAGACCTGCTGTCCGTTTCACGTAGCAGGTTTAGTGGAAACTCCGAGTTTGTTAACCCTGAAATCAGGGAAACTCTGAGTTTTCCGTTTCACAAAGGAGGGTTAGTTAAACCAGGGAGAGAGGGGTAACTCTAACCTGTTTCACGAAGAGAGGTAACTCAACCTCGCGGTCAGTTACCACAGTAACAGACTCCGTGAACCTAACCTGCTCGGGAGCAGGTTTAACTCAGTAAACCCAGAGTTTCAGGTGAGACATCGGCATTTTCTCATTTTGATCATGTTTTACATTGTCAAGTAAGTATTAAGTGGCAGTTTGATCCCTTAAAAAATGCTCTTTTCACACTCAAAACTGAATTTTACTCTCTTATTATGTTCCGTTAAATGATTAGGAATATTAAACTAACACAAAAACGGGTGGTGGTCCAGCAGCCCCACCTTTAACGGAGGCAGAGGAGCTGCCCCCCCACCCCCGTTCGACGATCGCGGCCGGTCCGATCGCAAATCCCCCCCCACAGACACACACGCACACCAGTCCGACGATCGCTGCTACGGGGTGGGGGTTGCGATCGTCGAAGGGGGGGGGGGGGGCAGCTCCTCTGCCTCCGTTAAAGGTGGGGCTGCTGGGCCATCACCCGTTTTTCTGGCATCTGCCCTCTTTCTCTTTGCTGAGTGAAAGTCTAATATTGAGTGTAGTGTGTGTTAGTTTAATATATGTACATATACATACTGAGAGTTAGTTTAATATTCCTAATCATTTAACGGAACATCATAAGAGAGTAAAATTCATTTTTGAGTGTGAAAAGAGTATTTTCTAAGGGATCAAACTGCCACTTAATACTTACTTGACAATGTAAAACATGATCAAAATGATTCAAGCAGTTTCCCTGCAACAGTCTGTCATTGTGATTGCACGAGACTAGATTTAAAGTTACGCATTGACGCGAGCAGCGACTTCCTCCCATGCCCTCTCCCTCTCCTTTGCAGCTGCTGCTGTATTGCACTTTCTTTTAAAAACGTGCTGTAATTCGCTGTTGGCTTGCTGCTGCCCCCTCCTTCTCCCTGTTTCCATTGGTTGATCATTGAATCTGCGCTCCACAGATGCTGGCTGTTTATGTCTGGCGTGCACGTGCTTAACTCCAGGTCAAACTACTCGGAGTTGTTAAAACCGTCTCAAATCAGGCGTTGTGAAACCGGAAACTCAGAGTTTCCTAACTCAGAGTAGATCAACTCAGAGTTAAGGATTTAACTCAGAGTTTGTTGAACCACCTACGTGAAACGGACCCCTGCTGACTACAGCAGTATGGACACAGAATGAAGGAGCTCATGTTTAAAATCAAACTTACTTAACTTTCTTTAGTTTGGCTTTATGGGCTTCAAGGTCTTGTCTACTCTGACAATATAATTAATAAAGATATTTAAATTTAAATGATCATTCATAAACTCAGCTGAAAACCTGTAACTTGCTGCTTAGTCCTGCCAACTGCTGACTGTTTGCTCAATGTGCAAGGATCTTGGGACAGAGAGGCTTAACAGCAGCCCAACTATGCCTATTGCCAATTTATGGGTTCCAGTTACATGACTTTGGTTTGGTGGCCTTCATCTTTAGCTCTGTAGCACCATCAGACACCAAGAGTACCTGGCAGACACAGCCAAAGTTGCCCAGGTTGATATTTACCTTTCATCTCAGCCGTTTTCTTGTATTTTTTTTTTTGTATATGATGTCCATCATCTCACCAACACGAATTTTCCAAAACCCTAAATAGTTTGTACAGACAGTTTTATTTCATGAATTGCAAAGTTAATTATAAATGTTGCCATTTCAATCACGTAGCTCTGCACGTGTGCAGTTAAACATGTTGGTGCACACAAGGTCAGAAGTTGACTTCTGTTTGTATTTTTATTATCTAACATGGAATGTCTTTTTAAAAAAAATTTTTTAGATAAAACTTGATAAAAGGAAACAAGGAGACGCTTTTGTAACTTAATTCCTTGAAACATCTGATATCAACATAGGGCCAACTTCCAAACGTGTTTGCAATGCAGAGGTCCGCTGTGTCCTCTATTTCGGAAGCTTAAAACTACAACAGTGGAGACAAGAAATGTAACTTCATCTTTATCACGGGGCTGCCCGATTTTGGCCAAAAATAAAAACCTGATGTTTTTTCTCTGAAAACTCTATTTTAGATTTCGATTTCATTTTTTTTATTCAGTCACAACTTCACCAAACTTCACTTGAATAAAAAGTTTTTTCTATCATCTCTCAATATAAAACCACTGAAAATGATGTAGCGCAAGCCAGTAAGTGGCGCTGTAACCCTGCACAGGAAATGCAAAAAAGGCAGAAGAAGAGTAAAGATATTGATCATGCATATAAAGGTTGTTGTTTTAAGGTTGTTTATAAAGGTTGACAAGCACAGGCACCATAAAAGAACTACGCTGTGTGTCACATAATCGTTTCCAGATGGGTTCAGATAGACAACCACACGGAGATGAAATGGTAGTCGTTTACAGATTCATGCACTCTCTGACCTGTTTTCAAAAAGTACCGTTTACAGTCACTCAAAACACCGTTTCCATGTGGATGAAACACCGCCTTCAGACAGACTTTGCATTGGGGAGTGGTTTGTTCTTCGCCACGAAATTATCACCCTCTTTTGCAAACGTCATGTTTCTTTACACTGGTGTGTGTGGGAACTGGGGAGCACTCCCGCAGGAAGGGGGAGCCTATGGTGACCTGGAGGTGGAGACATGATAGAGAGAAAAACTGATTTGACAATTTTAATATTTCTAACATTGTCATCATTAAATAATGCAATTAACATGTAAAATTGATTAATTGAGCAGCCCTACTTTATCATTTTAATTCTATGTACACTCAATGTAGCTGTAAATGTTTTCCTGTTTTACCACCCACACTCTTGAAAAACTCTGATAAATCAGGTGAAAAAAAAAGATTAAACTTGATAAAAAATAATAATGATAACATGCTTTTCTGTTTAGTTGAGAAATGAACTCATCGAAAAGGACATTTTGCAACTCATTATTGAACAAAAAGACTTGATTTTACTCACTATATTTGGAACTGTGTAAAGCTATAGAGGGTATGTTCATGTTAAAAACTCCAATGTTTGTTGTGATTGTAAAAACTACTTTCTGAGATTTGTGCGACTCTTAGAATATAGAATAGAATATTCCTTTATTGATCCCCCATGGGGGAAATTTTTTTTAGCTGTCAGATATTAATTTAGCTGGAGGAGTTTGTGGGAGTCAGGGAACCTTTGCATGTTGGTCATCCTGAACAAAAGGACGTTTACTTCGACAAGACTCAGGGTATAACTTATTTAGCCGTTAAGCCCACCATCAGAATGAAAAACCTGCACACTCGAGGCACTTGAGGCTCACATACAAGGGCAGGTACGGCACCGGCAGTTTTGCAGTTAGACAGAGCAGAAAAATATGTCATCCCGGGAGAAGGTCGAAAAAATCCAGCAAACAACACAAGATGTAATTTATAACAAGGATTCACCCAGGGACACTATTTCACGCACAACTATCCATGAAGAGATGTCTTTTTTTTCCTGAGAGAAAGCATATGTTCTCACAGACAGGAGTGAAGACACCAACGTAGCACCAGTCCACCAGCCAAGGTGTGTGCGTGTAAAAAAAAAACAGCTCTTTAAGGGGGTGCCAGTGTTAACTTGTGATACGGCAGTATCATATGCTCTAGTCCACACCTCTGCAATAGGCATATGTCCAGCTTTTTCCACTGAGCTGCTTCAATCCTGATTTGAAGTATAGCGTTTGAGTCTAGAGATTAGGGCCTGATATCTGGAATATCCATCTCTGCATTCCAGACCAGAGCAGAACAACCAAGAGACAATCTGCACAAACAAACACAGTGCTATGATGAATACATTATCATACAGCAAACAGGCAATCAATATGCAGGGACTTGTTGTGTAATCCTCCAACATTATGAGTCCTCTCAGGTTTCTTACACATTAGCAATGATTGACATGCACCAGACTCTGCCTCACCCCTAAACTTGCACTTCCTCTTCATTCTGTCTCCTGGTTTCATGAAGTTGGCGTGCATGTCTTCTCCTAGGTAAATTGACTGGCTTGACACGCTTTTGTGAAAATGTTTTTTAACCTGTGCAACCTTTGCTTGTGCACATGGTCACCCCTGCGACTGCTCCCCTCCATCTTCATGCTGCAGCGCTAAATGATGGGAGTAGTGTCAGTAATGACTTGAGGCACAGAGACAACGGTGGAGGTGAATTACTCCCTCTCTCCTTACTTTCTTGGTCTCATCAGCAGCTTGATATTATCGATTAGCTCCAGCGAAGGACTGATAGGGAGTAGCAGCAGCCACTGCAGTCCTGCAGGATTGCCCGAGTTTGTGTGTGTGTGTGTGTGTGTGTACAGTAGACAGGGGGCAGAGCCTGCAGCTGTGCACACCTATGTGAGGGAGTGTGTGAGCCTTATTTACTCCACTACATGCTTTTATTGAGTCAGCCCCCTGAGTCAGACACTGATGCAGCTGCCTCTGCCACAGCTCGTGCAAACTCACCAGCATCTAGTAGTACAATTTTCAACCCCCTGCTGCTAAATGCAAGCAGAAAACTCCCCACTTGGCTAACCATGCAGGGTCCACACACCCTTTGCCTGCCTGGAACATGACCTGTTTACATAGGAAGCAGTGGTGCCTAATGAGACGGCATTATTTATAGTCTGGTGTGACAGCAACGATCTCACCATTAGACTGATAATGAGTCACTGGGATATTGATGGATGCTTGTCTATATTGGTATTCACCAAGGAGCTGGTGCCACTTCTCAGGGTTGCTGTGGATACCAACGTTGCCTGCTAAATGACCCAATAATAATAACAATGATAACAATGACAGCACTGCAAGAAGATTGAGTTTTAAAACCACAGGGAAAAAGAGGCCGACCGGAGCACAGAAGTATTAAGGATGGATAGAGTGAGACAAAATAAAAAGCGAAGAACAAAAGTGTGTGTGTGGGGGGGGTTCTAGTTTTGGAATAGGAGGAAAAAGGGATAGATGCGCAATCCATGATCAGTAAAGTAGCATTAGCTTTGTTCACACTTCCTCAACCCCTCCTCACCACCCTTTGCACCACCCAACAACCCCTCCACCCAGCCATCCCCAACACCAACCCCCTTTTCCTCTTGTGGCCTCTCTTTCTTTCTTTCTTGCTGCAGCGTTACCATAGCAACCAAGAAATGTGGGAATACCTCTGTCCTTCAGAGAGAGAGAAAGAGAGAGAGTGAGACAAATGTGCAAGGAAGAAAGGAAGTAAGGATGAGAGGTTGGAATACAGGAGGTATGAATTGAGGGATAAAGAAAGGAAGGACTTCAATTAAGACATGGAGGAGGAAGCAAAAAAAGAAGGAATGATAGGAAGGAAACAAGGATGGAATGAATGAGAGATGTCAAAATGGACAGGATTGACAGTTGGAAGTAAGGATGTGGAGAAAGATAGAAAGTAATGACAAAAGAAAGAAAAACAGAAGGAAGCTAGGAAATGAAGAAAGAAGATATGAGAAAAGGCAGACAGACAGAAGAAAACCAGGACGTGAAAGGAGCAAAGTAAGGGTAAATAAAAAAGAAAGGAGGGAGAGATGGGGGAAAAAAGGAGGGAGAATAAAGACAGAAAAAGACAGTCAGAATTAAGTAAATTAGGAGAAAGAAAGGGTGTAAAACAGGAGGGAAACGAGAAGGAATGAAAAAAGGTCATGGGGAGGAGGGAAAAAGAAGAAAAGGAAGGAAAGAATAGAAGAAGGATAAAAGGAGGAAGGAAGAGAAAGAAGAAATATTGAAAAACAGACAGTATGAACGAAATAAGGAATAAAGTCGGAAAGGACAGAAAAGGGGAAGGAAAGACGAAAGAACAGTTTAAAGAGAAGAAAGGGAGGAAAGAAGGAAGGAAAAAGAAAGGACTGAAGGGAGTGGAAAAAACTAAGAAGGGAGAGAGAGAGAACAGAGGAGAGGGAGGGAACATAAGGAAGATATAAAGAAGAAATAAACAAACTTGTTCCCCCCTCCATCCTCCCATAAAGAAGAAAAAGGATGGAAATAAAAAAATGTACAGAGAATCAATTGAGAGAATAAAGACGGATATAAGGTAGACGCAAAAGGAGTACAGGTATGGGGGAAATATCAAGAAAGAGAGAGAGAGAAAAAGAAGGAAGCAGGACAGAGTGAAAGGAAAGAGAGAGAAGGACGAAAACTGGATAGAGCAAAATATGCTTTTCATTATTTTGCTCAATCTAGAAGTAGTGAAGGAACCTGAGAAGGAGAAAATGAAATAAATGTTTGAAAAAAGGGAAGGATAAAAAGAAGGAGAGTAGAGTTAGGAGGATCAGACGGTTAGAGGAGCAGCACTTGTTCACTGTCCGAGCGAGTAGGAGAACCTTTTTAAAGCTCTAGAAGAGCAGCTCCAGTATGAAACAGGGTGCTCTGAAACGTGTGTGTACATGTATTAACACATTTGCATTATTGTCAGTGCCTCTGATTACACATTAAGCTCTTTTCTCCGGCCCTGAAATAAAATGAAAAAAACTGTCAATGGAAAGATTTTCTGATTGAGTTTTTATGCAGAAAAAAAAAGAAAAGAACCACCTGTCACACACCTGTGTGCTATCTGACCACCAGGTCATTCAATCTGTCTGCAAACACAGACACAATTGTGACACACGTTAAGCCGTTGCAAGTCAAGCTGCTATGTATTTTCCTGCACTCTGTTGTGCGCCTACGGTTACTATGACAACCCATCCTCTGTGCATGTTTTTCCTCCCTTGTTTACCCAAAATTCTCCCCTGACCCTGTCCACCCCCCGTCATTTATCCATGCATGCAACTAAGTGCTGCATTAGGAAAGCGAATGAAGCCCCAGCCACCCAGCCCCCCCAGCCCCCACCCCCCATTCTCAACTCTGTTGTCCCCATCTCCTGCGCCATGCTCTCACCTTCCTGCCAACCTGCCGCAAAGATTCTCCTCAAATTCATTTTATTGGCAGCTAGCATTTCCATGGAAACATCTAGAAACCATGGCAACTATTTGAACGGAGCCAAACGCTTTCAGCACTCATCCCCCTGCTCTTCCTCTTTCTCCCTCTCTCTCATGTTATCTTTTCTCTCTCCTTTTTCTCCCCTTCAGAGTACAACATATTGCTGGTGAATTAAAAATTATTTGTGATTTTGTCAACTTTTATACAACCTACTGGTACTCAGCAGCAACATCATCTGCAGCAGGTTTTTTCACTCTCATAAGCTTTGTTTTTTGGCAATGTATGTGTGAGAGCTGATTGTCCCCGTCACTCACACCATGTGTTTGTGTGTGCATGTGTGCTCTATCTGCAAGAACTAAAAATGATTATAGGCGAGTGCATGAAAGCTAAGCCTCCTCTTCTCCTCCAGTACTTACCTTGAGCTTGTCCTCTCAAGTGGTTTCAGCTGCATGCCTGCCTGTCAAACTTGGGACTCCTCCCCTGGGATGCAGTCTGATGATGTGAAGTGGCAGCCTGGGAGTCCAGCCACAGCAGCCCCCCGCCTCCCGATGGGGCCTGGCACTGCTGCTTCTGTTTTGGTGGGCTCCAGAAAGGACTTTGCTTGAGCTTTAAGCTACAGTGAGGGAGGTTAGAGCTAAAATCAAGTGAGAAACAACTGTTTTTTCCAAGTCTATTTCGGGGCTTGAAAACTGATATAGAAAAGAAAAGTGATTAGATTTGGAAACTCGAGCTACTTTGGTACAGGGTTGCAGGCTGAAATCAAACCTGGGCTACCTGTTATAAGAACTGTTGTCTTTATTCAGTGGGTCTGCAGTTTAACTGCTGGGCTACGCTTGTGCAAAGACAGCATCAGAATATTTTTCCAAATCACAAAAATGCAGTTTATTAAAGTATGATGCAGAATTAGACTAAGTTGACTGTTTGTAACACTCACTTAACTCTAGCTAAACTAAACTAAACTAAACCTCTAACCAGCGAGGAAAAACCACCCTGACCAATTAAGAACCTGCCCAGCTGTTGTGTGGTCCATCAGGAGCCATCCTAATGTCCACTTACTAGTTAGAGAATGGGTAAAGTTTGTGAAAATCTCATGACATTAATACGGTCTTTATACTAAGATCTGACACAGGCTGACAGTAAGGAGGAAGAGGTGGAGACTTATAAACCTTTGATAGATGTGCTTAATCAATGTTACTTGATTTCCATCCCATGTAAAGACTGTAAGAGGAAGTGCTCCAGGAAGATTGCGCCAACTTGTTTGATAGTCACATCTGACTTAAAGTATATATTTGAAACTAAGTGTGTCTGCAGTGGATAAGCAAGAAACTGTTTTGAACTCTAGTTTTACTTAAACTACATTATCATCTAAATTTCCCTAAAGAGTAAAAAAATAAATATAATAATAATAATAACTGAATTGCAGAATGTGAAAAGATAACCTACAGATATTTTTCAAATTTAAGCAAGCATGGCCTCTTTGATTTTCTGTAACAGCTTTCTGCGTGAGGGTTTTTTCTTACCTACATGGCCATCGAAAAGTCCCAACAGCATGAAGTGCAGAAGGCTTTTGTTAAGTCCCTACTGACCGGATTTACCTGTGTCTTCTTTGCTTCCTTTTTTTAGCTGGAGCTGCAGCATCTTTCTCTGTTTAAGTTGAACTAATGCAATATTTAAAAAAAAAACAAAAAAAAAAACACGTCTGGAAATCTTATTTTTGCCGTGCAGTTAGCTAAAGTTAAATAACAAGCAGCTATTTTAGTTCAAACTCATACTAAGGTTGTTACTTTATCTGGTTGGATTGAAGACCAGTTTTGTTGTTATGAATATGAATAATAATATTATTGTGTTCTTGATTAAGGTAGAGCTAATGTCCCACAGCATGAACAATTGAGGTTTAGGTCATATAAAACACAAAGGTTTACATTTTTACCAACAAAGTAAGGGCCAATCCCAATTGTCACTCTTACCTCTTCCCCTTGGTCTTACCTCTTTGTCTACCCCTTTCCCTTGGCCCTCAAAACAGGGGGAGGGATGTAAATGCCACTTGATTCTTGCTACATCATAATGCCTTGCCACTTGCTCACTGTGTCGTAGGCTGATGCGACAACACAGATAAACGAAAACAATGCCTACTCTTTAATGTTTAGCCTGTTATTAGCAATAGCAATTGAAAACAACGCAACAGTATTTTATTCATACAAGAGCATACGTAGAATCTCCTGATGCAGCTTCAATGTTAGAGGTCATTAATGTACCAAATGTAGCTTAGCTGTCTGATTATTCCGTCTATCATTCATGAAATACAGTATATTATTGTAAAGTCCACTTGCTGTTAATTTGTCACCCGGTCCCAGTTTGTCTTTGTTTCAAGGTTCTGTGAACCCCTTGCCCTTAGCCCTTCCCCTTAACCATACGGAGAATTGGGACACCCCTCCGCTTGGTGTCCGCTTCGCTTTTACGTGAACACGCAAAACTGAGGGCTAAAGGGTAAGACAAGGGCTTACACTTAGCATGTATTTAAGCAAATAAATATCTCTTTAAAAAAAAGACACAGGGAAAAGAGGCCCTTGCTCCATGGGCTGTTCTGGCTATAGGTGGTTCTAAAAGATGTTTAGACTCTGAGTCAACCTTGACTCTGCCCTTAGAAAGTACAGAGACTTGATAAACATGTTGCTGCTTTGTGCACTTAAAAGCCTTCCATTCATTGTTTATTGAAAAGTTATCTCCCTTTTTACATGATGCTCAGTTTTTACAATGGGGAACACATGAAGCGAAGACACTGGTTGAAATGGTTTTCCCCTCTGACTTCTTTCCTTCTCTTTTACATCCATCCTCAGATGAGACTCCAGTGAATAAGTTTATGTTGAAGCCCTTTCTGAAGTCACAGTTTACACTCAACATGTCACAGCCTGACAGTGTTTACTTCTGTGAGCAGGATGTGAGTGATCATCTCAAAGGTATTAAAAGTTGTTTATTTTTATTTTTTAGAAGCATATCAGAGTTTTTTTTTTTAAAATTGAAGCTTTGAACGTGACAGCCCTGTCTTAGACAAAAGATGTTAAAAACACAATTAGACAGAATTGAACTGACAATGCTTTGATTGACTTCTACTTCGTTCCAAAAACAGGAACCAAAAAAAGTGGTGTACGTGTGAAATCCAATCTGTCCTATTTTAGATCTGTCTGTAATAATTGATATCTAACAACAACTCTGATGCGACGGCAAGCTTTGATATTATCTGAGGGATCTAATTGTAAGTCTGTGGTCATACAAGCAAAGAGCAATCCAATAGCATCACTGTCGATATGAAACTGTTGATAAAATACTTCCATCCTTAAAGAAAAGGAGTCTGTGCAGAAAGCTGAGGGAAATCTCTGCATTTATTTAACATGTTTTTTATGTCTTTTACATATTTTCTGTGTTTGCATCTCCCTAACCCTAGATTCATTAAAATAAAGCAACCTAGCAAGTAAAAAATACTGTAATTGTTTTAATGAAAAGACCTCAAGTCGTTTCCTTTTGCCACCATGTGTCAACAGATGAGTCCCTCTCAGCGGTTAAGTGTAAGACTGTCTGAAAATCAGAGAGGGTAAAGAATACACACACACACACACACACACACGCACACACACACACACACACACACACACACACACACACACACAAAGTCAGTTGCTGGCAGATAAAGAAACCCTGCCAAAATAATAGCTAAAAAATATTGTCTCTTATAAACATATCGTAAATAAACAGTCTTTTCCCATAAGACCCACTCTGGATTTTGTTCTTGGCAGAAAAAAATGACAGTAGCATGAGACAAATCACAGAAATTATCTGAGTTTTGTGAAGATAGTTGAGGAAGAGTAAGCAAATCTAATTCAACAGAGAGGCTTTTCTGGTGTATTACAGACTCAGGGAGTAAAACCCTGAAAAATATAGAGATTAGTCAGGAGTACTGCCAGATTGTCTTTTCTGGGGAGTCCTGTGAGTGTACATGTGGGTTTGTGCAGTGGGATCACAAAGCTGGCTGATCCGGTCTATGACAGACTGAGGAGGCAAACTTTTGCAAGATCTCTAGCAGATAATGATGAAAGAGCCTGCAGAGGTGAGGACGCTACGACCAAACACACGCAGAGAGAACAAAATGAACACATTCAGGGGGTTGACAAAATAACTGAAGCACCCCAGCAATATGTGAACATCAAGCAGCTAATAAGGAGGAGGGCAAACATTCAGAACAGCTCCAGTCCTCCCAGAGAAGCTTTCATGTGGTGTCTTGAACTGCATGTGGTGACATCTAGGAGGTTCTTTCAAGAGGGGAAAACCTCTCCATCACCCTTCCATAACTCATTACAAAGCAACAGAGAAGGGACAATCCTCAGACACAAGTTCAGCTACGGTTTTCTCTACTGGTTCAGACAATGCCGCACTTCACCAATCAAAACATTTTGTTTTCCACAACCAAATGTGTCCAAAGCTCCCTGAGTTATTCATTTTTCAAGGCAACAGCATGCGTTTAGTAGAGTCCTGTAGTGTTTGCTGTCTGGGCCTCAACAGGGAGCTGGCACTCTGCATTATCCGGTGAAACAAAGTGCAAATGAACTATTTATCGCCCATTGCTTTTAGTGCAATATGGGTACAGTGGGGCTTTTGTTGAAGGCAAAAAAACAACAACACAACATTCATGCCTTTAATTAGTTCATCTTTACTGAGTACAAACTGGACTCTACTGGATTAATTAAAAATTTGGTGAATCTGGCATCTTTTGATGACTTTGCACATTTCAAGCCAAAATCTTTTAACCATCCATTTTTCACCACACACCCTCGCGCGCAAACACATAACTATTCAAACTACCTATCCATCTATGTATACAAATACTATGAAGAACGTTTAATACTAATTTGAACTATCTTGCTAACCTGTTTTAGCACCATGTTGTAACCCTTTCTCACTTTGCCTTATTTTCATCTCAGAGTGTACCCATTAATTTGAATGAAATTATGTCACCTGTTAACCCAGCATGACTATCTGATAACATTAGACCTATTTTAACTGAAAATCCATTTAATCATTCGTGTCAAGTCACCTATTTCAGCCCTTAAAAAGACACTTCAGCTGAATTATATCTATCTTACCCTGTAACCACTTCTAATCAAACTGAATTTAAATTTGCTGCTATCTCACTATTTCAACTATTTAATACAGTGAGCTGAGTAGTTACAATATTCTGCAATCCAGCAATTACTTTTCGCAATGCATATGTTTTCCTGATTTTCTATTCACACTTTTCAGACAAGCCATTCAGAGAGCCCACATACACAGTATGTAGCTCATTTGGTGGTGCCAACACATTAAACACCTACACACATATGGATTCATGTTTTCACCCACACATGGCACTACAGGAACCTTCTGTTTTCTGTTTCCTTTTCTGAGTAGAGTATCTCACAACTACAAGGGTTAAACATACCCTTAATCCTAAATCCAGTAATCACTGTGACAGCTTTCTCCACCTTTCTCTGTTATTGTAAAATGGGTGTACATTTCTAATCCAGCAGACACGTTTGTTACAGGAAGCGTAATCAAGAGAAATGGATTAAAGAATGAACTGTAGTGATGAAGAAGCAGATGGATAACAAATCAACCCATAGGGCCTCGGTAAGAAAGTTAGATATCTCACTATAAGTAGTTACACCTGCCATAAATTTATACCATAATTACCACAGAAATGGACCTGGAATTTTGAATTCCCTCTCCAGTTACCTACAACATGTGAATAAGACATGTCTCTTCATCAGCAGTCATGTCCAGAAAAATTAAGTGGAACTCTTGCTTTTTTTTTTCTTCTTTTTTCTTTGTGCGTGCACGTGTGTGCATGCGCGCGCATGTGTGTGTGTGTGTGTAATTCCATCCTCGTGTTTCTAAAAAGCTCAAAGACTTTCATCTAATGATGAGCCAATGATCTGATGTAGACTGCCAAGGCTGCTGTTTCACTGACTGAACTGTTGAATTATTGCTTCACGTATATTTGTTCCACATCAGTATCTTTGAAGTTCCTGTGAGAACTTTTGACTGTCAAAGGAAACTTGACACAAACTGAATATACCATAATGTGTGGCTATTGTAGGTAATAATTGTAATAAAAATGCTGTCTCTTCACCCCCTTGGCTGATACCCCTTGCAGTGGTTTAGGCCATTATAGTTAATCTCACCCTTTTAATTGATTCGCTTCTCAAGATTGGTATCTCAAGTCAGGCATCCACATGGTTTGCAGATTATCTAAGTAACAGAGGACAGTAGGACTTAGAGTTTGCATTTTCAAAAGCACATGCAAACTTAATAGCGTGCACAAAGCTGATCTACTAACCGGGTGTACCGAGGATTGCGTCTGTCAAATGAGCAAAACAGCACGTGCAATTGATTTAGTGTGTTTGCCTTCATGGATATGCAGAATGTATGTAGATCATCAGGACGCGCAAAATACTGTGAGGAGCAGTTGCAAATAGAATCGTTTAGCACCTGCAATATGATGTATCAAACCCAGAAACTGATTGCGGTCACTGTTTCACATCTATGTTTAGTACGTTTGAAAGGCATGTGCAAACTGGCACAGCGATATACACAAATCGCTACAGTCATTGTGGAGAGAAGGAGGCAAAAGTGCAATGATAGATAATGGAAAGAGAGAGAGAGAGAGTCTTATGTGCGTGTGTCAACATATTTGGACAGTAAGAAATAAAAATAGTAGAGTAATAGTGATAGTAATGCCATTTTTGAGCTGCTGGGTGACCAAGGTCTGATTTGGAGTCAGGCACCAAAATGATCCATGCCATATCTCCAATTGAACTCTTTGTATCACTGCATTTTTCTGCCTCTGGATCATTCCAGTGCACCATTGCAATTAGTGGGTCTCCAAGAGTAGCTTTTTTGTGGTGTGCTGTCCAAAGTGTTGAATGCTATGTCACACAGGATGGGCAAGTATATCCAGTTCCCATGCACTCGGGACGCAGTAAATAACAGAAAACACTGCAGGTCTTGGGGTCCTGTCGAATCTTGGAGACTGAGTGCTGAAGAGGTCTTTGTCTGAAAGCTTGTTATTTTTTTTGTTTTTCTGGTAAATGATGGTTTTATTTAGGTCAAACACAGAACAGACGAAAAAAACTATCTGTTTGTCTTATTGATTTTAAATTGTTTTAATCCCTTTTTTGATTTCTAATATATTTTCTTGCATCTGTAAAGCCCTTTGAGTTGCCTTGTGTGTGAGTGGTGCTATGCAAATAAACTTGCCTCGCCTTTTATACAGTTCCCCAAAACGATTTGTGCAACTCCATGGTTTCAAACTAAATTTTTTGGCTACAACCATTTTACTCTCACAAACTCTCAATGGTGACAGCCGGAAGCACAAGCAAAACCCTCGTTTAAAGAGGGCGGTCCACTCCACTTTTACACCTGTTATCTATTGCGCACACAATGATGGTAGATCACCCGCAACACACCCAGTAATAGCATGTGCAATTTTCTGGTTTGCACACACAATTTAGTGCCCCTCATTAGGGATCTTAGTAGATCAGGCCCAATGTGTCCAATTGACATCCCTAAAGGAGTAGCTCAAGGTTGAGTCTTGGGACCCATTTTCATTAAATATTTGCATAAATAATCTATGTGATAATTTCTCAAATGCCTTTTTTCATTCCAATGTCACAGTCTTTTTTTGCTGATCTCTCTCACTTTCCCTGGCTTTAGAAATTTTACAGACAGCTTTTGATACAATTTAGAATTGTCTGCAACCTCTGAAATTGGTTTTAAATGCAAACTAAAATCATTTTATTTTCACACTAGCATGAAATTATTGAATTTCCCTTCGGCGATAAATAGAGTTATTTTTATTCTTGAATAACAGAGCCTGTCAAGACCATAACCATGACCAATGGCAAACAGATAGAACTGTTCACAGGTTACAAGTATCTTGGCTTTCTCTTGACCAGGAGCTCTCCTTCCAGGCTCACATTGCCAATTCGGTCCATTTATTGAGGGTGAAACTTGGTTTTTATGACAGGGATGAATCCTGTTTTTCCTTCAGAGCTTGGAAATATCTAGTCTCTCCAATTTTTCTGTCATTAATTGATTATGATGACGGTTTATATATAAGTGCCTCAGCCAAATGTCTTCGGTCTCTGGACACTGTTTATCACAGTGCATTGCGCCTTGCTACTGGTTGTGGTCGCCTCACTCACCACTGTGAACTCTATGCCAAAGTTGAGCGACCCTCCTTGAGCTCCCAGAGGTATTCCCATTGGGTGATCCTTCTTGGATTACTTTCTTCCCACCAATGCTCTCTGCTGCAGAAATCAAGGAGCTCCTATGCCTTACGCTTTTTTTACAATTCATCATCTAAATGTGCCCAGAGTCCTAACTTTATTGGGAAAATGAGCTTTTTGTCATGCTGCCCCCCACCAATAGAACACTCTACAAACTTGTTTCATTTAAATCTTTTCGTCCCATTTTACTCACTAAACAGCGAAAATGACCAATGCATCTGTTTTTATAGTTACTGTCCTCAAAACTGTTGCACCTTTACTGTTAAATTGTTAAATTTTTAAACAGATTTATTGTTTGTAACCTTTTCTCTAATTTGTATTTATTACGTGTGCTGCTGACCTCTTGGCCAGGTTGCCCTGGTGAATGAGATATCTGATCTTATCTGGTTAAATAAAGGTTGAATAAAAATAAAACATAAAAATTTTAATAATGGCATAAAAATCCTGTCAATCCACCAACTGTTGGTCTTGTTTCCTTTTAGATGCCATAAAATAGTTGTTCTGCCTATGAAAATAACAAACATTGACCCCTGGATTTATTCATTTGAATTTGATTTATTCCACCTCACTGATGACACTTATGACAGATTATAAGGGCCACGTTAAGAAAAATAAAGTAGTAATAAAATCATTACTTACAAGAAAAAAGCCATAATAAAGTCATTACTTGAGACTAAAGTTGTAATAAATGTAAGTAATGACTATATTACAACTTTATTCTCGTGAATTAACAACTTTAATCTCTAAGTCTTTTTTCTTAATGTGGCCCCAATACTCCGTCGTAAGATTATGAAGTCTAACATAGCTAACTTAAAATATTTGTTTGGCTTGTATAATCAGAAGGAATTTCTAGAGCACACCTTTTCAATTCATTTCTGGTCTGGAGGATAGCTTTTATGTTTGCATCTAAAAATTAAGTGCCAGCAGGATCTCAAATTACCAATGGCATGCCATAGTTCAGGAGTGCTGTTGCCAACTGCACACAAGTAATGAGCCAATGGCATGTGTTGGTTCCAGTGGTATGCCAATGGGTTTTTGCTGACCAGTTCAATACAAACTAATGCCCAGTTCAAGTCTTAAGGGCATTACACACCAGCAAATTAGCTAAACCACAAAAAAATGCGAAATATTTGGCTGACTCCTTTTCCTACACACACCTGTCGCAACGCAAATGAAATATGCATATTCACATAAAAATATGCCATGGGAGAACAGAGGGGGAGAGAGAAGAAGGAGAAACAATGGCAACAACATCCTCAAGGGATGATGACCTGGTCACGGTTGTAAGCCTATTAAATAAGAAAAAGAAGAATGGAAGTGTCTGGGTATATCCAAAACTCACCTTGCGACAAGAGATGGGGAGTTCGACACAACAATCCAGGAGCTCAAATTGTATCCTGAGAAATTTTGACAATACTTCAGAATGTCGCTCAGACAATTTCAAGAACTGCTCCATCAGCTGACTCCACGTTTGCAGAAGGAGAGGACAAATTACAGAGAGCTGATTGATCCAGAGCAACAGCTTGCCACGTCTGAATTAAGATTTATATTAGGCCATAGATTTATATAGCAGTTCGACTGCGAATGTTCGCAAAATTTGCTATGGGGCGGAGAAATTACTGATGATTTTTCTCCCTGCGGAAATTCATAGCCTATGGAAGCTTGTATTGACTTAATGAGGTTTTTAAAAAAAGCTAATTATTTGCTTTGCAAATTCGCCCCAGTGTGTAATGACCTTTGGTCTCGGAGGTTGAAGACTTCCACACACCACATTCTTACTTTATTGTACTTTTTTTACTTCATGTCCACTAGAAACAATGAACTGCTTCTTCATTTTGGCGTGGAACTTCTTTACTGGTGTCTTTGGTTGATGGCAGTTAGGGAGTGTCCTTTAGACTCTGAATCAGGACAGCAGTTCAACATCATCTCTGTGCAGGGACTGATGTAAACTGCACAGTTTGGCTTTCTTTCTGGTCTAAACTAACCCTTACAATGACTTTTGATTTTGTGGGGAAGAAATCACAAACCTTAAAGGGATCCAACTCTGTTTCTTAAAGCCTTACTTTGGAAGTTTTTCCTGCACATGTCCAATGGTGTGGTGCCAAAACGAACACAAAGGACACTCAAAAAGGGATTATGTCTCCCACATGGTCAGTGAATGCCTCGGGGTACACTGGAAACACCAGGAGTTGGAGGATGTAGTTTGGGAGGGGGGTTTAATTACCCAGCCTGCGTCCCCTCTGACTTGAACTGTGTTAATTGGTAGAAAATGGATTATCCACCAAACGTGAAATGGAAAAAGTGTCCAAGTTTGAAGTGGCTAGAGTTACACTGGTTACATTTGAAGTACTTGTTTTTTAGAAGTTGAAAACAAATGTGTGTTTTTTTACCCATATTTAAAGATTAGTTCTTAAAGTTTGTATTTGTAATAAGCCTATATCAAGACTGCCACTCTCTGAAGACAGCCAAAACAATCAGCTCATTACTAAATAAACAATTAAGAAGTACAACGACACTCAACTTGACACGGCTTGCGAAGCACTAACTTTTCCGTCCTGCTTCTGACTGAGCACTAATCTCTATGACCCAAACATTTTTTTAAAGAAAAACCAGACAGAGCCAAAATACTTTGTGCATTTTGGAAAATTTTCTTTGTACAGACAAAAGCACAAAAACCAGTCACCTCCAGCAACAGAACTGTCTGTTTCTTTCTGCCACATCCAGTCATGAAGTTCTCATTATGGTGAAATATAAGGGAAGTTCTGGTTTTTACCGCCTTCGAACCTCCCACCCCCCTCAGATACATTGTGCTCATTATATGGGTCGAGAGCTCGGGGAGGGTGTGAGCTCTTTAATCAATGAAAACTGTGACACTGGGTATAAGTCACACGAGGTATTCAGCAGAGCGCACCACCATGAAAAAAAAAATATGGTGAAGATGAAGACGATAAAAGTTAACGTTACAGTTAGGCGGTCAGAGTGTAGCTTAAAAGTAGGTGGATGTTTCTGCATATGTAAGGTTCTCCATCTCTTTCATTTTAGGCTTATCCTGTAATTACATGGATGAGACTCACTGCAAGACTCTTTCCCTCCAGTGCTCTTTCTCCCTCTCCCTCCAAGTCCGTGATTTCATGTATAATTACTCACATAATTATAGTTCCCTCCATCCCACTGTTCCAGGAGGTCTGTTTCTGTCTCTTGTCTTTCTGTTCTCACACTCACGCAGACGTATCAGAGCTCGCACCCAACTGATTCTGCCTCCCTTTCGCCTGGTGTTGCGACTCGTCTTGTCACTCTCTTTTGTCTCGTCTTCGTCTCAGACAAGCCTGTTCTAATATTGGAAAGACAGCAGAGAAGATACAGTGTACAGGAGGAGGAGGAAGAAGGAAAAGAAGAGGAAGCTGGTGGTTTACTCCTGCTCTGCAATGCTCCCTCATTAATAATTCATTCAAGCATCACAAACTTAAAGAGCCTTAAGGTTTGTCACATGGCATGTGGGGGAAACAAAACGCTCTTTTTTTCCCCTGCCTTCCTTCTTGGAGCTTTCTGAAACTGTGTAAGAAAAGGAGAGGCACACAAACCCTGACAGCAGCATCGTGCACCTTCTCATGTTTTGAAAGTTTCATAAGGCTCGCGGATGATGCCAGTAGGTACAATTAGTTTGATTGCTTAGCAACTGAACATCACTGACAGTGGGAAACGGATGGTAAAGCTCAGGTACAGCAGTGAGGTTGCACGCTTTTTTTCTGATTGACCCCCACCCCCCAAAAAAAAAACTTCCTCGCAAAGGAGCATGTCAGTGCTGCTTCCATGTGTCAATCAGAGAAGAAACACATCATACTGTGTCCTGGGTTAACTGACAATAAGATTATATCAATGCCTCACATAATCCACGCACACACACTTGCAATGTAATTTACAGCTCGACAGGGCTCAAAATTTAAGCTTTGTGCTGCACTGCAGGTCTACTGTGCAACCGATTGTGGCCTACTTTCAGGTATCTGGAGGATTTTCCCTGCTTTATCTTGGCTTTTATGCCCTCACCCTATTTCAGCTCATCTTTAGCAACATGCATCAGTGAAAAAGAGGAAAGCAATCTTTTGTACTCAGAAGCGCTAGATGTTACAACGGGAGTGCCATGAGTTGGGATTATCCTGGCATATTTTGGGTAGATGCATTGGAAATTGTAATAACCTGCCACACACGATTACACCAAAGACCTTGATGGTGGTCAGTCCTGGTCTTTGTCCCTGTGCTCTAACCCCCTCTGCTGGATAGACAGGAGACCAGGACATGATGTGGCTAGTGCTGGGACCAGCCTGTTGAGCGCAAATCAACAACACGTCATCAGAGGGGGGGTGTAGTCATTCTGCAGCAGACAAATAATCTGAGGTGCTCAGTCTGAACTTCTGCTTTTTATCTTCAAGTTGGGCTTTTTCAAATCTTTCTCCAGTCACATGGTGTGTGTGTGTGTGTGTGTGTGTGTGTGTGTGTGTGTGTGTGTGTGTGTGTGTGTGTGTGTGTGTGTGTGTGTGTGTGTGTGTGTGTGTGTGTGTTGGGGAGGGGTCACCAGGGACTCCAGTCTGGGTTTGCAGCACATTGGTGAAGCTTTAATTTGATGTGCAAGGCGAGCGGCGGCGGCGGACTCTCCCAGCAGAGACGGTGCTGTGTTTGTTTTGCGGGTGTGTAAATTAGCGGTAATTCGTTTGCTCAGTAATGACGTGGGAGAGCTAATTAGGGCAGTGTTGATGGGTGCATTAATTAGTCTCTAGTGTGTGATGCTAATGAGGCCCTGATTCGGAGTGTGTGTTTGTGTTTGCATGTGCATGACTGTAAGCCATGTAAAGGCCCATAGGTCACTCCATTGGAAATGTAGAGTTAGAGCATAAGGGGATGGAGAGAGCCAGTGAGGGTGAGGGGAGGGGGGAAATTGATTAAGTATTGTTTTGCAATATTTATGTGGTAAATGTAGAGAAACACATTAATCTAGTATCTCTGATCTTTTTGATCAGACAGTATTTAGAAAATTGCAAAGACAAATATATCTAATAACAAAATAATATGGCAATTAACTGTCAAATGCCCCCTTTGCTGAAGCGGCTGCGTTATTTTTTTATGCCATCTACCAGCAATTCTATCTTTAACATGTGTGATAATTACCCATGATAACACCACTGCCATTGGCAGTAATGCTACATTACAAATATGTAATAGGTTCAATACGAGTGCAGTGTGTCTTACTAAATTAAGCTGTCACAAAAGACAGTAACCTTTACTCCTATAGTTTGACGATATACATTTTATTTAGCTTAGGACTGAAGTATTTTTAATATCTTTTTTAAATGATGGCCTGTCAGATAACACTTCTGTCTCTTAAAGGGAGCATTATGTCATAGTTTGCTTGTGAGCTAAATTAACTTATTTAATTACCACTGATTCTGAGTTGATTGGTTGAGTTGAAGTAAGATGGCATTGAACAGACTAAAACTATGACTGTTATACCTGTTTTCATAGAAAAGATATTAACCTGTAGATAGAAGATAAAGTGATTATCAGCAAAGGTTTGGCATTGGGGTCACTGATAAAAGTTCTGTATAAAATGCGATGTATTTTTATTATTATTATTAATTACAGTTATGTCAACAGTATTGTCGTACTGATATAATGATGTTTTCCCATTCCAAAAAATGTTATGCATAAATAGTGTGATGTAAAGGGGTATCACAGTAAAATTATACTGTCATCAAGAAACCATGATATTTTCATATCTAGAAAAAGTTTCAGGATTGATAGTGTAAAATGACAGACATTTTGATACAATTACCTTCACTAAACTATTGCAATATTTTCATATCTTTGCTAAGGTGTTGTGACAGAGGAACCATGATGTTGTACTGTCCCCAAGATATCACGACATTATCATAGCAAATGTTTCGCACTGAAAATGTGAGTAATGTGGTTATCATGATGTCACAAAGGTATCACAATATTGTTTCTACCGTGACAAAGCTCTCTGTTTATGCTGTGATGTGAAAGAGGTGTTGTGTTAATATTACAATGTCACAAAGTTATTATGATAGTAGAATGATATGACAGGTTTTGGGTTATTTGTGTGTTTTGACAAAGTTGTCATGATGTTTTATGGTGACAAAGCAATACAGGGGTGTTGTGACAAAAGTACTCCTATCATATTGTACTTAGACAAGGGTACTGTAATTCATTTGTATAAGACATAAGTGTCACTGAGATAACACTGTATCCTGACAAAGAATCCCAATATTCTCATCTCTTGTTTACAGTGTGTTCGTATGTCAACATGTGTGCCCTTTGTGTGTGCTGCGTACAGCGGGTCCGCATCTTTGTGTAAGAACACTATAAATCCTGATAGCTCAGTGATGTCAGCCACACCTGGCTGAATAGTGATCCCTCTTCATCGAACCGTCACAGGACTGCGGGGGTCCCTGCTCAAACACCACAGGAAATAGAGGTGTGGAGCCGCTCGGGCACAGACTGCAGACGTTTTGCCGCCTCCAGCTGCATCACTATCATAAATTCATCCCAACCTATAAAATGTCCCGACAAAAAACAGACAACACAGGGAGTCATAATGGATGAAAGGCTGTTTTATAAGTGTGTTCAGTGACAGGTCCACTTCACAGATAAGAGGGTTCCATCTGTGTGTGGTCACAACGGGGCAGTGCTACTACACTACACTGCAGCTTCTCTCACTTAGGATGTGACAAGGTGCCAGCTTGCTGGATGAATTCACGGCATATTACTTATGTGGCATTTGTCATAGCAGCACTGAAAGGCAAAGCGTGTAGAAGGGAAGCGGGGTAGAGCAGGGGGGATTGGCTTTAGAGCTTCACCAGTGATCTATTCTAATCATATTTATTCATGACTATCCCGTTATACATAATCCATTACTATTCCTGTTCGACTGTATCCTTGGCTGTTTCGCGCTGTCACTCATTTCTTCGCCTCTTCTCCTTTCTCTTGAACAACTGAGGAGATAAAGAGAAATGGAAATCAGCATGTGAGGCCAGTGGAGCATTCTGTTAGCCAAAACTGCAGCACTCACAGTCATATTTAACTAGCAGATACAATAAGGTGATTTATTTTTAGCCTGTGAGAATTTCAACAAGACATGAGTCGAAAGGTTAAGAATGAGGATAGAGATTTGTCATGCTGAGCTTTATTGCAGTCTGTCAAAGAAAGACTTGCCCTAAAAAAAACAGATCAGCTCATTATACTCCAAACTTTCACAAAATGGTGATCAGTTCTTGTAGCATACCTCGGACTTCCACTTTGCACTCCACCTCAGCCTGCCCCAGATCGTTGATGGCCCTGCAGGAGTACCTGCCCCCGTCAAAGAGGCTTGGCTTGCGGATATTCAGAGTCAAGACACCCTGTTTGTTCATCATCAAATACTTGGGGTCTTCACCGATGATCATGTTGTTCTTCATCCAAATGATCTTCGGCTGTGTTGGAGGGGAAGGCACATTTGGAGGGAGAAATGGAGGAGGTGGGCGGATGTATAAACAGGAGAGGGGAGGAGAGCAGAGGGAAGAGGTGAAATTAGGTCAACATTTCAGCCTGACAAATCTTTGCCAAAAAGAAATGTTTGCGTTCAAAGATCTCTGTGCTCCACCTCTTGCTCTTGCATCTTGCATCAGACACAAAAATACACTCCTGCTGCAAAGGCATCAAATTGCTCTCTGACTGTTCTACACTCCCTTTTTGACTCTCAAACCTACAGCATGAAATCTGTGCAGCATGCCCTTGCAGCAATCCTAACAGGGGCCAACACAGGTAAAGTGGGTGCTGGATAGATTCTGCAACAGTTAAGTAGTGTAAATCCCTAACTCTTTGTAAGATAAAGTAAAAGATAACATTGCTATCAAAAACATGCTATTTTTGAACAGAATTATCGTCTTAGTTTATTATTTATACTTTTTATGCTATTTATGCAGTGGTGACGTGATCAAACTTGGAGAATTTGTTTTCAAGAGAAGTTAAAAAGACAGCAGCTCTTGCATGTAAGACAAAAAATAAACAGGAATAAAAGGCAAAAATTAAGGAAGGACAACAAAAAAGAAGTGTTTCAGGTAAGGTCCTGATTGAAGAATAAATGTCCTTTCCCTAAAAATGAATCAAAACTTTGACACACTTCAATTTGTAGTACCTTGGGGTGGCCCCGGACAGCACAGCTGATGGCGGTGGTGTATCCAGCAACTACAGATCTGTTCACCAGAGGTGCTGTGAACTTAGGGGAACAACTAATGTCCTTTTCTTTGAAGGGCTGATTTTTTTGGGCCAAACCTGGACAGGTGGAGAAGTAAAGCATACAAAGAGGGTGGACTTCAGTAAGTGTGGGCTGCATGGCATTGGGGAAAAGTTGACATTGCAATATTACGTATTCCTAGTGTGAATTTTGGCAGCTAAATTTAGTCTTACTCCTTTGGCTAAAAAAGCCCTTTGGTCTTACTCACATTTACACATTTTTGCCCTTACTGGTTTTAGTCTAGTTTTGGTCTTTACTTGTAGTAAAAAATCAGCTTTCTTCAAACTAAATTAAACAATCAATCAGAAATGTATGTTTAAATCTGCAGTATGTCATCCTTAGCACCTTATCTTCATTGATTTATACTTTATCACTACAATAAAATTTCTTACTAAACCAGGGTGAAACGAGGTTTAAACAAGGAGCTGTTTTTAGTAAATGCGACAAGATTAGACATGCAGTGGGGAAAATATGTTGAATTTTAAATGTCTGATGTTTCAGCTAAAATAATTTTAGGGTCACACTTTTCGTTATCAAAAACTTACACTGATAATGTCTTTGGCAACACCTATAGGGATATGAAAAATGAGAACCTTATAAATATTGTTTTGATTGTGTCTTTTTCATCACACCTGTGACTTCGTCTTTTTTACTCAAACAAAACAAACTGCGTCAGCCCTTTAAGAGCAACTCTGACTTTTTATGATCAACTCTGACTTTACACCAGCACAACATGAAAAAAGCAGTGTAATAAGATTATTCAGTGCTGTAATATGAATGTCTAAAATAACTATATATTTTCCTGTGTCCATCTGTTGGTCTTCATATTTCACACAGGACCTGTGTTTATAGCAGGTTTCTTCTGAATTCATGATACATTTTTTGTCCATAAATAATCAGCTTTAATCTGAGGTTGATTTGACTGCATCAACACAGTGTAAAAGCATGGCCACTATACCCAGGCTTCCATTTGACAGGAATAAATATACATGCTGAGAGAGAAAACATTGGATGTGTACATTAAATTAGTTTTTGCAAGTGCTCATATCATGAAATCAGTAAATTTGGGATAAATTGTGCAGCCAGAGCACAAGCTCATCAATCAGTGGCTGTTATCCAGCTAGCGTCAGGCTGGTGTCCATGGGTGAAGCAGTGAGATGACTCCACTGAGCCTCATTTTTAGTTTTACTTAGTGCTTCATGTGAGTTTTCAGTATACAATTCCTTTGTGACCCAAAAAGTATTTTCCCATCAGGCTGCCATTATATAAGAGACATCTGTGTGACTGCTGAGAAAAACTTCAACCCTCAAACAAGGTCAATTATGACTGTTTCATTTTAAACTCCTGGTTTTGATGGTTTGATGCTTGTTTTTTTTTTCACAAAACCATGAAATCTTCACAAAGCAGGAGACTTTAAGGGTATCAAATTTAGGGTTAGAACTGGATTTTGAAAATAAAAACCTTACTGTATCCTTATTTTTAAGACAGTAACCATTTCTAGTCTCAAACTTAGGATATCTGTTGAAAATCCAGAAGAAGAAAAATGTAAATAATAATGATAATAATAGATTATTATCATTATTATTATAATTATGGAATTACATTTCATCTACTAATTATAGAAGAATAAAGAGAGCTGATGGCTGATGGATACAAAATATCTTCTGAATCTTTCTGTCCGGAAGCCGTCTACCACCATTGTTGTTTTGCTCCATCAAGGTGTGATAAAGTGGATGATCCATGTTCTTAAAAATATCCGCCACCTTCCTCAATGTGCACTACAGTCTCCACCACATCCTCCAGTGAGTCCAACTTGATACCAACCACAGAGCCAGCTTTTTTCACCAGTTTGTCCCCATGTTGAGTCTGTATCCTAGTTATTGATTCATGGACAACATCACACAGAACTTCAGCCGTTGCCTTGGGTTGGATGTAAACAAGTATTGTTATGATATGACTGAATTCTCTTGGAACATAATATGGCTGAAGAGCAACTGCCAACAGTTCAATATCTGAACAATACAACTTCTCCTTGACAGTTATGTATGAAGGGTTACACCATCTCTGGTTGACAAATAAAGCCAGACCTCCTCCTTTCTTCTTCCACTAGCTTTAGCATCTCTGTCTGATCTTATGAGAGTGAAGCCAGGTAGATCTTCACTGGAATCTGAGTTGTATTGATTCAACCAGGTTTCAGTAAAATACAGGAGACTGCACTGACAGTGAGCTTTCTCAGTCTTCACCAATATCTCCACTTTGTCACTTTTGTTGGGCAGAGAGCTGAATGTTTCCCGTGATGACTGATGGAAGAAAAGGTTTATATCTCCATCACTTAGCCTCCTGATGTCCTCTGGAATTGGATGTTGTCGTCAGGATTTGCTCTGTCTCAATGAAAGAAGCTCTCCTCTTGAATACACTCTTCTCTCAGCAGAAATATCCATCAGTAGTTGACAAAACATGATAAAGAATAGTAAAAATTGCAAAAAGTTGAGAGCGATAATCTGTCCTAACAGATCGAGAATATCTATGAGGATGCTCCAAAAAGCTGAAATTGTGTGGTAAAAACCATGCCGTATTGAAGAGAATATTTGTGACACATTCATTTAACTCAAACTACACATTTTGTTCAGCCTCTGTCAGATTTTTCACTCAAATCTGTCCAAGAATTCCGTTCAGCATTATCTGAAATGATAGTTATAAAATCCACATTTATCTCTTTTAGCTCCTCGTCCAGTTACACTTACACACTCTTTTAAGTTTCAGATGAAGATTTGAGGAGAGAAATCTGACTTTTGCTTCACCATGATATGAGCTGGGAACTACTGACAACAATCCCCATGATTTAATAGGCCAGACTGCTGCTGGAAAACAGAAGAGATTGACTGGTTGGCAGCCAAATCCTCTAGTAGAGTAAGCAAATACAACAACACAACAACAACAGTAGCAGCATTTGGCTGGTGGCAGGTGTTCATTTCCCAGCCTGGTTGTTTTCATAATCCGTGGCCAGTTTTAAATATTATTTAACACTCTGTCAAAGATTATTTCTATCCAGAATAATCAGTGAAATTGATTCTTGTGTAAATCACACTGAGGTAATTAATTAAATTCAAGTCTTGTAATATTAATGTGTTACAGTTTCTATTTATGGTATTATTGATGAAATGAAATCTTAATCACGATTCCCAGAATCATTCCTTTTCTGTACAGGGCCCATTAAACACCATCATGTTTGCTTTATTCTCACTGAGCAGTTTTTGATGGTCTTTGGCAGCAAAAGCGTGACAATCATGTGCTTAATTCTGCAAGGATTTTATTACCTGTTTTGGAAATGATGGCGGTGTTCTTGCTGACGCCGGGCTCTTCGCTAAGGCCACAGATGTTTTCGCTGTACACTCGAAAGGAATACTCGTTCCCCATGACCAGGTCAGACACAGTGCAGCTGGGCCTGCGATTGTGCTCATAGACCGTGAACCACTCCTGACGTGAGAGAGAGATAGGAAGAGAGAGAGGTTCAGAGAGGCTTATGACTGAAATCTATACAAGCTTAAGAATCTTCCATCTAAAACATCCTTGTTCTTCTCTGTTGATTCATTCAGCACAGTCACCACAACCAAAAACTAAATAACACCATTCAAATCTCGTTCTAACTGCTACAACCTAGAAAAAACATGTATGAGTAGGTGCAAAGTAAAGCCACATATCAAAAACTAATAGACCTTTTCATGACCTTGTAAGGTAAATACATGCCTCCAATCAGAGGGGTCATCAGTAATACACTAAAACAGCAATCTTTTTGACCAGTCTAATATGTTTGTCCTTAGTTCACGGACAATGTCAAAGATTAGTGAGTTTAATCCTGACATGTATGTGGAGCCCAATTCACATGTAACTTCCTGACATTTTCCAGACATTACTGTAAACACATAGTGAGAAGAGTAACTAAAAAACTTTTTTTCTAAAATTACTTTTTTCCTAATATGAGAGTCAGAATTCTAAATTAAATCGATCTCAAAAATTTGGCAAAGTCAGAATTCCCTTTTCTTTCCTCCAAATTCTGACTTTATCTCAAAATTTTAAAAAGTTTGAATTCTGACTTTTTCACAGAATCCTGAAATTTATCCAGAAATTCTGGAAAGTCAGAATTTAGAATTTTATACCAGACTTCTGAGAAAAAAAGAAAGATTCTGACTTTGATTTCATTGATCTGGCTAAATTATTCTAGAATTCTGAAAAAGAGTTAATACATCATGAATCTAATAGTGATGGTGATATATTACAGACATTCAGAAGTTTATAATTTTGATATAAAACACAGATACAATGATCACTTAGCAAATAAAATAAGCCTCCCCGAACCAATGTTCAAAACTGTCCCTAGCGTCACAATAAAATTAAAAGATGACCTGACATTAAAATCCAACATGCACTACCTTGTGTTTGACTTTAGAGCTCTCATCAGTTTGTTTACAGATCTACATGTCTCATACTTCAGGGAAAACAAGGTGTTAACTCCAATTCAGATGGATTTATTGACATGTTTTACTTCCACTGCTGTTGTTACTCCAGAGGTTTAATAAGGCCACTGCCCTGACTTTGATTTTTGAACCCTCTTTATGTTTCCCCTCCTGTTGTGTGTACCTTCGTCTTCATGTCAGCCTTCTGAATGGAGTAGCCAATAATCTCACAGTTGCCGTCGTCTTTGGGTGGCTTCCACTCCAGTGCAGCGTTGAAACCCCAAATGTCTGTGACTTGCACCGAGATGGGAGGTCCAGGTTTATCTGTCAGGTTTGTGAGAGAAGAAGAAGACAGACAGAATCAGAGGATTTTGATCTTAACTATGGACAAGACATAAAGCTTGTGTAAAAGCATAGCTTGTTGAAGTGACTAACTCTTTTCCCTGCCTGAGAAGATGTTTAGGCAAGCTTTTAGTGATAGAAAAAGAAAGAGAGAAAGAAGTAGACTGATGAACAGATCTGGAGCAGGAAAGTCAAACCACAAGGAAGAAATCCACGCTCGCAGCAGTGGAGATTTGGCAAAGATTGACGGATTAGCAGACTAAAAGACAAAGGTTCAAGGAAAGGCAGAGACAGCTGAATACATTTCTAGAAAAACTGTGCTGGCAAGGAACTGACTCACTGAGAAATAGTATTCTTTGTGCACTGGGATTATGGAGCAGAAGAATGTAGTGTGTTTATCATCTGTCTTTCTGTGTGGTCTGCACTATACAAAGCACAGGAGAGGAATACTGTACAACATAGTAATGTATTTGTCATTTATCTTCCCCTGCATGCTCTCCTCTGTGGAGTACAGTACAAACAGTGAACAGCACTACTGTTGTTGTCTCCCGTTAATCCTCCCTGTACTGTCTCCCACTGAAACAGCGCAGTGACATATCAGCCTCTCATTAGCTCAACCTTCTCAGCAGAGGAAAGTGACAGAGTAGCCCTAAAAATCCCAAACTAATCCCAGGCTACACACAAATAATCCCAGCAGAACCCCACACTAAATAAACCACAGAGCACCCTGACCCTTGGAGACGAGCTGTAAGCGGGGGAATGAGCTGGCGGCCACGATGGCGATGCAGGAGTGAAGGATTATTGCAAGAGAGGGAGGAATCAATGCTTTGATGATTTTCTGCTTTGAGTCACAGATCTTGAGGAGTTTGAAATTAGGATTAATCATCACATTTGGAAAAGTCTTGACGTATCACCAATTTGAGCTTAACCCTTCATCCCCTACCAAGCAGATTATTAACCAAGCCATGCCTGGCGGTCTAATCACACTTAATGAACATGCAACAGGGGCACAGAGCTGCTGTTATCATCAAGATACTGACCTACAACCTGGATATGTATGTCAGCGCTGTCAGACATGTTTTCAATCTGCACACAGAGCGTGTATTTTCCAGAGTGGTCTCTCTCTGCAGAGCGGATGAAGAGGATGGTGTCCAGCCCACTGGTACGAGTTCCCACTGATTTGTCCTCCAGGGGGACTCCGTCTTTCAACCAGGTCACAACGGGGTGAGGCTTACCCTGGGTATGAAGACATGGAGAGAGCATTCAAGAAACAGAGTCACAGACAGGAACTGAGAGACGGATACATTATTTAGATACGACATTATCTGAATGTGCCAGATACCACCAATTCCATAACTGAGATATAAACTTAGGGTTAGGTCTTCTTAATGTCTCATCTTTGTTTCCTTCAGAAAAATCAGCACCATCAAAAAGAGATTAGTCAGATGTTTATAGTGTTATTTCTGACTCCTGATAAATAGCATCCAGTCTGTGAATAACGAGAGCACAACTAGAATACTGGGGAGGCAGATTGCTCATATATAAACTGGGCTCTCCCTACTCTTTAACCTCTTTAGAAAGTAGTTAACAATGATACTAGATTTACCTGCCTTTCCTCCTACTTAGGAAATATGGATCTAAAGTCACCCAAAAGTGACAGATAGCTCTTAAAAATCACTAAAGCTGTGAGCTAAAGGGCAACAACAGAGCAATGGCTCTGTGAGGAACTAAAACCCATTAATCAGCAGACAGACACCGTTATAAACACAGAGTGTACAGAACATACGGCTTTGAGTCGTAGCCTGTAGAATGACAAATGGGATGCTTTATGGTAAAAATGGGACACATATCTCACACAAAGAAGTGATAAGCTGTCTTAGATTTGATCTACCTTGAATGATGGAAACAGAGGTGATACTGTTAGAGTCTCTGATGATCCATTTGTTTCCCCTTTAGTGTTGCTGTTAACACTATTGTTACATAGCTTCATGTGTGCTATGGCGTGTATGCATCTCTATCTTTCTCTTTTAACCTAACATTTTATTACAGTATTCACTTTTTTTAATGTACCACTTCACTGCAACTATGTGTTGTTTTATACATAAAAGTACACATAGAAATGTGAAAAAGTATAATAATAAAAGGTCCATTCCTGTGTGGGTTCTGGTCTTACAGTTGTCATTCTTGAACCTTCTTTCAAAAAGGAGATATATTAGTCTCACTGTCTGAGTTCTTCAAATTGTCTCACAGTTGTCTCGTTCCAAGATCTCAGCTAAGTGAAAAATAAGATGACTCTCAAATTTGTCTGATTATGAAGGTTCAGCCTCTAAAGCTGAGCTTAAAATTGTCTTACAGATGTTCTGTCGAAGATCTCCGAGGTAAAGATGATCTCAATAACAGAAAAACACATATGATGTCTCATACAAGTCTTACCTCATATCCTCATCACCATGTTGCCATAAAAACACTGACACTATTTATTCATGAGCTGTACAAGACATGTCTTCATAAACAGGCCATCACACATGATTCAATTTAACACATGATTCATGTTTTTTTTTATATACAATACTTTCCAATTGAGCTAAACCAGATAGCATTAGTTTTATGGAAAAATGTGTGGCTCTAGTTCCCTGTCTGGTAATGATTTGCTGCTTTTCAAGTTTTGTACAATCATATAACAAGTACTTTTGAGATTTGACAATCAGTGGAATAAATCTTCTGGTAAGGTTACCTTTGACTGTGCCTAATTTATGGCAAAAAAATCCTCTTTTCAGAGGTTTAGTTTAACTTAAAGCTGCTCTGAGGAACTCTCTTTTCATTTTGACACCCCGTGCAGACAAAGCATTCTTTGTGAATCGTGTCCTCCACATGATTAGGTAGTGATTTTCCTGCTGAATTTTGACAGGCATCATTTATTGTCAACCTTTTATAAATAAATTGCCAAAATAATTTTTAAAAATGTGTACAGTTTCGTCAGCTGCTAAGCTGACACCTACCCTCCTCCACTGGTTTCAGTCATTAGAAAAACAAAAATAGCCAGTTTTGTTGCTGATGCCCCCGTTATTTTAGATCTCATGAATAGGCATCAATATAAATTATTGCCATTTTCATGGACATCAAAAAACAGGAGCTTTAACAAACTTTGACTTGTATGTCACAAGTAGAGAGACAACTTGTGGCAACAACACCATGTTTTGCAAAACATGCTCCTCGGTTTCCAACTTTTTTTCCTTTTTAGCTTTTTTGTGTTTTACTCAACTTTAAAACCAGTAGCGTTTGTTTTTAAATAAGACCATCCCCTGTCTACTAAAGCCTCCTAAAACATGCCGACTGTCAGAATCCTAACCCCCCAAAAAACGGAGCAAGTTCGGTTTGCTGGATTCCTAGCAACACTCCATAGTCCCTGGGTGTGATAACAGCAGATGGAGCAGTCTCTGTCCAGCACTTGGATAAGATGACAGAGATGTGGGTGCTCTGTTCTCACAGGAGAACATCATGTAGCTGCGTCGTCTGTCTCAGAACAAGCTTTCATCCGCGTCTTCAAAAGCATGCAGAGCCATGGCTGACTTTTTCTTGTCTATTTTTATTCATAACAGTGGGCTCCCCTTTGCTACATGTGGTTAGCTTCTTTTTACTTTTGCCATACTTTGAAAGTTGCTGTCAAATGCTGTAATGCTCCCTGTGCCCTTTTAGCTCTTGGCCTCTCTGTATCCAGTGTATTATATAGATCTGATTATCATATTTAGAAGAGGATAAAAAGCCCTTTGTGATGGCAGCTGAGAGAAAATCTAAAGTAATTATCTGACTTCTCCTTCTAATCAAAGAACACAGGTGGGCTAGAGCACATTTGAAGACGTACTAATACTGACATAAACAAAGTAAAACAGTAAAAGAAAAGAAAAAAAAAAACACTGTCTCATTTTTACTTCAGGTACCCCTGAAATTATGAATCTAATAAAATTTACCTTCAAGGAGCAACAGAAGATCTTGTTTAAAAATTCTGATTCACCCTCTAAACACAAATCCATCTTCAAGCAGATTGTTTCTTTGGAAATGGTTTAATCTGTTCATGTGCAACTTAGATTAAGCCTTTAAATCAGAACAAAAGTAGGACTTTGGCGGACATGAACTAACCTGAAACGGGATGACCAAGTTCACTTTATCACCCACTAGACAGATGAGTTTGGTTCTGAGTTGACGAGGCAGGCGAATCTTTGGGTGCTCTGGTGAACGAACACAAGACAAAGAAGGGTAAGAAAGTAACATCTGGGTGGGTGGGTCTGGATGAGTGTACTACTAAATGTGAAATGTATACAATGTACAGCTCATACATTATGTGTAAGTTTATGTATGTGTGCCAGAGATATACATTATTGATCTGTGAACACACACAGTGGAGTCAGTAGTGAAGGACTTATTCATAGTAATTCAGTTACAATTATTGTGACCCAGTGGTAAGTTTAATCATGGAATACTGTAAAATGGGCCATAATTTAATTTTGTGGGAATGTAGTGCTGGCAAACATGACCCTGACCCATGATCTCCCTGATTGTAACAGCCTGGGAGAGAACAGCAGGAGGGCTGCGCCCAGCGATGTTGACAGCCACCACCCTGAACAGCATCTTCTCTCCTACTGGGAGACCCTTCACCCTGTATTGGTTCTTCTCAATCAGCTGCTCATTGGCTGGAACCCACTCATCACCTGAGGAATGTATTGCAGCAATTAAGAGACCGATAACAAGAAACCAACAAGTTTTCAAACTGTAAAACCTCAACAAATGGCTGATCTCTAGTCGCAGACTGTGAGTTATTTGGCCTAAAATGTAGAAAGCATTGCTGTTTTGGCATGGTCTGTGTTAGTACACTGAAAATAAAGGCTGTTAAGCTTAACAATAAAAAGTAATGCTGGAAGGAGATAAATGTCATCATAATGTATTTTTCACCCAAAGACACAAAGCTACAATACAAAAGATTTCAACCAATTCAAACTATAAATTACTGCTTTAATTTAAAAGAAACTCTATAACTCTTCATAATGTACTAAAAAATGCTTGTTGACACATTAAAGTCCCGAAAACACCCCAAACTAGCATTTAACTACATTATAGCAAACAGTACTGTGCCAGGGAGTAATGTCTCCCTTTCCTTTAGTAGTTTATTCTCATTTTTATCTTTTTTTTATTTATTCATTTATTTCTTTGTTTATTATTTAATGTGTGTGTTGTGTGTGTGTGTGTGTGTGTGTGTGTGTGTGTGTGTGTGGGGGGGGGGGGGGGGGGCTCCTTTATTTAAAATTCATCTAGTGTGTAATTTGGATGAATTTGTTTGGGTTGCTATGTATATATATATACATATGTTGTTGTTTTTTTTATGACAATCAGATTTTGAATTGATCTTTTTCGATGAGGAGTTTAATTTGGTTGTTTTGTTTTGTTTCCTTTAATAATTCCTATTTGGTCATGCTCCAGGCAGGGAGAGGACACCTGAAAGGCACTGATTAGCGATTGACCTGCACCTGTTTGATTGACCAGGTGAGAGCAGAAGGCCTGATAGAAAAATGGGAACTGAGAGACACATGGAGGTGGAAAGGGACAGAGAGACTGCCGTGTTTTATCCCCACCACAGATCTGAATAAAAATTCAACAAACACACATGGTTGGGTCCCCACACACACACTTTAACCTGCCTGCTTCCCACGGTACAACATACTGTTTCTGTTAGCTTGCTAGCAAACAGAAATGTTTGGTTGGAGTTGGTTGAATGCTGACTTCAGCTGTTGTCGATAGATTATGGGTTATTGCATGTGAAGTTTTCCTTATATCTAGACTTTCTGGATTGATTTTGATGCCTTTAAGTTGCTATTGATTTCAGAAGTGATAAAATGATACTGGATCCTGATTCTCGTCATTTTAAAAATTTGCTAACTTAGATGAAGTAAACACAACATCCTGACAGAATTTGAGTAATCCACACTGCAGCTGACCAGAGACATGACCCTGAGTAAACTGGATAATTACTTCAGTTTGAAAAAAAAAATCCGTAAGAATAAAAAAATATATTTACTTCCTTCTTTGCAGTATTCAACGATGTAACCGTCAATACCGCCTGCTCCAATTTTCTCTGGAGGACGCCACTTGAGTGCGCAGGTAGTATCTGTCACATCCTCCACTGTGAGTCGACAGGGCTCGCTGGTGGGGGCTGAGAGAGACAGGAGCTAATTAATACGTTAATACCCAGTATAAATGGGATGGGAGGTAGGTTAAGCTCCCTCAAAATGAGCATTGTGTGAAAAGCCTTCGTTAATTAACTATTCTGCTAATGATAAATGGCAACGCACCAATGGGCATGAAGGGCTTGGAGTTTTCACTGGGCTGAGAGACGCCAATGCCGTTGACTGCAAACACTCTCATCTCGTAAAGTACACCTTCAATCATCTTCTTCGCCTCGTAGGTGGTGGACTCGTAAACATCGAAGTTAAGTTTGGTCCATCTGGACGAGCCAACCTTTTTCCTCTCCATCAGGTATCCTTTAGAAAGTGATATCATCATACAGAGGAGTCATTGCAAAATCATTGAGGCAATAGTTAAAATACACAGAGCAGTGTAATAAAGAGAGTAGATTTTAGGCTGCTGTTTCCTCTGGAGACCAGGACATCAGATGTGAGCACTGGATCCTGGGTACCTTTAACAGGAACTCCACCGTCAAATGAAGGAGGCTCCCACGTGACTATTGCCGAGTCCTCACCGACTGATGTGCATTTGACATTCTCTGGAGGATTGGGCACATCTGGAGAGGCAGGTCATGGATGGAAATGGGAGGAGAGGAAAGATTAAAAAGCAGAATATAACAGGGTGCGAGAAGGACGATGGAGGGGGTTAGACAGTTTCCTTTTAACTCAATTCAAAAACTCTCTGAACTCCTTTTTTAGCTGGTTTCTGATTTATTATTGAGATTTTCGGTTTCTCTTTTATGACCACTTTAGATAACTTTATTTTGGAGATCTCCAGGATTGGCGCACAGTGTGATGATTTTAAGATGTTTTTTCACAGTATTTTTTAACACTGGTTGCCACACATCATAATGCAGAGTAAAGCTAAAAAAGAAAAGCAGTTTCTTGTTTCTTCTGCTTGTTTCTTCTGGTTTGTGTATTTATTGATCAATCAGATATTGATACTTTCTTGACATTCTTTCAATTTTTTTACATTTAGATCAGCAACTAACAAACTACAGTGGATTTTACCTCAAAATAAAGGCATAATTGTACCACTAGGTAAACCTAAACACAAGACACAAAACCCATCACAATAAAAGCATTAAAAACAATCTTCATGGGTCAGTGGGTTCTCCACAGAGTTTCTGTCACAGGGCTGGTGATGTTGGTCAACCATGAATTTAAATATCATAAGAAAAAGATGGTGACAGGGAAGGTAAATGTGTTTATTATCTGTTGCTTCACCTTTGTCAAGACTGAATTGTTTTACTTTCAAGTTTTCAAAAAATCACAATAATATTGTTATCAGGATATTTTATGGCTGTGATATTTATGAAGTCAGAATCTGATATCATAACAGCAATGGTCACCTCTGAAAACCTGGACTCCATAACCAGGAATCAAACAGGCAAGTCCAGACCTCATCACAGTCAATAAAATACTGGAGTTGCACAGCTCAAATGCCTGAGTATGCACTGTCTGTGTTTTCACCTTCTGTGGGGGATGCTAACATTGATGTTGTCACAATGTCTCTGAATCTTCCTCACATCACTCAGCTCAAAAAATGCAGTATGAAGGAATTTTGCATTGAATTAAAATGCATAAAAACAATGTCTTTGCATAGATCAACAACTGCTTAAATTTTTCTCGAGATGGGCACTAGAATAATAATTCATCCTCCTTTCAGCAAAATAAAACTGTGTCTGAAAATTTGTTGACAGTGTAACCTTACTTACACCAGTTGAAAAAAGTGAGCAATAATCCCAGACTTGATCTCCATTTTTTTTTAACCAGGTGTCAAAGTTGATTTTCCACTTAGTGCTCAGTTTAGTCTTCAGAGAAGATGACTGTCACAGAAGGTGGTGTCAGAAGATGACACATTGCAGAAACTTTTTGATCAGCTTCAAATAATTGCAAGATTAAAATCTGAATTTTTTAGCATCTCTTTGGGGTCAATGCCATTTTTTGAGAGAGCCTAAACAGCAAATGTGCAAAAACACTGGACTAGCCTTGAAACTCACAGTTTTGCTTATTTATTGTCACTGTTTTATTTCATAAGTTTCCCTCCATTACTTTTCCAAACCAGCTGGGAAAACAGAGTGGGAGTCACAAAAGAGACTGATCTGAGAGTTGGCAAAGTGAAATAAAACACTAACCCACGATCTTGACTATGAGTTCAGCCTTGTCCTCTCCTGCAGGGTTAGTCACAGTGATGAAGTAGTGGCCCTCATCCTCTTTCTCCGCCCCCTCGATTACAAAGCTGCTCAAGGTCTTCCTGGTCTCCACGCGGACTCTTCCCTCAGTCTCACCTATCACCTACAGCACCACACAGAGCAGGATGGGGACAGACAGAAAGAACAAAGGAGATGTTTGAAGAGAAAGGTGTTGCATGACTATGGCACAGCTGCCACAATGACATGATTCAACCTTCCCACTCAGGTTCATGTTTCAGCCTCCTTTTGTGGCCGAGTGACTAACGGCTGGATGCTCAGACTGACGCACAAAGGTAGAAAAAATGTGACGTTATGTTTTAGAGTGTGTGAGGTGAGGATCCTCTCCTCACATTGTCTCCTTTCATCCAGCACACAGTGGGGGCGGGCTCTCCAGTGATCTCAACGTCAAAGCGAAGTTTGTTTCCAGCCACCACAATAATGGTGTTCTTGTTGCCGCTGCCACTGGTATCCAGGTGTATTTTGGGAGGGTCTTTCACAGAAAACATGAGAGGAGAAGATGGAAAAAAAGGTCATGCAGTTTGGAAACATCACCAGACATGAACACTGACATTTTTCAGAAAGGCATTCAACAGCATGATTTTTAGACCATTTTTAGGCAAAAATAAAATGTAACATGGGAGAATTAGAAATAGCACATAGTTCTATTCTCTTTTTTTGGAGTGGCATATTTGCCACTACACATTATCTGACCGCTATTCAACAACCTCATTTCAAAAGTAAAATTTTAAGAGGAATTGATCTGCAAAAACTTATCCACACAGCAAGTGTTGCAGAATAAAGCTGATACAAGAGGGGGAAACTGCACTCCTTTAAGGGAGGCTTAAAACTAAATACTAAATGCTAAACACATTATCAGTCTATATCGATCATGTCTTTGTGGGTTCACACTGTTTCTATGGTGAATTACTATTTGTGGCAGTTTGGTTGAGACTGGACTTTAAAAGTACAGTACATGTAAACACACACATGGCTGAAATCACACTACGCTGAATTTCTGATAATATGTTTGGGGTTGATTTTCTCTTGTGCGTAGTCACCACAATCCCACCCTAAGTGGCCGAGGTGTTCTGCACATGCTCCACGGATCACACACTCACGGCTTTGACCCAAGAGTCAACAGTGTAAATGCATTAAAGGAAGACAGGTAGAAAAAAAAAAAAAAAAACTTGATGGGAAAGCAAGAAGGTAAGAAATACTAACTACCTGAACGGGCCCACAGGAGATGTGAGCCTGATGTGCTGTACCGAAAAACAAATTCCACCAACTCTGTTGTGTGGCCATTAATAAATTATTCTGATCCTGAATGGTATTGCCTCCATATTTTTGTTCTTATTTCCGTTCTCACCTGGTTCTTTGTACTGAGACAAAGATCATAAAATCAGTAATAGTAAATAAATCTCCTAATGGTGTAAATGTAGCTCAACTTAACTGAGCACATCAACATACAGATAAAACCAATTTTAAAAACAGTTTCTCTTTTTTCTACAAAGTTTTCACAATTTTCTTCAAACTCTCATTAAGTTCAAGCTGTACATGAAAGGTGCCCTTCTTTGGTTCATCCATTATTTAATAGATTTAATGACTTTTGTCTCGTTAGGCAGTTAATAAGATAAAAAGAAGACATGGACAGACATCAGAATAAGATAACATCCAAACATGCTTACCTTGTCTGGGGACATAGTCAATCTTGATTTCTAAAAAGAAGAACATAAGTCCTCTTTAAATTGTGAAAAACGATTGTACGTATTAGAAATGAAAATACTTTACATTTTGGTGTCCTCACCCAGGAAGTTGAGTTTTGCAGAAAGAGAGAGTGCATAGCCATCAGGGACGAAGGTATAATCCCCAGCGTCCGAAGGCTTCACGTCATCAATCATCAGCTTGTGGGTCCTGGGGACATGTTACCAGATGTTACCAGGGAGACAACACTCTTTGTGACCCACACTTATGCAAAAGACAGTTGCCTTGGCAACATACTGCATGAGGCAATATTGCAGAGTGAGAAACATACTAAATGGCTTTCACCTTGTGTGACCGCTGTTGCCTCGGCATATCTCCCGCTATGGGCGCCTCTGATGAAGGGATTACTGAGAGAAACCCCAGACCCGAGGGGTGTGCGATGTGTGAGAGTGTTTGTCTGTGTTTAGAGGTGAGAGCTTTACAGATTGCAGCCTATCCTAAAATTGGGTCAAACAACTAAGAAAACCCTTTGGTAATAGTTTGCAAAGCCATGTGCTAGGCAGTGGTTATTGTGAAAACTACATGATTGTGTGAGTCTGTGTTTAAATGTGTGCATCCTCACTAATGGTTTGGATAGGAAGCTAAAAAGCTGTTAGTTTAGTGAATACATTCACAATCTGATATCATACCGTCCGATGTGTGTCATTTTGATGCGTTCACTGGGCAGGACCTCAACACCATCCTTGAACCATTTCCCAGTCACTTTTTCATCAGACACTTCACACTTGAATACAGCCTGATCAGTAGCCTTCACTGTCAAGTCAGCTATGCTCTGCAGGACTTGCAGCTCCTTATCTGAAAGACAGATGATGACCTCCATCCTTAGTACATATTCTAGCACAGATGTATTTTTGAAGAGAGCTCAATCTGTCATCCGAATGTCAGGCAGCAATGTGTTCATGTGGGACTCAAATTAGCTGCAGTAAGCTTGGGGGAAAGCGCTGTACCAACTTAAAGAGATATTCCGGCGTTAAGTTGGGTCAAACACACCGTAACACAGAGTTAGACACTCCCTCAAGAGATGAATGTTGCCTACTGCTTGCTTCTCTAGTTATACCAACTTTAGTAACGACCGTGCCATAGCAATACACAGCAGTCTACGTCTCCACCCACAAACCTCAACCAAAAAGCCACTCTATAGCCACAAATAATGCTCAGAACAGCACCTAACTTCATCATCAGTACATATAGGGTCCCAGCCATAGTACTAGCCATCAAACATCTTTTTAACTTTGCCTGGTTTCTTTAGCAAAGAGACTAAACACAAATCATCCACTCCTCCCAGCAGCTCCTCCTTGTTGAAGGGGGGAGCCCTGACGAGTCGATCACCGAGTGCAATGGAGTTTTACAGCTCAAGGAAGAACATTTATTTGTTTTTACAACATCCCCTGATGCGCTACCTTGGACACATCATCAGTGTTGTTTCCTGGAGTCACTGGGTGTTTCAGGTCTCACAACAGACACCCTCGCCCAGGTGACCCAACCGAGGCTGATCGGGCCCCGGCCTGTGTCCAAGTGGCATTCTACTGCCCCCACCTCTCTCCCCTCTTCAGCCAGAGCCATGTGGATGCTTTCTCTGCTGTCTCTGCATTGTTATTGATGGCTCTCTTACGGTTGGCACCTGTTATGCCTAGTGTACTGTAGGCCTTGCTCAGGGAGTGGCTGGCGAATCCCCGGTTCCCCACCTCTGCTGGCATACATCTGGTTCTCCAGCCATTCCTTCGGCGGTCCTCCACCAGCTCCTGGTACTTCTCCCTCTTCCTCTCTTGTGCATCCTCCATCCTATCCTCCCACTGAACTGTTAGCTCTAGCATGAGCAGTTGCCTTGTGGCCTCGGAGGCCAAGATGATATCTGGTCTCACAGATGTCTATGATTATTACTTCATGGAAATGCAATCAGAGTTCTTGTGCATCTTGTATGTCCACTGCAGATGCAGTAGTTCTTCTGCCTTAGCGTCTCGGTCTGATTGCATTTCCCTTATTTATGACTATAGAGTGACATTTCGGTTGAGGTTGAGGTATGCATGGAGACGCAGACCGCTGTGTATTGCTATCGTGCAGTTATTGCTGAAGTTAGTATAACTAGAGCAGCAAGCAGTCGGCAACATTCATCTCACGAGGGGGTGTCTAACTTGATGTTACGGTGTGTTTGACCCTAACTCAATTTTACGCCGAAATATCCCTTTAAGTCAGTTGTACAAAGTTTTTACTTATATCTGCATCATTCAATACACAGGATTGATTTCATTGTACAACTATGGATTGGACTTATTTGATCAATTCTATACTTTATAATAACAGAACCAACATAACCTTGGTTTCATGTAAAGTTAGATACTATTCTTTTCTGTTTTTAAATATATTGAAGCCCCCAAACGCAAACTGTAAGGCACAACAATAACAGCATGCCCCGTGATCATTAACTATGCAGCACCTTTTTCAGAAAATAAGAATCTGCATTGCAGAAATATTCAAATTGCTCACCTGCAAGATCGTCTAACTGCAGGACGCACACATATTTTCTCACACCCTAATTGATTACGGACTTCTCTGTCTTGAAGGTATGCTCTGACTTTGCAGGGGAAACTGACCCCAGCATCCGTTTTTGGGAGGTGTAAATTAAAATGAGCATGACGAACAGTGAGATGAACCACTGATACAAGGGATTAGTGGAGTAATAATAATTATGAAATGAGTAATGACTAATTTATGGCTTTTTCATGCTTGTCAGAATGGCAAACATCATCATGTGCGGGTGTGTAATTTTCTGTAGGCTCCTAATTGAGCAGCCATGTTTGAAATGCTTGTTAGCAAACTTTTTGCCCAGGCTAATCACCCATAAATTATTGCATCTGATGCTGTTGGATTTCACTGTAGGCCTCTTTAAACTCTTTAGGTAATCAAGCAGCATTTACAAGTTCGACAGTTGCTGGAAAAACTAGAACAGTTTGTAAAGTTCATGCTGCGATATGCCTTTTCATTCTTAGTGTTATGTTTTATTCAACAGGGCTATACAACAAGCCGGAAAGCCTTGTGAGGACTTAAAGACAGCCTGGCCTGACAACATCTAACATGCTTATCTAACAAACTCTGCTCTAGTTTTATATGTCAGACATTATTAATTACTTAAAGAGAAGCGATTGTACCTTCAACTTCTAGCTCTGCCTGCGACTCTCCTCCGTTAGTGAACGCTTGAAACATCCCACTGTCCTCCTTAGAGGCTTCATTTATGATCAAAATGTGCCTCTTCCCATCCTTTTTGAACCTGTACTTTGAACCTGCTGTTTCTCTGGTCAGCTCAACTCCATCTTTCATCCTGGCGAAGAAAACACAGAGACAGACAGACAGACAGACAGACACACACACACACACACACACACACACACACACACACACACACACACACACACACACACACACACACACACACAGAAGGAAAAGCTGATTGACATGTCTGTATTGCTCTACGTGACTGGAGCCTTCAGCAGTTACAAGGTACTGACATACTTTTCAAATGGTGCAGAAGGAGAACATTTTCTCAGATATGTGTTTAGGTTTTAGGGGCATGAGTAGAGGTTGTACTGCAGGAGCAACAAATTAAATGCTGTGGGATATTTTTTTCCAGTGGAAACACACATGGGTTAGATCAGCATGTGCTGTGCAGGGCAAATGGGTTTTCACTGATATTGAAGAATCTCATCCCCAAATTGACTGAGCTTCTAGTGCTGGATACACCCTGACTATTTCAACATTACATCGTTTTGCATATTGTCAAAAAAGAACACACCGCTGTGAAACATAAGCATGGTTGCAGATTACAATGAAGATGTACACACTGTTTGGTAAAGTATAAGAGTTTGTTGAGCTACACCAAGGATTAATAACCAAAGATCATGGATGCTACTCAGACAAACTGACTGAGATAACCTCCAGATCGGCTTGATATTAGGGAGTGGAAAGACAGTATTAACAAATGGACAATATTAAGTAGCGAGGCTGTTGTAGTGTTGATACCCAGCGTTTACATCCGGGAAAAATGAAGCACATAAGTTTTGATGTGAGAAAAACCAAAGAATAGCTGACAAGAAATTTCACCTGAGTATCAGGGTTGTTGGCATTTTGCATTTTCAGCTTGTTGGCTATTATGGCAAGTTCTTTGATGGAAATGATATAGTTGTAATGAGTTCTCATTCTGATCACCTTACTTTATTAATTAACCAAAGACACCACCTAACTGCCAACCATCAGCCGAACCTGCCACTCATAAATACACATTCAGTTTTTCCTTTAAGACATATGTTCGAACAATTTGACATTTTAATTTAAAAAGTAAGCTGGGAAAAATATAAAAGTGTGGCCATAATGCCATTATTTTGCGTGAAGTAAATCTATCTATCTATCTATCTATTTGTATCTGAAAATGTACTCTAACAAAAAGCAATTTACTTGCAAGTGTTCCTATTACACTTCTTTGTTACAGTAATGAAAAGGACTTGCATGTCATGTCCTCTTGTTGGATATCTTACACGTCTATAGTATGTAACCTCTCTTTTTGTTTCTGACTCACTAGAAAAGTGTTCAAATTTCAACAACATTCAATAAGAAATCAGACCCCAGGGACAACCCAGTGGTATCTGGCTCACCATTTGACGTTGGCCCCCTCCTCAGACACCTCCACCTCAAATTCCACCTTCTCGCCCACCACGGTGTGAACGTCATCCAGCGGTTTGGTGATGGTAACTGGAGGCTCTGTACACAAATTCAAAGCTTTGAGCCAAAATTGTACTGCAGCAGAGTGGCTACTGAGTCACCAACAAACTGTACTGTAGTGTTGAGTGAATCACAGATTAAAATCACAGGAGTAGGAACACGGTGAGCAAACAGCTGTAGGATCAGTGCTGGAGGAAAGTGAGGGAGGGTTTTTTTTCCAGTGAAGGTCAAATGCTGGTCATAAAAGAAGTCCAATATGCAGAGATAAAATTTGCATCTTAATCTTACAATGGATAATCGGTCATAAAAGCATCACAGAATTAGATTTTGTTAATAAAATAAAATAAAATACTTATCCTATTTGGACAAAACTTAATCAATTGTTTTGAGTATTTGATAAGAAAAATACTCAATTTCGCTGCACTGACCTCAGTGCTGCAGCTCAGTTTTACTCTTTTGTTTCTCCTGATGACTGTGTGGATAAACATAGCTGTGCTTCAGGTATTGTTGTACTCTCCTCCTCTGTAGATGGGTGGTGGGTGGCCTTTTTTAACAGTTTTTTTTTCAGTAAACAAAATAGCAGCACAGAAAGCCCTGTTTATAAGATTTGGATTAAAGCACACTATGATCCTGATGTCCTTATTGATGCCACCACACACACACCTGTCATATAAAGACAGAAAGGTACTTGCCGTCTCCTGAGGTGGTGGGAGTCACATTGTGTAACCACATGGTGTGATGTTTTGATGCTTTGCTAGCCCCAGCTATTTGTCATCATCAGCGTCCAGTCCCCCTCTGGACATCTGAGTTCTCTCTAACCCCTGCTGGAGAGCCAAGGAACTCTACAATATGACTTCAGGCCTTCACAGAAAGTTTGGTGAAATAAGCTTGATGTCTAAAATGAAATTTGTGGTTTCTCTGGAGAGTGAGACTTCTCTCAGGAGTTCGGGAATGGGATTCAGCGAACACAAAGCAGCTGTTTGACTCTAAAATCACAGATATAAAAAGGACAGTGCGGTCAACACAACACATGAAGCTCAGCAGTATGTTAACCTGGAATGGCAGCCTGTGAAATATCAAATTTAGTGATTAGTAGTACTAGTTAATCCAATTAACCCGTGTTAGACTCTGCTTTTTCTACTGCATTGTTTTGTGATTTTCTGGATTTATAGGGCCAAAGCTGTAATAGCTGCATTATGTCCTTCTTCTTTAGGTCACACCTTTTGTTTTACACTTTTACACAGATTGGTCTGCTTTATCCACAGAGACTATATAGGCAAGGTCAATTGAGGTATAGTAGCCAACCATATATGCTGTCCTTTTGAGAATGTCTCTGTAGCTATCCTTTGGTTGTAACAGAAAATTGAGATTGTTAAGTGTGAGGTTACACTAGCTAGCAGTTGCAAGCTAGCTAACAGTGCATTTAAATGACTGCTAACATCTTGTTTTGAACATTTCTTTTTTTTTTTTAAGGAAAACAACTACCCTCCAAACGATGCAAAGTAACTACTACTTACATTGAGCAAGAAGTTGATCAAAGAAAATGATTCTTACATGAATTTAAATCTTCCTAGTTCCCATTTCACAGAACTTTGTGTGAGTTGGATTTCACTGTGTTGTAGGAAAAACAACATTCCTCCACTAATCACTCCATAACACAAGAAGACAAAAAGACATGTGTTATTTAAAGTATTGGGGACTGCTAGTTTTGACTGCTGAACTCCCTCACAGATGTCTGGATCAATCAACAACAAAAAAAAATCAAAGCGATACCAGTGACATTTTTATGGACACAAATACACAGACACACAGGCTAGCTGCCTGGGAGCTGTGATAGTGGTGAAGAGCTTACCTTTTGTAAAGTCTCTGAAATCATAAAAGCAGGGTTGGGCACACACAGTAAAGTGCAAAGTTAATATAGAAGCAGTAGAGCCAATTATATTGATTAAAACACTGTACACAGCACAGAGATAAACAGCACCAAAGTTAGCCTGGAGCCTCAACACACATCAATGATAAAAAAATAAAGTCATGAGGAACACCTCTTATTTGTACTTCTTTTGAATATTTTGTTAAATAATTGTGTTTATTTTACTCGATATGGCTGCTGAATATAATATTCAAAAACCATAAAGTGTCCTGAAATACGTGCCTCAGTCAAACTAAAACATATGTGACAGCACATCAATGCATACAGCAGGATGACAGCGATACATGACAATAAACAAAACGTGAAAATTTCACATATCCATTAAAAATAAGTGAGTTGACAACAGAGCGCTGCATGCTACTGTGCAGCATAACAGCTTTGAAATAAACAGATGACAAACACAGGCGCAGGACAGTTACAGAGTTGTCAAGCCTCTCAATATTCAAGACAGAATCTGCTAAACTGAGCAGAAAACAGCCTCTCCCTCCTAAAAGAAGGATTCCTCCAAAGACAATGACTCATCTACCTTTGACAAAAACCTCCGTGAAGCACTTCTCTTCCCCGACCACACACTCGTATGCTGCGTCATCAGACAGGTTGCACTTGTTGATAGTGAGTGATCGCTTGTTGCCCACACTCTCAAACACATACCTGGACACAGGAGGATGAGGGGGAAGATTATACGGGGATAAGAAACAAATGAAGAGAGAGAGAGAAAGAAACAGAGAGAGAAATGAGAAACTGCAGATCCAGAGGCCTGGAGATAACAGAGTGACTCACTGTTGAGAGAAATATGAAATTCTCACACAGACCTGTGACTGCACATATGAGCTGTTGTGTGAGGACTATTAAAAAACTGAAAGGTCCACAATAACAGCACAAGTTCATCACATGCTGTGTCAAGAACATCTATTTGAATATTGAAATGATCACACATACTGCAGGGCTGAGCTACAGGGGAGGCAAAAGTTGTTTACAAAGAAGTAAAATTGAGGGAAAAACTGTGTGAAACATGGATGTAGTCAAGTGACACCTCCATCTGGCTTCTAGGGCTGCTGCTTTATTACAAATGCTGATTTAACCTCGCTTTTGGCTGGCCTAACATAAGGCCAGGAAGCAAAGGTGAGGAAAGCTCTCACCCTCTTCACTAACATCTTCACTGCACCCACCAAGTCAACCATGCCACTAATTTAGCAAAACTCCTAACCTTAATATCTTGAGAGCTAATGGGTTATGAAATAATTTTTACCCCTGTTCAGTGAGAGCAGATATTGAAGTGACAGTTGAGGGGCAGCGGTTTTTAGCACTGCCTGAGACCAGCAGTTTCCTCTTGATTATACGCAGTCTGAAGTGCAAGGTTACAAACCACTGGAAACTAATTAAAATGACAGACCGTATGAGAGTCATTTATCTAATTTATGGCTCACAATAATGTCTTACAATTTAGTGGTGTGTGCATATTATACATATAGATAGATAGATAGACAGACAGACAGACAGACAGACAGACAGACAGACAGACAGACAGACAGACAGACAGACAGACAGATAGATAGATAGATAGATAGATAGATAGATAGATAGATAGATAGATAGATAGACTTTATTGATCCCAAACTGGGAAATTCTCTACCCAGTTTAGGTATCTCTGAAACCTTTAAGTCCTGTGAGTACTTCAATGTCTGTGTTTTGTGTCTCTTATGTTTCTAGATGCCAAAGGGCTAAAAGACAAAAATATAATTTACACTAAAATTGAGGAAAAATGTATGTCACTGACTGCTGAAAGAGCCAAAATTAATTCTGTGATTCACAATTGGGTCTCAGTGAAAGCCGAGAGGGTCTTCTTTAAAATGATACCAAACATAGTGTTGTGAGACACTGAAAAACCTCCTGAACATCAGCTGAATCAGAGTATACACCAGCACCATGGAACAGTATACACCATGGAACTTGTCAAAATGTAAGTTGTGAAACCTGGGGCTCCAAATTTCTGCCCCACCAGAAGTGTGGCACCACACATTTAAAGCCCCTTGAGTGGCACCAAAGTCTGGTCTGGCCTATGGACTGTTTTGTGGGGTAGCTGCTTCTGCTACTACAAATAAGCAGCTAAGCAACAATACAACTTCCAGTTCTTGGAAAGGGGACTAAAACCATGATTCTACAAGCTATTAAACATTTGATGGGTTAGATCTAGCTGGTTGCAGTGCACACTCCGAAGAGCCTCCTGGAAGTCACTGTTCTGGGTGAATAAATGTTCCCTCTCCACTGGTAACTGTCTAATCAAACAGGAAGAGGACTGCCTTGCTCTCAATAAGCAGCATGACGCGACTGAAAATGGCAGATGGTGGAACCATTGAAAAAATACCATTCGCAACAGCTGTACCCTCTTCAATTAAACACCAAATGAAGTCTTTGAAGGAGAAGGGAAAAGAGCAAAGAGGAGAGCAACACAGGCACTGAAGAGAGCTCAGCAGGCTAAAGACTCTCAAAGTTTAAAGTTACTCATATAGCTCCTAAAGATATTTTAATCATCTCTTTACAGAGAGCTGTTGAGGACTGTCTCAGAGGGTTTCCAGTTTACTTGTAATTTCATCTTCTAAAACAATTCCTCAAGAGCTGATAACATCTACATTTCACCACTGTAGGTTACGATCCTGGTTAGTCGAGTCGTTCGCTGGAGCAGATGCTTGCCCATTAAAATGAGATTCAGGCTGAAAGTTATGTATAAACCCCCTCTGGTTTGAACAAAGACCAGAACTTTCCTTTCACACCATTATTGCTGTTTAAAATGTACCTCCTGTTGTAAATCCACTTCTGTAGTTTGACTCCAGTCCAGCTGGTGGAGGCAGTGAACAGGTGTATCTCAATGAATTAAAAAAATTATCAACGTGGTATAAAGAATTTCGGTTTTTATTCATAAAGGTCAGTAATCTTAGATTTGTGCCATGTAAAGGGAAATATTTCAAGTCTATTTTTGTTTTGATTTAAATGATTTTGGCATACAAGTTGTAAAAATCAGAGATCTAACGTCTCACATGATTGGAATATTCCTGAAATTAATCACTAAAAGGATTTAAAATACAGAGTTTTTCTATTTCTGTTAACTCTGTCCATTTTCATCCTTGGTCCTTGGTAAGGACTCCTTTACCATAATTTTCTGTACTGATGTGTTGTTGCATGGAGGCGATCAGCCGGTAACTCTGCTGAGCTGTTACTGAGGCCCATGTTGATTTGATAGCAGCCTTCGGCTGCTCATGGGCCATGATGACAATTCAAATTCATATAAAATGATGTCTAAAATATTTGAGTCTGCATTTAATTAGTCTAGGATATGTGAAATGTCCACATTATCAAAGGCAGTACTATTAACATTGATTAAGATGTGTCTATACACCTAAGGGCAAATGTGTGCTGCCATTAAACATGAAAATACATTATCTGATACTGCCGTCTTAATTTGGTGGAGATTTGGATTATTTATCATCCCAACATCAAAAAAAGGTACATTTAACCCATGGAGAAAATAAAAATCCCTAGAAAGTAGAGCAAGTTCCTTAGCAACACTGTGGTCCTGGTGATCCTGGTAACCCAGTTTCATGGGCAAAGGCTGGTGTACACATAGACTATAGAAATACTGACGTCACCCATCTGTTTCTTAAACCAAGTTTTGAAGCCAATCTGTGGCAGTCAGTCATCATACTTGTAATGCTGACTCAACCTACCAGAGGCGGGTCTTTGGCCACATCACAAATGGCTCCGGTGATCCTGCCTGACAGTCCAGTCTTTGATTGTCAATCTTGAAACTTGAAAAACTTAATGGAAGTGTTACCATTACTTACCATGGGTGCTGTGGGAGCCTTAACCTTTTTATACCAAGGCCAATGTTTCAACTGGGCTGTAAACATGTTAAGACTAAAAAAAAAAAAAACTCTTTTTGGTAGCCTTAAATAGAGGTCTGACTCAAACCCATCTCCATTTAAGAGGCATAATTCCCATTCCCAACTGGTTGGTTATTTGTTGTTTTTACACCCTTGATGTTTAGTCAATCAGCAATGAAAAAAAAGCTATCATATATCACACAACTTTTTACAACACTTAACCCTAAACTTATTTAGTTGCCTTCTCTACTCCCCACGTCTCCTGTCTCTCTTCAGTTGTCCATCCAATAAAGGCTTAATGCCCCAAAAATAGCAGAAAAAATGAAGGATGACTTAGATAGTACAATGGGTTTAGTATAACTTAACAAGGACAGTGACACAGACACTGTTTAGTTGATCACCAAAACAGCTGTAGTCTGCTTACTTGGCTGATGGTTTGATTTCCTGTCCATTTTTGAGCCATTTGACTTGGGCGTCGGGGTCAGCCACCTCCACTGTGAGCTGTATCTTCTTGCCTTTGTCCACTGAGTATGCTGAATCCAACTTCCTCAAGAAAGCTGCCAAGAAAAGTATCCTGTTAGTATACTTTTACAGCCAAATAATCCATTAGTGCCCACCAGCAGCCAGCATATGGTAACACTCATTCCACCTGTTGTCCCTGCAATATTACTTCTCCCCTGAGGCCTTTAAATGCTGCTGGTATTTACAGCCTGCTGCATTACACAGCTCCTGTTTCTCTGCCTGCTTCACTCATGGTGCTCAGTCTTTTTTTTCCCCTCGTAACCCTTCTCCTGTCTCTTCCCTTGCTCCTCACCGTCACTCTTTTTGGGTTCCACCTTTTTCATCTTCTTCAGCCTCTTCAACATGCCCCTCAAGTCTGTGATACCATACTCGAAGGCAATCTTCTCATAGTCACAGGGCTTTGCTGCCTTCAATATCTCCCATACATCCACTTCCTCTTTGACTTCCTCCTGTTTCTTCTGCCTACATACATTTTTAAATAAGATAAAAGAGAAGAGAAACCATGTTTATTTGTGTTTTTGGGCTCTATTTTCGGCGGAGGGTGGCGGACCCCGCGCAGTGGTATTTTCGTCTGGCAGAGCCCGGCGTACAGCCAGTTTGGTATTTTTGTAGACTGAGGCGCACCGAGGTCCGCCAAGCTTGGCGTGGTGGCACGGCAGGGGAAGGTGTCGACAGAATCAGCTGGCGCAGGGACATTTTCGTGCTCGCCGGTGGCATATAAAGTGCGCTGAAAACTTGCCGATTCAAACCTGGGCTGTGTCTCATTTCAGAGACCGCATCAGACTGAGCAAACTGCCGTTATGTAGACTGCAGTACCCTGGGTGAGATGGTCCGGTTTTTGTGAAATGGGACAGACAACCCTTCGGAGGACTTCCTGGTTGAGTCGCCAAATGTCCCCGCCCTCAGGCTCACGTCACGACTGACTTGAAGAAAAGCCGCGGAGCACAGCAGTTATTTTTTTATTGTGCGACCTTGCACAGACACAAAACAATAGATACATACAAGCACAGATCATTTCCACAAAATTCATCCAATGATTGCATGTTTTGTATGAGGGCCATATTGAGAATATTTTTAATGACATGACTTTACGAGAATAAAGTCATTAATTTATGAGAAAAAAGTTGTAAGGTTACCTGTTATTTCAGAGGAGAGTTGTTAAAATTAGGGCCATGGGGCATTTAAAGGAACTGTGCTTCAGTAAAGGTTTCACAAACAAGGAGATATTTCATCCTTTGGCACATCAGCATCACATTGTCATCAGTATAAAGACTTAAAAAAGAACATGAGAAATGCGTCATTTCCACAGGGAAAAAAAAACAGGTTGACTTGGAGGAAATCGCGGCTTTTGTGGAGGCAGAAATGAATATGCTGCAGATAAATCCGTCTATGCAGTCGTAAATATCCGTAAATGACATTGAGCTTTAGTTTATGATATTAATCCATATGCCATAATAAGGCGTTGGTGTCTCTGCAGGTGTAGGTTACCGCCGGTGTCAGAGACGTGGTGCTCGTCGGAGCTCGACTCTCTCTGGATCTCAAATGTTGATCATCAGTTGGATTGTTTCTTCAGAAACCACAAAAACTCTCTGAATGACCCGCTGATACATCCACGATAACCCTACAGATGACCAGTTACAGCCATTTCCGCTCCACAAAAGCAGCTTTATGACTTTATTTTACTTTATGACTTCATTATCCCAAGTTTACAACTTTTATCTCTAAGTCTTAAAAAAAAAAGACTCAATGTGTCAATGCTACTCGGCTGTAGTTTTGTCAGCTTTCTTATTTCTAATGTTTTTGATTGTTGTAGCAGAGCAGATCAGTTCGTCTCTAAATCTATAATGTTTGGTTAACAGATTTTAGTGAGTTCAGAGATCATGCGCTCGTGCAGCCTGAGCTGACTGTCTGCTGTTTTTGGATTTCTTGTATTTTCTTTGAAGACGCGTTGCGTCTCCAAGCGAGTCCGGCCTCTCACCCGAAATGCACAGCTGTGCAGCGGCAGGCAAAGAATTCTGGGATACCTAAGCATAAATGCACGCTTGAAAAAAGGGCGGGGGTAGTGTGGTTTTGAGACTGAATTTGAAGCGTGCTCAGCATTTCGAGCCTAATGGGACACCGTTTGCGCCGCGTGATGACATCACGCACACTTCAAATGCGCAGTTCGACGGTGCGGTCTCTGAAAAGAGACACAGCCCTTGTCAGTTTTCAGCGCAGGCATAGCGCAGCTGGTCTAGTGGTATTTTGGTAGACTGGCGGCGTATCAGCGTATCAGCATATGTCACCGATGCCTTACCGGCAGGTTTCCACAGTCAGACACATTTCAGTGCAATGAATAATCAACTACAACTAATAATCTAACTCAGCACATACATTTAGATCTATATAGATATATTCTGATCTACATCTGATCCGATGAGCGCGTTTGGCACGTATTTGGACACACAACCTGACCGAATCAACACAGCTGAAACCGCATTAAATTAAATTAAATATCTAGTAAATAGACACACACGATGAAGTGAACAAGATATGTAACTCCTCTTCCTCTTATTTCTAGTGCAGTTGGACCTGGACATGTCTCCGTGTCCTCTCCCCGTCCTGCTGCAGCTGCTGCGGCGGCGGCTGAACAGATGATTTGTTTCAGTGATCAGATGAGTTATTTACTTTAAGCCTACATACGAATATTGTAATATTCAGTTTTGTGAGCCAAATTTACTTTATATGCCAACATCTATGAAAGAAAGAGCCAGGCCACAGAGCGCGATGCGTCAGTTACGCACAGATGGTTCAGATTTTAATGCCATTATTGGAATTCATGTTGTGATCTGTGCACACAACCCTTTCTGTCTTTATTTGTGGAAAAGGGTGTTTGTCTTACCAGTGGGTGCAACATTACACACACCAAATCCATCTGTGCTCATATGAGAGAGTGTGGAGGACGCCCCTGCAGCGCCTACAGCGACACTTGTTGAGGGGCTGCCTTCTGTCGCCATTGTGTGGCATTACTGTCTTCAGACATCTCTTGATCTCTTTGACTACTTCACGAAAATAGTAATACGCCTCGCCGGTGGTGGATTTAAAGGCGAGGAGAGGAGCTGATGTTATTGGTCAATACAGGTCTTGGCTGTGTTAAACCCACTCCACACCCTCTCTCCTCCCTCGCTACGACTTACGCCGCTGGGAGGAGCTGCGTTAGGGAGGGGGATACTTACGCTGGGCTGGGCCGCTCACCAAAATACCAAATTGTGCTTGGGAACGGCGAAGGACGAAAATAGAGCCTGATGTCGTTATGTGTGTCAGTTGCTGCTGTTAATGCTCTTACCTTTTCTTCAGCAGGGCACTGAAGTCTAGATCACCTGCATCCTCATCTCCACCTCCACTAAAATGGAGAGATTTGGGAAAATAACATTGTAGGATTATAAACTCACACTATTTCTAACACAAAAGATCATTAGGGCATATGAATTCAAAAATAAATCCCCATTAACCAGAGCTATAAATAAGTACATGGAAACATGAATTATGCACCACAATTATGAATCCAACAAAAACATGATCCTACAGCACACAGCAGGTCTATTGAATGAAAGCCTGCAGTTCGAGCTTACCCTTTTTTTGTCCTGTGTTTAAATGGATGCAAAAATAGGATAAGTGAGAACACAGAGCAGAGCTTTTGATGAGGACTAAAAGCTAACATCATGCCCTGAATACAAGTGATAGACAGAAAGCACAGTAAACAAGCATATGAAGCAACATTCAGGCCAAAAATTAAGCAAACATTAAATACATTACGGAAAGTCAAAGTGACTCCATGCAAACTGATTGAAAGATGGTTTAGAAAAGTATTGTTAGCATGTTAGATAAACGCATGAGATGTTAGATGGAGGCCTGAGATGCAAACATAAAAAATAATAATTTCATGTAGTGAAGGATTGTGTTGTGATTTGCTGCATGAACTCTTTATTACTCCTCACGCACATCTGACTCACATAGTGTCGAGTCATCAGTCACCCTCTTGTCTTCAACAAGGTGACAAGTGCTGTGTGTGGCACACACCAATATCGGTCCGCAGGATGGAGAGCATGCTGTGCCCCACAGTGAACAGTTTTGGCAGCTCCTCTATACCATGAAGTGTGTTTTCCTGGCATGGTTGAAGCTCGTTGAACCCCTCAGAGACCTACATAAATGCCAATAAATTCAAAGCACTTCTGCGTGATCATTTCTGTCCTATGGATGAGCGGTTCATCCAAGGATAACATCCATCCAGGTCGTCCTTGCTACCCTAATGGGGGTAATTCTCCTGGGATGATAACGCTGTCCTACATGCAATCACCACATGGCAGTATGGGCTTGAAACTGATGTTACTGCATTTATCACAGCCACGGAAATAGCTAGATTTCAACTAGTTTGAGTGTTTTTGAGAGATTGTTGAATACTGGGCAGATTGGGGGTGGGGGGTGATCCTCCAATTTAAGTGTGCCAGAAGTTTTGATGTATTTTCAGTCTTAGTATCCTTGTTTTTATTTCCCTTTCAACCCCTCTATGAGGTGGCTGTTAAAAAAAGAATTTTGTCAAGATTTTTTGCACAATCTTGTAAAACTATTGCGTATATAACTATATAAAATGTATATTACTATTCTGTATATTGGTGCATGCACGCGAAAGACAAAAAAAAATTGCTTGTGGAAATTCTGATTGGCTGGTAACTTTAGAGAGTCCTGGTGATCAAAAAGTTAATTTAGAACCCTGGTGCTACAGTTTGAAGAGTTGTAGGACATGTTATAAATCTGGCTGATTCTCTGGTTTCCTTAACTCCGCCATCGTAGTACCATTTTTGCAAGAACTTTTAATGTAAAAAACACAAATTGCTGCTCACAGTGGGACCCATGGAAAAGGGGTATTATAGGATGTTTTTACGTTAAGTTTGACAAAAGCAACCTCTTGCATTACATCAATGCTTGGGTCCAAATATTCACTAAATGTTCACTGATTGCCAGTCTTAAATATGACACTAAAAGCCAACTTTCACTCCCTTGAACTATTTCCATTGTTGTGACCAGGACACTTAACCACAACTTTTTCTTTTTGTGTTGAGACAAGCAGCAAAACACAAGATCCAGACCTTAGTGAAATTTAGTGGACTTTAAACTTCAGTGATTTTTAATTTGTGGTGTGTTTTTGGCTGCATGTTCTGGTCTCCACCTATGTGTAGCATTGACATTTAGTGAGACTACAAAAAGAAAATGCTGTTCCTCCAACAGTAAGAGAAATTGTCTCATTCTAAAACGCCAACACATGCTATGTATTTCACAGAATAATTTTTGTCTCCCTTTGAAGCCTTTTCAGGCGACCAACCAGTTAGCAAAGCCACAACATGAAGAAGAAAAACATAGCCAAATTTGCCTGGGGCACATGTTGCGATGCTGCGGTTGTTTTAAACTTGAAATGCGCAATGAAGTCAGGAATTTAAAACCTAAAGTCCAGAGGAATAATGAGTGAGTTTGTTTTGCTTCTGGCACAAACTTTAAAAGAAAAACACAAGAATCCAGCTGGATTCCTCTTACTTACCTCCTGGCTGTATAACCTCCACATAACAAGGTATTTAACTCACGCATTCATAATCTCTTCAGGAACATTTGAGTTTTAACAAACCTCTCACTTTTCTTTTTATCTGTGCCTCGCCCTCTCTCTTTCTCATATCAGCATTCTGCAAATAAGCGCTCTGACATCCTGTCTAAAGCTCAGTGTGATGCTGTCTTTTTAACTTTGAGTTTCTGCTCACACTCTAATAAGGGAGGAGCGTTGTATTTTTAAGCACAGATTACAAATGTGAGTCTTGAGATGTCAGTGTGAAGGTGTCAGTAGATTTGTGATCACACACCTGAAATAAAAAAGCAACGCAGTCACAGGATACATACAAAGACACACTTCACACAAACAGAGAACAGAGACAGGCTGTTAGAGGTAAACAGATACATATAGAAAGAGAGGGGTGGACCCGCAGATCGGGTGAAACACATATGGTGCTGAGCCATGAGGGACTCTAGGTGAAGCAAAAAGCAGAGACGCATTAAACCGTGACATAGAAAGAGAAACATGGCAGACAGACTGACTTGCACAAAGTCAGCTGCAGCTGAGGCAGAGACAGACAAACAGGCAAAGATGCTGGTTGAGACTGACACATGCCTAGAGGCGGCAATCTACAGAGGAGCATATGTGAGGCAGTGTGATGGGTGACATGTTGAGCAGACCCTCGCCAACCCTGACACTCACGATCTCTTAAACGCCTCCAAGATGTTGTCCTGCTGCTCCTCTTGTACAGCTGAAACCAGACAGAGGTAGAAAGGCTGGTGAGTGCTCGGCTAGGTTAATTCATTCCCCAGCAGGCCCAAGCTGCAGAGGAATAATGGAGTGATGACCTTACTAGGCCGCTAAATGATGCGACCTAATATGTTCCACACTCACTGAGTTATTGGCTGACAAAGCCAGTTTCATTGTAACACTGGAGAGGCTGAATGGAAGATGACAATAATGAGATTGCATGTCTCCAGACCTACCCTGCACAGAGACTTCGAATGTGCAGCTGTCGCACTTGTCTTTGGAGGTGACCTCGCAGCGGTAACCACCTGCATCTCCATCCACTACTTTGATGATGCTCATCTCGTAAGTGTAGATCTGACAGAGAGAGGGGGGAAGGTGATGTGTAGGAGACACATGCTAATAAATTAACACTCAAACACAAACACACACGAATATCTGTGTGTACGGATATGCAGTCAGACCTGCACTTAGAGTGTACAGACTCAGGTTTGCTGTTAAAAGGATCAGGCCAGTACTGGTTTCTGTAGAGTTTGGAGCAGTGTTTACTGGGCGGCAGTTTTTACATTGTCTCCTGCCAAAAATTTCAGCCACCTGTTTGTTTGCTCTGTAAAGGGTTAAGTCACAGGGGTGATGATAATCGTCTTTTAGAAGGAAATAGAATAATAATATTGTGCTAAGAATAAGAAACCAGCATTACTATGAGTTTATTGTAGTGCTCTGAACTCTGATTGCAACATGACTTAAAACAGATGATAGGCGAAGAAGAAGCCGACTGCTAGCAGGCTAGCTAAAGCCCCTTGCACGTTTAAAGACTGACATACAACAATTTAATTTGAATCCAAAACCAATACAAGAGCTTGTTTGTTTTCAGTTTGATAATCAATTATACATTAAAAGTTTCCAACCTTTTTTGCAGTTAAGTCCCATAACTTTCAATCAACTAGAATAAGCATAATTTGAATGTTCCAGAAATGAAATAATCTAAATGCAAGAAATAAAAATTACCAAAAGAAAAGCATGACAAACAATTGTTATATGAGGGGGTGTCATTTCTGTTACAGGGCTGGTGATATGGATAAATCATAAATTTGAACATTGTGAGATTTAATGGCATGAAAGTTAGTTGAGTGAATTGGTAAAGTTTGTGAAGTATTGTGTTGCTTCTCTCTTGGCTTGTCTTTCCTTTGACAAATTGTGTTATAGTATATTCAAGTTTTTCATAAATATTCAATGTTGCCAAATCGTCATCACAATATTTTATGTCTATGATAATCGCAAGGTGAAAACTGGTACCAAGACAGCCCCAACCTCTTGTTTTTATGCATTTCTGAGTTCATCCTGCAATTAAATCCCTTTGCAGCCCAAATCCTAACAAATTCACAGTGTGGCAACAACAGCAGCATTTGGTTCCATTCATCCAAATGAGATGAACATTAAGGTTTGGTCTTGTTAAGCTTAGAGTATCTGGTTGTTGCCATTTGAGAATAACTGCTGACCATTTGCGAGCAACGCATTTGGCTAAAAAGCGTCAGCTAACACCAAAATACTGATGGCCAAGCTTCTAAACCTGTCAACTCTATCCACCCATGGCTTTTACTAATCATCTCCAAGTGTTACATGCTTTATTCTGATTGGTCCAATTGCCTTGCCAATTCTGATTGACCACAAAGGACGTTAAAACACACAGGGAGGCATCAACCAAATTGAAGAAAACACACATGTAAATCCATAAATCAAAACTCAGATGGCTCTGACCAGTAGAGTACGTTCTCAGCAAAAGACCCACCAAAATGACAACCCTAAGATCCACTCTGTTAGCATGGCTAATAATGAGTGTTCAAAAGATACGATGAAACAAACACACACACGCACACACACACACACACACACACACACACACACACACACACACACACAGTGTAAACATAGCAACCTTGGTGTTTCTGTCATAGGTCTCTTTAAACTGCAGGTGCTTCCCAGCTTTACTCCCCAGGTCCAACCACTTCCCCTTCAACCACTTCATGGTAGGCTTTCTGAGCAGGTTTGAGGAATCAACTTTTGTCACAAATGTAATGTCTTTGCCTGCCAAAAAGAAGAACAAGATACAAAGTAAGACACTCTGTATTTCATGTATTTCCCTACACTATTAAGGTATTTGTTGTCCAGTCACTTCTCCGGACCTTTTGTCGCAGTGGTACTCTCAGGCTTCAACACAAAGAGGCCGGTCAGTTCGGACAGCTGAGGATCCTCCCCTGGTACATGTTCTGTGATTTGGGGTTGAGTAAATGAAACACAAATAACAAATTTAAGCCAGAAATCTCAATCTGAACGGCGCTGAGACAAACACGCCACAAACACATTGTAGACAACAAGAAAAGACAGGTCGACCAAGCAAACCACCGAAGCAGCAGTCTGTTTAAACACCGGGCCTTTACTCTCTAACACCTATATGTGATTTGATGAGCCGCAGTCTCCAACCATTAAATCCCACCCTTGGAGCACAGTGACACATTTCAAGTTTTCTGTGATTCTAAATCTGAGGAGCAGTTTTCTTTTGAGATAAACCCATCCATAAAGTTTGTGTAATGCCTTTTCCTTTGCTTATACGCCACACAAACCATTAGGGACCCTCTGACAGGCGACCAAGGAGCCCCCTAGAACAGTCTGGCCCCAGGGAATAAAGACACTTCTCTGATCTCCTCTGAAGACTTCACATTAAGGTTGACTTTCAGCAATCTTCTACCTCCCTGACAGAACATACGCTGACGCTGTACGCTCTTATCTTGGTGATATAAACGACTTTGCTCTTTTATCCGCTCCCTTGTTTCTCTTGTGTGTAAATTGATGTAACCTCTGTAAGGTGTTTGCTTGTCAGATAATATGCTATACAGAAACGCTAACGTATTCATTTGTCTTACCATCAGGAGGCAACTCTGCGTTGAAGGAGGAGACAGAAAGAGAGAGCGGGGAACACGTCAGTGTGTACAGTATCAGAGCTGTGCTGTTTAACACAAGCGTTAATTGGCCCAATGGTTATCTTGACTGCAGGTGAGGAACACTCACACATTAAATCAGCGTGTTCTCACACTCCTGAATAACATCTTTCTTTTTATGAGTCTAATTAAAATATCCTCATTTTCTCTGACAAAAAACATACATCTGTTAATGAGTTATGTCTTCGACACCACTTTTATTGAGACTATTCAGCGTACATAAAAACATTTCCTCTTGTTTTTCTCACATCCCAAGTCCAACATATTGTAAGTGTTATAGGAAAGACAGTTTATAGACAAGCAGGTAGAGAGTGAGGCATGTCGGACCATTCAAGGGGATTAAGTGGGCCCCTGGGTGGACATCCATTGGGCTAAGAGAATGGATCCAGGGTCACATGTCACAGAAGGTCATGCACCTCCATAAATTCAGAGAGCCACAACACCGGCGCTTTTCTCTCTCTCTCTCTCTGCTTTTATGGGCTTAGTTAATTTGATCTTTTAATCAAAAGTGCCCCTGAGGACAGATCCAGGTTCAGATGTTCGGCATGATTTAAAAGGTTTCAGTTAAAATGCTAAGTGGGTAAAGCTGATCCTGAAATGGCACCCAGGGGACACTTTTGAATGTTTACACTTGTTGTGTTTGGGAAATTAACTCGAGACACTGTCCTTGGCTCTGGGAATAAAAGTTTCAGATGTTATGTGAGAACCCAGAGGGACTAATTGACTGAAACAACCCTGCAGACACTATTCATGTTTTGGATAATGAAGACAACTTCTTACAGCACACATAAAAGTTATATCATCCCGATATTAATTAATCTCCTTTATTTCCTTTTGACTCCCCCATGACATTTAGGACTTTTTGATAGCAAGACCTGAGTAGAGTATAATTCCAAATTCTACTCAGATTTAAAAGAGAAGTTTAGTTCAGCAATGAATTTGTCATTTCAGAAAATAAAATCCTCAAATTCATACATGATTATCTTCCAGTTACAACTCCATTTAGCCAGCATAAACACTCAGAACCAAATCCTGATTTTTTTTTTAACCACACTGATTTATGAAGCATAATGTCATCACATCATAAAGCAGAAGTGTTTTTTTAACAACCTGTTTAAAGGTTTTAAAAGGCACAAACAAATTCAGCTCCATCGTGACTCCATGAGGGGATTTAATGCCTCTGCCCAAACCCACTTGATTGCAACATCTCCCTGTACAGTCAAAGCACCAACGACATTCATGGGTATCACAATAGATAATTTTCTCTGCTTCATCTCTATCTTTAGGCTGATCTTTTCAGATTGAAATGAAAGAGCTTTGCTGATGGAGCAAGATCATAAAACTCTTATATGCATTGTATAAAATGGTATTTTTCTGGCTTTTCATAAGGGGGGTATTTCATCTTTGATCACAGAGAAATCAAATCTGCATGACTTCTGTTAAAATTACAAACTAAACAAATATATGTTCAACCTAGCATGATCTGTCTTAAACAGTAATCTGAAAGTTACAGAGTTCCTTTCTGCAACTTCCCCTGTGAAAACCTGATCAGGAATTTATGAACCTTTATAAAACTCACTTATCAAAAATTCTATACCCTCTCAAATACATTAAAATAGTATCACATTTTTGTATAGATACACAGCTTTTCTGAGAATTATGGATCTGTAATTTCCCAGTTTTTATTTATTAAGTACATCATCAGTCAGTCATTCAAGCAGCACCATTAAAAACCCACACTGTCCCACACCCACAAGTTCCTGCACTTATTATTTAACAGTATTATTGTATCTACATATGACACTCTCAGCAGATATATGCCCAGCTTCACCACAGGCAGGATATATCACTTTTATAAACCAACCAGATGTCATGAGTTCACATCAGAGTTCACACTCAGACGTCTCTCGGATGCTTTGGTGGAAACTATCAAACCCTGATACTTTAATTCACTTTGAAAGCCTGTTTTCATTCATAGACATCTCTTTGGTCTATTTGTTCTTTATTCATTTCACTGTCAACTCATTCCATCTGACAGTCCATCTGATGAGTTATCTGTGGCTTGAGGTACTTTCAAGTTGCATCATTTTTATCTTTTACTTTTCGTTATCTATCCACAAAGAGGCACTTTGTGTCTTTTGTCTTTTATATGTGTAACGTTACTATACAGTTGTACTTCCACTCTAATAACCATTGATTAATGAATCTACAGGCTGAGTGAAACGTTTAATCTTTAGCATAAATGATGGCTGTCACCAGAGCAATCCCAGGCCTCTGAAAGGAACAGTTTGAGTCTGTCACATTCAGTAACAGATCCCTGTGTTCACCAACATACAATGTGGTTGAAAAAAAAAGAGAACAAGCATATAAAGAGAAAACACAAGCAGGCCGGAAACAGCATGTTGTGACTGTTCCTTACCATCCCTAGGCTCATTGTTCGCTGAGTGAAAAGAAACAGTTGGTACATGGAAATTAGTCCTGTGGACAATGAAGACCATATCTGGTTTCCTCCAGCCTGCTCAGACTGCAGATATGTGTTTGTGTATGCTTATAGATGAAAAAAAACTGCGCTCATCAATGGCTTTAGACAGGCTTGAACTGAACACACACATACACACACACACACACACACACACACACACACACACACACACACACACACACACACTTGAAAAGCAAAGCGCTTACCTGCAGCAGGCGGGGTATCTGTTAATGAAGAATAAGCTTGGGTTAAGCAGATGTCCTGAACCAGTAGAGATATAATACTAAAACAAGTATGCACAAATCTGGCAGATTAACAAGATTTTATCTTGGAGATTAACTAATGTATTTAACAGGATGAGTAAAGCCCCAATGAGCCAGACACATACAAGAGAAACTATTAAGACAGGGCAGAGCTTCCTGATTACAGCTGGATGTGTCTTCATCACCACCAAGAGTGACATTAGAGTGTAAATGTGGCATTCAGCAGTCTTTGTGATGTGCTAAATGTTATGTCTTTTACATAATTTAATACCACGATGTGTGTGGTTTTTTTCTTGACACATGAGTGTAAAGTCTGATGGAATTTTTTAAACAGTTTCAACTCTTCAACTTCTCCCCAACAGAATCTTTTCTGGATGCAGTGCAACTCTCAAACCAAGAACTCCACTGAAAAAACGTTAAAATATTTTTAAAATTTTATCAGCTGATTCTTAATATTACTTTCTTTCTTGTTATTTTTCAGTGATTTTGGAAGAAGTTTTTTGTAACATACATCAAATAAGTTAGCTAGTGCAGCCTTAACCACATCGCGATATGTTAGGGTGACCATACGTCCTCTTTCACCCAGACATGTCCTCTTTTGGGGGGCTGTTTGGCCTGTCTGGGGGGGGGGGGGGTATCCTTCAAATGTCCAGGGTTTTGTGTCGAATTCTTTTTTTTCACTGGCAAAAAAACGGGCTTCCACAGTTTTGAGTTTGTGTGGCGTGTACTTTCTCTTCGCATCACAGACCATTGTATTTACCATATGCGTTCAATGGTTCATGTGGAAACACACGCCAAACCCCGGAACGTGTATTCATTCATTATCATAACAGTTCAGCGCATCAGTGCTCTCTGCTGCTCTGCTCCTCCACTCAGTTCTAAGCGAAGCCACTAATGAGACAAACGCATGCACTGTCTGCGTGAGTGAAAGAAAAGGAAGAAAATTTTGTATGTGACTGATAATTTTGTTGAGGAGAAATGCTTTAGATAAATGAACATCTTGTTTATAAACCCAACTTTGTGTCAGTATTTTTCAGTATCTCCAAGAGGCATGGTTAATTGTCTTTTAGGTTGTTTAGAATATGTGTTTAAGTGTGTTAGAAGCATGTAAAACAAACACTCGATCTTACCCGAAGAACCCTCAAAATTTTGCATGCATGCACAACTCCTCCACACGTTGTAGTGTCCTCCTTTTGCGGATTCAGAATATGGTCACCCTATGATTTGTTGGTTTTTTATGTACTAACACCATGATAAGCTGCTCCTCTAGTTGGCATTATCAAGTGAAGTTAAAAGTTTGAAAGTATTTATATTTTCCTCTCTTTTAGGTTTCAAGAGGTTTGATTTGCTCACCAAATCAGATAACAAGTGTTAAGCTAACACTAACACAGTCTACACCGCTGCTTGGTTGGTACCTCAGTTTCCCTGACTGCACTGTCATTTATGTGGACTTCAATTTTAAGCAACTTGCAAGGTCATCATGTTTACACATTTGCATATTCATGCTCGCACACCCATGCTAGCAAGCTAACACACAACATTGAGATTTTATGGCCATGGGGGGCAAATTCTGGTTCAGTGTACTCATTCAACACTGTGGGTAACTCTTTGACTGTAGTGGTTCTATGCTCTGGCAAGGCAGAGGAACATGTCCAAGGCTAGATTAGAGGAAGGCAAGGGCAGCATAAATACAGGGGTCACAAAAGGGTGAAGATCAGGGGTACAATTTAGCAAAGGTCACACTGATGCTCTCCTTCAAAGAGAGTTACTAAGCAGGATTTGGCTGCAGTGTTGTAATGACTCAATTTTTTTTGCTCCAGCAGGCACAAGCAAACATGAAGCCACTCTCAGCAAAGTCAAAGGACACTGTGTTAAAATTCATCAGGAAAGACAGCAACTTAACAACTCACAGTGAGAAACATGCTTGTACCCTCTTGTACAGTCTTTGCATACGCAGGTTGACATTTAAACCCGAAAGGTGAACTGAATATGATCACATTCACTCATAGACTCCAAACCTACGTGGTGTGCTCTACTCAGGAGACTCATTACATATTACAGATGCATGCTGCAGGCCGAGGAAATCAACATAATCATACATATGTATCATGTGACTAATACACATGTATAATGTTGCAGCGCAGTACATGATTCTGCCTGATCTACACATACATACAGTGCATACTGTACATCTCACATGTCATGTAGCTACACTGCTGTGGGCAACTGCACCCACTCACAATTATTCCACACTTTTAGCTGAATGCATTACCCTCAACTATGGATTGGTCTTGAAAGGTCAGGTTTTCAGGCACAGGAATAAATGAAAGGCACAATCTGCCATTCTGAGTCGATCCCAGGCTTCTCCGGGTATCATTGGACCCCTTTACTGTTTGTGAATAATGAGGCATGTACCTGTATCTCTGCAATGGAAGTATGATGGATAACCCCCTGAGGGGGTTAATCACTACACATCCTGTTTGTTACTTTAACAAACTAGCTTTGACAAATAGTGAGTGACTTCCAGATCCGTGTGATAATAGTGAGTGGATAGAAGACACATAGAAGCATTTTTAGTTATGGTACAAGGTACCTACTCAAAGGTTATATTAAGCATCCATCCATGTTAAAACTGATAAACTCACCATAATTTATCATTTATTGATTTATTCGAAGCAAAGTTGATCAATAATGAGGGTAAGACTGCCAGTGTTATGGTTTTAACAGCGACCCCATCTAAATGATTGTGGGGTTGCTGTAGTAACAAACTGTAAGTCCCCTTTTGACGGGGACACTTTCAGTGGTAGGGTACTTCACATGTTTAAACAGTAAAGACTATGTGTAAACAGACGGCAATGGAAACATAAACACTTACAAAGTAGTCATTTATAAGATAATCAACTTGCTTGTGCAAACGTTTCCCTTTCCCCATTGATTTTTGAACATTTATGCTAAATAGAAAATCACTGAATGCTAATGTTAGCTGTGTTCTAATGTAAGTTAAGTGGCTGTCAAATGGGTTTTTAAACTTGAAATATGACCCATAAATCAATGAGCTGTGAAATGACCACTGTTAGTCACAATATTGAGGTTTTAATGACCTATAACCTGGGACGCCTCATACTATCAGGTTCCTACGGGGTCATATGTTTCTCTGGTTTCTTACTGCTGCAGATGTTTTGCTGCTGGGGACCTGCTGCTTTCCAACTGCTTCAACTACAACTTCAACGATCTCCCCTCTGTCCATCTCTCTCTTTCTCCATCTCCCTCCCTCCCCTCCTAACCCAGTTCAGTCTCAGCGGATGACTATCTAACATGAGTCTGGTTCTGCTCGAGGTTTCTGCCTGTTAAAGGATGATCTCCCTCTCCACTGTAACTTGATAAATACTGTCAAGTGTTTCACTCATGTGGTTGAAGATGGGATGGAAGTGGATCTGATCTTACAGGATGAGGCTCAGTCTGATACATTAGGTCTCTATCAATAGACTTTTTTGTTTGCTTGTTTGTTTTGTTAAATGTTTTGAAATAACACTAAATAAGGACTGATTGATTGATCAATTGATTGATTCAAGTTTCTTACTCTGAGTGTGATGTCACAAAAAGATGGCCACTGCGGGAATATGGTCGATAGCTGCCATTGCGCCACCACCAGAAGAGCAATTACCAAACAATATGATTGCGAGAGATTGCTCAATTTGCCTCTTTCCACACATAGCGCCTTTAAACAGGATTCAAATTTCTCAGGTGGATTTCTATTCCAGGAAAAACAATATAAATACAATCAGTGTTTCCAACTTTTATCTTTTTTTTTCTCATAAAGCCTTCTAACAACCTGCTTTAATGCCCTTTTAAAGTGGGTAAAACACACACTATTAAGTAATATTGTTGTTTTTTCCACTGTCACAATATATTTTTTACTCAGTCTTTAACAGAAAATCCCATGAGCCAAGGCTGTTAGCCGTAGTCAGCTCCCATAAGGTCTAAACAAGGTGTGCTTACCTTGCTGAGACACTTAAACAGTGTTTGCTGAAGGACAAATGTGAAAGTTAATTTGCATGTAGTGTGTGCATGTGCAGAATGAAGTTAACCCAAGCTAAAATAGGAAAGTCACACACACTCACACACAAATACACACTCATACCATGTGATGCTCACCCATAAATTAAACACCTTCTATTTTTTTCCCAACACCTAATTTAATTAGCATCTTTGGTGCTCAGAATAAACTTATAACCTTTCCTCAGTGCTAATAAAAGTTTATTATACATGTGTCTTAAGTGTGTCTGTGTGTATCATGCATCCACACACTCAGTCCCACCACCACAGAAGTTACAGCTTCTGTGTTTATTTGGTTTTCAAGTCTTACCCTCCTCCTCTACCATCTCTGAATGAGTGAAAGACACATTATTTTACAGATGAGAGGGAAAACAATGACACACACACACAAAATGTTGAAGGTTAGGATGATGATCAACAGACACAAGAAGGACAAACACAGATGAATGGATGCAGTACATTTTCTTACCCTTTTGGTCTGTGAAAAAGACAAAAAAAAAAAAAACATCATTAATGAATTGAATCATTTGCATGAGCTTTTTTGTAACATTTTTCAGCTGTTTTGCTTTGGATTTTAAAATCTTATCAACTGTGGGTATCAGAACTAGGTTGGACATGCGGAGTCCATGTTACCCATGTCATAACCGCACTTACCAGCAGGAGGTGCTGCAGCCTCATCGCCCTCGGCTGCTGCAATTAAACAACAATTATGTAAATTAATTTGTACTTCCTCATTACTTCATATTATAGCCTACTACACCAGCAGCAGAAGCAGAAGCAGCAGTTTGGATAGTCACGGCTTTCAGAGGTGAGGCTCAGTAAACTGTTTGAAGAGCTGCATCTTTTGATCTGAATCCTCTGGAGACCAGAACTAATCATAATTTCTTTATAACACAGGGGCACTTACTTGTTTGGTGCTTGTTTTATCTGAGACACGGTGCTCTGTGTTTACATAAATAGGTGTTTTAATATCAACATGAATTTGGCTGCATAAAGGCTTACAGTTAACATGAGGAAGCACCCGATAGATATTACAGATAAAGATTTGACAAACAGAGAAGAGACACCTTTTATAAAAAAATGCACAAAACATACACTTTTAAATAAACAGTTTCATTTTAGTAACACAAACACACATTCAGGAGCGCCTGCAAAGGGAAACTACATGTGGGCAACCTCACTCTATGAACCTTTTTGTGATTTCTGCAGGGTTTGCCTCTGGCAAGAGAGAGAGAGAATAGTGGAACTCACCAAGGGAATAGAGCATGATTCAAATGAGGCATAGTTTACAGAGACAGTGTGGCTGAGATAAATATAAGTACATTTTTTTAGAGATCATGAAGAATAATTGGGCTTAAAAAATTCTGAGAGGGGCAGCCTCGAGACAAAAAATGCTTTTGATAGGATAAGTACATCAAAGTTCCATGGTCCCAGATCTAGGTTACTTCAGAAGCTCAAGGGTGTCTAATGAGATGGCAGATTAGGCGCCAGTTTCTGTGTCTGCCAGACAAACTAAAGCACACAGCTGCACAGCAATAATTCAACTCTGGCAGCATTCACTTTTAAACCATGTATTCAATAATTCTGCAGGTCTATGCCCTCATTAGACCTCCTGTTTAAATATTTGAATAGAGTTTCTGTCAATGCAGCAAAGCACATTAAAGGTCCCAGCAAGGGATGTGAATAAGGATATCATCTTTACAGCGATCGTCTCTTTCAAACCACCAACAACAAGCCACAACTGGCACGCATAGCAGTGTCCCATGAGTCTACTTAACAGTGGGTCTAAGATATCCAGGCCCAGCCTTGGCACTCACGGCTGGCACACTATGTCTGGCATACTGGTGGGTGGCTGGTGGGTGGTGCTGAGGGGCAACACTTCTATTTTGGCTATGGTTTGTTTTTCAGGCAGCAATCTGTTAATGCTTCTCCCAGCACTTCAGTCCATGTGGGGATCTGTTATGTAGCAGGGGATCAAAACTTTCTTCAGATTGCAGCTTAAGCATCTTTACTGCCCCTCACATGAAAACCAGAGGGCAGTCATCCCTAGATTTCAGATTATGTGAATGTTCTCTTGATTTTTCATGGTAAGTTTAGTCAAAGGTTATGGACACAGGGTTTGGTATCAGAAAAGATTTTGTTCTGTAGACACAGTTGGGACATAAAATTAATATCAAAACCGGGTTATGTTGTTCTGATTGAGATGTGAAAGTTATTACTCTATAAATATCCAGTGAAATCCTTATTCATTGTCAGCTGCACATCAGTATAAGATGGCTTTGATTCAGCATGTCCAAGTCAAGGCTGTGGAGAAACTCTTACTGGACAAACTTCAACCTTTAAAATGGTGTAACATTTAAAGAGAATTTCAGTGCTTTTGAAGTTTTTATTGTGGCTGATGCAAAATCCTGCAAAAATCAGACAAAGATTTTCCAAACAATACATGAATAAAACAAATATTTCAGTCGTGCAAACTGCAAGAGCACCTAGAGTAGCTGCAGGAGATTAGACTTGCTAATTTCTGAGAGACAGATAAAAATAGCCAGATTTGAATTCAGACTGACAACCTTTTTCTTTACATCATAACTTTAAAAATATGAAGACAAAACATCACAGGCCAGCTCGAGCAAACATTAGATGTACTGTAAGATGTTTGTACCCTGCAGCGAGCCGCTGTCTCGCAGCAAAGAGGAAAGATGTGAGATCCTCAGCAATCACTGAGGAATTTCCTCTTTTACTTCCAGCAATATTCTGTGTGGAGGAAATTTAGATTTGATTACAAAGGGGTTTTACTCATGTTATGGGAAAGTATAAAAGAAAGGATCTTTCATTGATATTAAAATGGTTGTTCACTGCTTAGCATTTAAGCCTCTCACATGTAAAGAGTTCCTGCCGTCAAGTTGGGTAATAAAAGGCAGGTTTAAAAAGTGTATGTAGATGATCTGAGAGAAAAGGTATGAATTTGACATGTTAATGAAAATGGTTGATGGCTATTATAGGCTAATATTTTGTTGGCTATTTGAAGCTAACAAAATATATAAATCTATATTGGCCATACAGTTAAATTACCAGAAATAACAATATAGGGATGTGCTGCAAAATGCACAAACTCCTGTGATCAGGACAGCTGAAGATGAATTAATGAGGCAAAATGGAAAATAACTGTAAGTCTCTCCTTCCTAGCCTTAATTTTTAGATTGATCTTTTGATGATAAGAGAAAGTGGACTGAATATTTGTGGCTTATTGATTCACGACTGTGCTTGGTTGTTGATGGCATGTACCCCTGTGTCATTGGGAAAGTCCAGTACTACATCAAAATCGTGACTCAGCCAATAAATTTTGTCACATTTTGATGGATACAGCTAAACATAACTGCATAAGACAAACTAACATTTACTTGTATCAAAATCCATTAAAGTCTATACCAGAGTAATGGACTAACACACCAACAAACTTATCGTCACCCCGAAAGGCAAACATATGAAACCACAGTTATCTCTCAAATGATAAAGGCTCTGCTATCATTTACTCTGCTTTGTTTCAGGTTGTAAGGTTGTACAGTGTCACTCAAACTGCTAGTATTATACAGCTGTTATTGTGATCAACACTAGAAAATATAATGGAAATGTTACTCTAGCTAGCTAGCTTTTGTATCAAGTAATATCATGAATCTTCAATATTGGTTTCCAACCTCCTGCAAGCCTAAATAATTTCTTCAACATAGGGCTGCACGATTAATCGATTTTAAATTGTAATCAGATTATTTGAGTATGACGATGTTAAAAAATTAAAATCATTGAATGGATTTTCCTCTCTATCATGTCTCGCATCTCCAGGCCACCGTAGGCTCCCCCTTCCCGGGGAAGCGCTCCCCAGTTCCCACACACACCAGTGTAAAGAAACATGGCATTTGCAAATGAAGGTGACAATTTCGTGGCTAAATAGGGCAAAAGCAAGTCAGTTGTTTGGAATTGGTACAGCTTCACAGTGTCAGATGAAGCGCAAACTACTCCCCTCTACTGTTTGAAGGCGGTATCAACCCGCCCTCACGGAAACAAATTCAAGAGCAAATGCACACGTTTTTTGTTGTGCTGGCATTTCATCCACATGGAAACGGTGTTTCTGTGACTGTAAATGGTACTTTTTGAAAATGGGTCAGAGAGCGCATTAATCTGTAAACGACTACCATTTCATCTCTGTGTGGATGCCACTTACTAGCTTGACATATGCACTACATTGTTTTCGGTGGTTTCGTTTTAAGATGATGGAAAAAATATATATTTCTAAAGTGAAGTTTGGTTAGGTTATCACTGAATAAAAAATCTAAATCAAAAAATCGAGTTTTCAGAGAAAGAAAAAAAAGGGATTTTATTTTTGGCCAAAATCATGCAGCCCTACTTCAACATTAAATGCAACATGTACTGAGCGAGTTGTGTTGCTCATTTTGTTTTGTTGTTAGGAAACTGGAAAAAAGATGAGGATAAATCAGTTCTTTACTTCATTCTTTCCAAACAGAGTATGTCAAAGTCTTCAAGATTTTGTTCAAGATGAATGAAATACAATAAAATATAAGATGGAAAGGGATAAATGCCAATATTAGCTGTTGTGTAGCTGTAACTGATGGGTTTTTATTCCAAACAATATAAAAGCACAGTTAATCGTGTAACTTGAGAGAGAAATGTCTGCTTAATGGATAGTGACATGAAGTTAAACATTTAGTTTAAGGCCCCTCACTTGGTAATTATATCTACCTGCAAAAAATAAAAATCCATTTGAGTCGTTTGTAACATTGCCTCCACTGTAGCTGCATTTTGTGATCCAGATTGATGAGATGGGTGAGAAAATGACTCTAATGACCCGTTTCTCCTTCAAAACACCTTGTGAGGTCCATTTCACCGCTCCTCCTCTCCAACATACTTGTATTTTTGGATGTATTGGAAAAGCTGAGTGAGATCTGTGACTGTTGAACCTTCAGCTCTAATGCTGAAGGAAATACACGGCTGATGAACACTGTCCGTGTGGATCCATCTCCGCTCTCATTACCGTCCACGCTTCATCGACGCTCCTCTCTGTCCTAGATAATTTCACTCTAAAGCTGTCTGCCTCTCTGTCTTCCAGGTATCGCTTAAATGGATAATGTCTCTGGCGGTCTCCATTCCTTCTTCCTTTTCACTTAATGCAAATCCCTTCTCTCAGCACTTTTTTGTCCCACCGTTTCTTCGTCCTACTTTAATCTAATTCTACTTTCTTCTGAAGGGAAAAAAAGTTATGCAAGATGAAGAGCCATGAGGTGGAAACTAAAAGCAGGAGAGAGGAGAAGAATGATCCAGGCCACTGGGGGTCAAGGATGGCGTGAAGCCTCTTTTTAAGAGCCTGAGGATTGGGTTCTTCAGAGGGGGAGATAAGATATACACTGTTTATATTTAACATATATCATTGGAGATGCTTGCTGAGAGAAGATTTTATTTACTCAGTTTTCGCTTACCCTGTCACTGTCAGTACTGCCTTAAAATACACACATTACTTGATGCTCTTGACATCATAATTATAGATCATTTTTATGTCCAAAAGCTTATCACTGATATCATTTCAAACTTGAGAGCTTCCGTGCCTGTACAATATGACTGTGGCTATAAACTGATTAAGGTTAAGTAATAATGCCAAAGCTGAGCCATGTGGAAGGCTTTTGTGCGTGAAATAAGTACTTGTTGGTTTTTAAAGCTCAGTTTGTAGAGCAGAGCATGAACACTGTCTGGGTTGGGGATTTGTTTCTAACCATGGATACTAAAAGATGTGTACATTCTTCAATCTTCAGTGTGCTTAGGATATAAGCACCCACTAAAATGGCATAGACAGCTCTATTTATACTGTACAGGATTAGAGTGTTATACATATTTTATGCAATATTTCTCTGCTTTAAAGGAGTGTGATCCAGTTTGATTGATTCAGAACTTTTTACCACTAAATAACAGCTTCAAATGCACTTTGATGGTACACTGACTTGCACTTCTCTTTCCTTCTATAAGCTCCACATGCCTGTAGAACATATAAAATATTTGAAATGGGTTTGATCTCCCATAAGAGGGACAACACTACTTTTTGACTTAGATGCCTGATCTTTGCTGTTCTTTACCAGGCAACAACTGTCAGTGTTACATGATGGAGCTGACACATTAGTGCTAAAAACTGCTGTTTGTTAAGCATTAACTACAGGCTGGCTCCAGAAGGAGACCCCTTTAATGCATTTTACTCCCCCATTAGGTTTTAGTCATGCATTTAAGGGAAAATGGTGGGAAAATATTGAGCACAGAAACCTTGTCGTAGGCTGTTTGATTGAAAAGTGATCATTGAAGGGTGTTGGTGTAAGTCTCAGCAGATTGGTCATGGCAGTGGGTCCACCCATAGCTCACAACCATCAGCAGTACTTTAGACTACGCCTCAGTACTGTGTGGGAGCTAGCAAGATGGTGACAACAGATGATACTATGAAGACCTACAAATTTGCATGGAAACTGCATGTTGCTGAATGCAATGGAAGTTCTCAAGCAGGGATTCAGTTTACAACTTTATCTCCCAAAAATAACTGTGTCTCATATACTGGTGCAACTCATAAATCTGGATTTCTGGTTATTATTTTAGTCGTAAAAAATAACAACAGTTTTTGCATGATATACACCGGAGTGATTAATGTGCCATATATGTACATGGTAATATTTAAATGCAAAGCAAGGTATTTTACCCTAAAGTCCAGCTTCCTCATTAGGTTACAGTGAACATTTTAAGACAACAGTGGTGTGTCTTTAAGATAAATAACTTTGTGGTATGTTGGTTTGAATCAAAGGTTCCCACACTTCAAGACGAATGACCACAGCAGAGGTGGCGGCGCAACTCCATGTGAACTGGTTGCAGACAGAGCCTCACAAAAATCAGTGGAAGCTCAGTTCTTGTACTTTTGTGGGGTTCCACATCACATGGCCAAAACAAGTGAAACTTGGAAGAGCTGTGCAGCTGCACAAAAACTGCACATTGTGGACTTGACTGAATGCCATTGAAATCATCAAGTGGTCAAACTGGTGAAAACCTCTGGGACTTTTCCAAAAAAAAGACAGAGCACTATAGTCCAGGATGACTTTTATTACAGATAACCTGGTTGTTACAGTTGATTCCATCTGATTCTACCCGCAGCCTGTTAAAGAAACCCACTTTATCGAGAGAAAAAAATAAAAATAAAAAACATTTTCCCATGGAGTGTCACTTGCAACAAATTTGTGTGTGCACCCTTTTCCATTCTGCCATCATGACTTTTGTTAACCTCTTTTGTGATCACTGTTATACAGTAGCTGCTTCTTCTATTATCATTCTCTATAACATCTGTAATCTTAAACTGTCATACCAGGTCTTATCAATTTAAACCTACAGCCCAAATCATGTCCTGTAAAGGTTATTTTACCAAACACCAGAAAACAAACCCTCTTTCTAAAAAAAATCAAATATACATTTCTGTGAACATCTTCAGCACTGTTTCTTTCTCCACCCCCCTTTCCTTGCTGCTCTCTCTCTTCCTTCGTTGCTTTGAAGGGTAACCTCTGTGGAATGTGCTTCGTTAATCTCTCCTGACATTTCCCTGTCTTCCTTTGCTGCATTCATCTCCTGCTTGTTCAGTCAGTTAAGCCAGAGGAGTCCGGCCAAGCCAAACATTTGAATCTCAAAATTTCTCTCTCTCATTGCTAAACCAAGTCAAAGAGGGGAAAGTTCCTCCTCATATGCATTTCTCAGAGTGTTTTGATGTCAGACACTGAGCAGTCGTCTCTTTGCGAGATGTCTACAGCTGCTGCAGAGCAATGCACCACTTAAGTGGTTTTGTTTCTGTTCAATCTTAATGGTAAAGGACTGCTGAATACATAAAGACACTTAAGCATGTCTACAACTGTAACAGCAGACTTGTTAACTAGAGACTGGGGCCCACACAGTCTCCTCTGAGGCTGAGCACAACACCTATCAGTGGTAACATATTCACCCCTGCACAGACTTAGTAACTGCAGCCCTTCACCCCTCTACACTGGACAAGTGTGTCAGTCGCAGGTGACACTATTTGAGCTCATGTTACTGAGTGTAAGAGTGTCGCTGAAGACACACAGACTGGAAAAGTAGCAGGTACAATCTCTATCCAGGAGCAAACCATTTGAGGTAAGCCTCAAAGTCCAGAGTGAAAAACTCACAGACTATATTCCCATAATACCTCTGTGTTTTACTCGTATCACCCATGGGACCCAGTTCTAACTTTAGATGTAAAGTTTGTTTGTCAGCAGATGGTAACACAGAAAATAAAACAAAGAGAAGCCCAGAGGTATATTCTGTAAAAGTGTGGCTCTATTTAAACCAAACTTTAAGTAACATCTGTGCTTCTTAAGTGATGGAACAACATCAAACTTTGTTCATGATGGTCTTTGCTTATGTCTTCAAGATCTTGTTTCGAACAAGGTATTCTGTATTCCTCCAACACCCAGGATCAGCTTGGGGATCTTGGAAGGGATATATAAAGTTTCTCCCTTTGATTTTCATAACGATTATTTTTGAAGGGGTCCTTTAAAGGGGCAACGATTATACAAACAAAGATTAGATGAGGGGCTGCAAATTAACCCAGCAAGATGTGGTCCAATATCTGATTTCTCTGAAGCAAGCTTCCACACCACTGAATCGAGAGGTGATTCTGACCTTGTCTTAGAGATAAAGTATTTAACAGGAAGTCTGCAATACCACCAAGGGATTTGAGTTAGACATAGTATTTCAGGCATCAGGGAAGATCAGAAAGAGGTTATGAGGTCTGATAATGTAAAGTGTTATTTATGGCTGTTTAAGCTCAGGACATATGTTTTTCAGAGAGAGACCCTACCCTACCACGCACAGCTTAACTGTCAAGGAGAGGATGTATTGCCAAGACACTGAACTGTTGGAAGTTGGAAGTTCAGTCATACACTCAAAAAAATAAATTATGGCATGGTTTATTTTTTTAGTATTTACATCTATTTGATTTCATTTAAATTATTTCATTTTTTTATTTATTTATTCAAATTTCAGAAAATCTGCATATATTTGTTAATTGTGATAACTATTCAATTTAATCAATTATAGTTTCAATATCACGAGCTGTAGATCAACCAAGATCATTTAATTAAAATTTATGAGATAAAAACAAATTGGATTTATCAATCATGACTACATAAGTCTGTGATTATTTCTTAAAACCACTTTGGGTTTACTGGTATTACTACATAAATTTAATTCTTATATTTTTCATTTAAATTCGACTGAATTATGCAGCACATAAAGTTTATTGGCCTGTATACATTAAATCCAAGTAATTTAAATGAATAAAATATTACATGCCTTAATATTCCTGTTGCTAGAATACAGGCTCAACATGGTGACAAACTGGTAAAAAAGCTGGCACTGTGGTTGGAATTTAGTTGAACTCACTGGAAGATGTGGTGGAGAGATGTACACTGAGGAAGGTCACAGAGTAGCATCACTTGAAATATGTAGTTTTATTTTTAAACCTTATGGAAGAGGTGAATTCCACCCCTGAGCCAAGGTGTTATAGGAAGCCATAAACTGGTTGTATTTTTTGATACAGTAGTTAAATTTTACATTTTAATAAACTGCAAAGCTGCTCCTTTGTCTGTTCAAATTTACCTCAGCCAGTCGCTTTCCTCAGGTTTAAAGATTGGCTCTGCTTCTGAGTGAAGTTTCCTGCGACTAAAATTCCAATCCACTCCCATTTATATGCATATTTTTAAGCATTTTTTCAACGGAGAGTCTCTAAATGTTTGAAAAGCACCATAATCCTCCTTTAAAAGCCACTCATTCCATTATGAGGGCCAGGTACCACACGTGATAAAGCTGCTGCTGCTGCTGCTGCTACTTAAAACTGCAAGATAGTGTGACCGAGGTATGTTTCTTTATTTACATAATTCTCAAATATGCTCTAAATGAGGGAATTTCACCAATAGAGTATATAGAAAAGATTAAAATTAAAACTATCTATTTATAGCTCTGAATATGTGGATTAGTATCAGTGCTATTATTGGCGCTTGGATGGCATCCATGCTGTGGGCAGAGCGTGACTGATGGAGTTTCACCATTTTTACGATGAGGATGAAGAGCGGCGCTGTCGGCGGAATCAGAGTACACTTAAGCCTCTGCCCTCACTTTGACTCCGTCTTTTGCCAAGTAAATTTGTCTAGATGATGTGACAGTGGACTGCAGCATGTGCTACATAGTATATCATCACTTGTAATAGGACGAGGTAGGGGGATGAATACAGGGAAACTATTTAATCTTAGCTCGACACTAAGATTACACATTAGCTCATAATACTGTCAACAAGTAAAATAGGCCATGTTTTCCCTACACCTGTGTTTCTGTACAGTGTAGACAGCAGTTGAATTATTTTTCCTGCCACTATAGTCTGGTACTTTCTCATGGCTGATTAACACTATCAGGTCTTTGTGAATAAAAAAAGTCTAAGCATGCTGTTTTGTTTTTTTGTTTTTTTGTTTGTTTTGTTTTGTTTTTTTTAAGTTCCATGACACAACTTTTGCTGTAACTTGACTCTAAATAAACCAAAACAGAATGATTTATAGGTTTATGGTAATCTACCATAACTCTGGTTTTGTTTGGTCTATTAACACACTGGTGTATAGTTTAAGGTCTTCACTTTTAAGACAAGTTGAAATGGAGACTCAGCGAGGCTCCGTCTTGCAGCTACATCCGCTTACATAGGTCATGTGATTTTGATGCTCAGGAGCATCAATCGACTCCAGAGAGTTAATAAAATAAAATAAAATTAGACTAGACACACGCAGGCACACAGCAATTACTTACATTACTGATAGCCAGCTAGCAAAATCAGTCAAAGCTTCACAAATCTGGAACATCAGTCTGTTCTGATGTTCTGCTGGTGGTGGTGTAGTGGTCCGCACCGTCCACTTTTTGAAAACGCTTCGGATATCCTTTTTTTTTTTTTTTTCATTTAAAATTTGCTGTGGAGGTGCTTGACTAGATGCTGGTAGTAGAGCAGAGGAGTAGTTACAGCCACTAGAGGGAAACACTTTATCTGAACAGAGAAGGCTACAGGCTGCTTTACTGCGCATGCTGCCACTCTCTGGTGTATTCAAGTACTGCACATTAAACTCAGACCAGCTTAGATCTGAGATCCAGGGCTCTTGAGAACACATCCAGGGCTTGAGCCCAAGTTGACACCCCCTAAGTCCGCCATTGTAGGGCTCGTAGAAGCACTGTGGTCCAGCTGTACCAGTTTGATCCAGAGTCTGGATATTTTGTGTCTGGATATTTTTCTTTTCACTTTGTTTGTGTATTGGTACACAGTGACTTACATGAAGCTAGGTAACACTAGCTCCTAGTCTGTGGAAACAGACTTCTGTGCTGCTTCATGCAGTCAACAACAAAGCAACTGCCATGACTTGCTCCTACCGTCACCATTTCAAACCAGCGTTTGCAAAGGAGGAAAATGGGGTCTGAATGGAAATTTTTTTGGGGGCAGGACAAACATCTTGGGCAGGGTCACCAACCTGGAGGGGAGGAGTTATTGCCGTCCATGACGTCATGGAAGGCGATAGTTTCAATCTGCTTGTTTGAGCAGACATTTTCTGAAAGGTAGAACAAGCAAGAGAAGGAGAGGATAGCATTCTCTCATTTTGGGGGGGTTTGTAGACAGGCTGAAGAAGCATATCATTGTTACAAAACCGTTCTAAAGCGAATTTTGCATAATACGGGACCTTTAAGAATGGCAGATGGGTCAAATACCAGACAATTACGATGTGAGATGATATTGTTTATTGTTTAGTTTACTGTGAAAATAAAAGATGAGCACATGTAAGATTACATGTAAGGGAACACAAATTGCAATCACCTATGGTACATTAAATTTACAGTATTTCAGTCTTACCCCTTTGACTGTGGCCTCTCATGATATAGAGCTCCTCATTCCCCTAATGTAGAGTTGAGAGCTCTATGTTCTTAATATACTGACCAGGAATGGAGCAGGAGAGATGTTTGCATATTTGCATGACCTACTTTTTGTTTTTGGCTGCTGAGCTAAAGCTACTTGGGGGGGGGGGGGGGGGGGTATATTCAATATGTTAAATATTTCAAAGGATTTCTTTTTTTGTGAACCTTCAAAAAAAGAATGGTTAAACATTTCCAGCAACTTTCTATTCTTTTTTTCTCCATTGTGTTTTAGCAGGGAATAGATCCTGACAGAAATATTCTCAGTCTATAATTATTTCAGCATTACAGAAAACAACTGAAAACTCTGTCAAAATATGTCGTCCTGGATCATGTTTTTCAAGAATTTACTGGGTTGAAGAAAACATCTTGCAGGTTTGTCAGAAAAAACAAGCTCATTATATCTGGATTGAGGAAACTGCATCTCTCCAGTCTCAACATGAAAACAGAGTTTTGACAGTAAATTGCTGCACAAAAAATTTATCCAAAACAATTTAGAGATCAGGTTAATTATTTAAACCATGTTTCAAGAAAAACATGGAGTACAGATAATCACCCACAGCAGTGAGGACGTCTTCAACCCTTTTAATATCGGCTTTTTGTCAAAACAAGTCTTTTGTAGACCTTTGCATTGACTTTGGGAAAGTTTTTGCTGAATTTTTGTTGTTTGTCTTTAGATATCAATATCAATAGAAGTTGATTTAGTGCTGGTTAATGGGGCAGAAACTCCCCACAACATCTGTTTGAAAAGGAAGCTAGAGGGGAGTTTTCTACCTTTACCTTAACTTTCTACATAACTAGACTTTTGACAACAACGACACTTTATACAGATCAACATAAAAAAAAAAAAGATTTATCCGTCAGTCATTTCTGTAAATGGTCTGTCTATGATATCTTGTTTATCGCCAAAGGATAAACTGATCCTATATGAACATTCCAGCTGGCGTAATATGGCCAGAGTTGCACGTCATCATTGAAGTTCAGTTGTTTTGGTCAAAATTAAGAAAAGCCAGAATAAAAATATATATTTGCCACTTCAACTGGTCTGTGAAAATAAAAACAACAGTTGTTAGCAACCAGCATTGCAGAGTAATATCACATCAGTACCTTATCACAAATATGTAGCAATTTTTTTTATTTTTATTTTTTAATCTATTTCTCCAAACTGTAAACAGGCCCCTGTTGTAACTATAGTCATGTACAGTAAGTTCTGAATGACCTTCCATCATCAGTGACTGCACATAGTTATTTGATGTCTTAAACCCAACTATCTGTGCTGCTGTCACAGTAGCAATTAAAAGGGCGGGTCTAAACACACACATTGTTTTTTGGATCCAACTACAAACCAAGTTCAGTGCATTCATTAAGCCAGAAAACTGACAAGCCTGTTACTGGATGACCTTTTTTGCGATGAACCCTATTCTATAGATTTTAAAATGGTGAACTCTTCTAGCTTTAAAGTCCCACTCTGATGTCTTTTTTACTACTTAAAGTGTTATCAGTGGTCTTTAAATTGTGATAATGATGTTTTTAGTCAAAATCATGTTACCTGTGTCATTTTCAAGGGCTTTACTCCAGCAGAGCTCCAGTAGTCGTGGGCGGAGACAACGCTGCTCTGCACACTTCTCTTCACACTTCTCTTCACACTTCTCTTCACACTAGCTTGCAGCCTAACATTGCCAGTGTAGTAGAAATGGCAAGTAACATAGGAACATATTTAGCTCTCAGACACTAATGTCTTTGGGGTCATGATGAAAGTTAATATAATAATTAGCTTTCTTATGAGCATTGTAATCTGCTAACGCACACACTTGTTCCGCAATTGTCCTCTCTATTTCTCTGAGTCTGGCCTGCAGGGGCGAAACTTGGATTTGTGACGTATGAAATCTCACTGTGTCTGAGCCTGCAAGAGTTTCACAGTGATTTGAATGCAGAGATACTCAGAAAGTTCGCACTTATTTGTCTCATGATATGTCCTGTTGCATCAGAATAGTGTAGCACCGTTTGCAAACGATTTGTTCAAAAGAACCGAATCTTTTAAGTGAACGTACTGAACCGAATCACTTCCTCCAGTGATTCGTTCGTTTTTCACGTCAGTTGAGCTGAAGTGAGAAACAGCATTGCCAGGCCAGCAGCTGGCGAATGAGGGACCGAATGCACTGACACCTAAATCACTTGGTGGACGAATCATGCATTGAACTACACTCTCTGGAATCATTTTTGTCAGACAAAACTACCTTTCACTGCTAAATTGCCACCACAACAACTTGCATACAGTAGGACACAGCGTGTAACAAGTAGTGCATTAAACCTGCAGCATCCTATCATTGCAGCAGTTTGCGAGGGAACAGTGCATGTTCAGTGTGAATTCTTCAAAACGTCTAGTGAACGAATTACTCACTGATCCCAATTTACTGAGCAGACCTAGTAAATGGACAGTAAACTTGAAACATCATGACTTATAAACAAGTTCATTTTTACAAACCTGTTTGCCAAAGCAACACAGCCAAACACTCTCGTCTCCCAGTCCCAGAAGCTATGAATTGAAGTGAATCCTGAAATGTTCTGCTGTGTATCAGTTCAGGAGGTCGCAGTTGCAGGCTTCTCCCTCCAAGCGCTAAATGATTCAGCGATTTGGTGAATTAATCTTTTGAACAAATCTTTTTAGTGAACTGATTCTAGTGTTTCAGTACATCTAAAAGAACTGGCGTGCCCATCCCTACATCAGAAAAATGTCATATATACGTGTAGACAACAAGAAAAACAGGATTTTCATCAGAGTGGGTCTTTAACAAGCTGCCCAAAGTGTCACTTTGCCTGATATGAGTTACCAACAATTCATACAGTATCTATTTCACTGCTTTTACACAACCATTGGATTTTTGACTGCTGCTGTCTTTGCTTACTTTCCTTCTGCTTGATCCCTGACTAGCATTAGCTACATGAGCCACTCAAACTGTATTTAGGCCACTACACACTGTCTATTAACTTTATGGTTGGTGATGTCAACAACATACTAAAGCAGATCCTCTTCACATTACATGACCATACCAGCAATATGTTTCTAAGCAACATGGCTCAGCTAGTGCACCAGTTTGGTGAAACAGAACACCGTCAAGAACACTCAAATTTTACTGAAACAGCTAGTTAGAATATTTTAATTCTGCAGAAGTGCATTATGAATGCTGCTCAATTGGAATCATCTTTGGACTTTTCTATAGCTGCTAAATTCATCTGTCTTTTAGCACCCTTTTATAAATATTACAAGCATATAACAATACTTGTATTCATCCCACCAAAGGCAACAGCTGAAGTTCCATGTAATGTTCTCCGTGAAACAATTGCAAGGGTAGGGATTCAACTTCCTGAGACTCTTGTAATAATATCAGGACACTTGGACACTGGATATTTTGTGTCTGGATATTTTTCTTTTCACTTTGTTTGTGTATTGGCATTGTATTGGCAAAAAACAACGGTGGTGGACGGCTCCTCACACTTTGCTGCAAAACGAAGAGATTCCGAAGATCTTCTGCCATAATCCAGCAGACTTTTTAATTATTCAATAAATGGTAGATCTGATGAGATTCCAGACAAACAAATTTCCCTTTGAGGATCAGTAGAGTTCTTATATTGCACTGTATTTTAATGTATTAATGAGAAGACATGACTGTTTTGAAGACATCTATCTAGAATATAAAACCAGTGTTGGTTAATCTGTGTAATCTGGGATTTATCAGTTTAGATAAGTAAGTATTTGCTTCACTAATATGAGACAGAATAAAATCTGGTCCCACATTTCCTTATCTAACCCAAGACCCAAGACAGGAAGTTTCTGGAAACAGTCCTTGATATGTTTAGCATATTTGGATCCAACCCAAAATTCTTTTGACACAATCCTGATCTGCATTCTCTTTCTGTTTGATCTGGACCCCTGAGCACGTGCCAAGCTCTGCTGAGACCTCTCTACAAAGAAAAAGGTCACTAATAATGTTTCTCCCCCACTGGGACGAGTTGATAAAGCTTTAAAGGTGCTGACATTCCTGTGTTATCCAGCCTGTATGCACGCTGTTACAGTCATGCATTAAGTGTGTTGTGACAGACAACTGAAGGAACAGACACGCAAGCCCGTGTGAGGGATGGAACCACTGTACTGTATATAACACCAGGTTATAGAGATGATGATAAGAATTATGGCTTGTTTGGATTCCAGCAGTGATGTTTCCCTCCCCCTCCTCCCTCTCCTCTCCTTTCCTCTCTGCCGCACATGAGGGAGAAGATTTATGGAAGAACGAGGGAGCAGAAAGGAAAGGATTTGGTAATAAGGCTAGAGGAGGGAATAAAGGGGTGTGAATCTGAAGATTAGATTTTATGGCAGAGCTGTAAACTTTTCTAATGATTCGAATGAGCAGTTATTATGTGAGTAAAGCAGCCTCAATGTGAGGGAACAATTGCTTAATGCAGCTCTAATTTAGGGATGAGGAATCTATGGTGTCGGTAAACAAAGGCGGCTTTAAATACCGTATTAAGCTGTTGTCAAACTTAGCTTTCCATTCATTTCCTTTTGTCTGCTGCTCCAAATAGGCCAAGGCTTTTCTCATATCACAGAGGAAGCTGTGAGCATTATGGGATGGATTGTGGGTGCAATGTTTGGTCTGCATTCAGAGTCTTTGTTAATGATACATCACGGATCAGCTCACTTTCACACTCTCTTTGTCGGACGCCTTGGTGCTGTCGTGGACTTTGCATCTGTTTGTAATCCATCAAGCAGAGAGTGCATACCTGTGGGAACTTGATGATGGCCTTGGTATGAGGTAATGCTACACGGGACCAGTTGTGAGATGTGCTGTTTCAGGGGTTGAGGGGTTGGCCAAGTTGGGGGGAGTTTCAGGATGTCAGCCTCTTTCTAGCCTTCGGCTGACAAGGTTGCAGTGGGTTTAACCTTCGGGTTAACAACTGCTGCCCCATGAAAACAAGGAGGTAGACTCATTTTCAAGGGTCAATTTCCCAAACAGATGGATTTGAACCACAAACTCCAGATATTCATTGTAATCCAGCTGAATATCTGTCCAGCTGATATCCAAAACTGTGTATTTTTATTGCTTATCCTTGGGGCTAGCTTACAAAAAACACAATTGAACTACATGCTTTTGGAGCATCTGCAATACCCAACAGTTCCATTGTTTTGTCGCCTTGTTTGTGCCTGAAGCGTAATACATTTGCGGTGAAGTTGATTGATATGCTTTGATTATTGAATAGAAGAAAAGAGGGAAGAATTCAGCCACATTCTTCCTCAGCCACATTCAAAAGAGGAAGGGCAACAATCGTGATAGCAAAAATGTGTGCTGCCAAGTAGACCAATCACAGGGCTTGCGGTGTGTACTGTTTTGATGTGTAGTTTTATATCTGAGAGGGTGCACGTTGACTTCTGTCTAGGGTACAAGCATAGACTGTATATACTGTGGACAACTTGGTTCCGTCTTCCATCATTATATGAATTTGAAGCCAAATTACTCTCTCCACTTCCTGGAACCACCACTTGCACAGTAGCGTTGTACGCATTCAGTAGGAGAGTCGCTGTGATGACACTTGGCTCAAACAGCGTATCCCCCGGGTGAGCTACACAATCTTCATACCCCCATAGGCTGTATCAGGTGTCAATCATAGAAAACATGAACCCCCTAATAACTTAAAAACAGAGCTGCACAGATAAAAGAGGACTTGAGCACAAACCAGTCTTACAGTAACTACATGTCGACATCGCAACCGGGGGGAGAAAAATTGATATTCTGTGTAATACATTTTTTAAGTTTGTCCACAGCGCCATAGGGATTGCCAGAGGAGGCGGGATTTATGACCTATACTGCAGCCCGTCACAAGAGGGTGCTGTTCTCCCAGTGGCTGCACTCATCGAGGAGGCAGACCGCGTCCGTTCTATATACAGTCTATGGGTTTATTGGCTTTGTGCGCCAATGGTATAAACCACAGAATAGGCTACAGCACAGGTCTGACACAGAGGCATAAATCAGGCTTAGGCTGTTCCAACATACGCATTGGTTACAAGCTAAAACTACTGAGCGTCAGAAGTGCACACTACAAGAGTTCCTATATGAAACTGGGTAAATTTTTAGCTGCATTTTAGACTCTCCATTATCTTGTGTTAAAATGAAAAGTCTGCCATGATCAGAGACTAGAAGTTTTGGTTTTCTGCAATTTCTAGAATTTTTTCTCAGTGAAATGGTTGAGAAGGTGAGATGATCCTGAGTTCACCTGGTTCAGCTGACAAAATAATCCATGAATACTGAGTGTGGATGTCCCCTTTTCTCCTTTTTAGAGGGGTCAAGCAGAGGTTACCAAAGGCAGACATGCTCTTTCTTTCCGAGAGACGTCTCTCCCTTCCTGGATCCACAAGGCCACAGCCACTCTTCCACAACTATTCTTGTGGCTGTTTATTGGGATGCGTGCTTCTTCCAGATACCCACGGCTTCTTGTGTCCTTAGGCAGAAAATGACAACACACCCAGGGAAGGGGGGGTGTTATATGAGTTTTTTTTTTAACAGCTGATAGGCAGGGGCATAGAGCCTTAGAGCTACCAAAGTGTGATGAAGTTCAAGAGAGGGCCAACGATTTGGGATGGGTGGAAACTCAAGAACAAGAGGAGCTGGTGAGAAGGTAGTAAAGGGCTGTCAGGAACCTGATATGTGTGATGTCAAGTCATCGGATTGGTGACACATTTGTAAGATGTAATGAAATGTAGGGATGGGATTACTGCAGGGATGAAAGACATGGAGAAGACAGAACGTTTGAAGAACCAAGAGGGATGCTTCTTGTTTTTAAGAAAGTCTTATTTTGGAGGAGGGAGAGAGATCTCTGGATTTTCATCAGCCCATGACATAGAATGTGACACCCTGCCTGAAATCCACATGAAAAAAGAGGAGTTCTGACTTTTCACACAATAACAGTGATACCATGAACTTCCAGCAGATTGGCATGGGGAGATGGATGCCAGCGGGGGGAGACAGTGTAACAGATCGAGGGAGGCAATCAGGGTCAGGTAGATAAGGTGTCTGAGGTGCAGAGATACGACGCAAGGTAGTTACACCTGACTTGGCAGAGGTTCCTCCGACAAATCATCCCGCTCATCTCTCAGCGCTTTTATCTATAACCTCCCCCTCTTCATCTTTTTCCTCCTGCCTCCTTTCCCCTCTCTCCTGCATGCATACGTTTGTTTCTTGGGCTTCAAATGAGCAGCTGATTTACAGCACTTTGAGGTCATTGTTGACAGAGGCAGCAGAGCGTATTTCAGACCGACACAAACATTACGACATGCTCGTCAGCCTGTACAGTTTAATGGCACATGTTACAGCGCTGTATCATCGGTCAGTTAATGCTTTAGAGCTGAATTTATTTATGGTTATTACACAAATATGCTCCAGTTATGTGGTGCTGCAGGAATGAAGTTGAAAAACACCTTATAGACCCACAATTTCAAAGCAGCTTGCACTTTACGATTCAGACACATGGTTTCCTGTCACTAAAATTAGCACCACAACAGATGAGCTCACGTTCTGTGTTCACAGATTTTTGGCTTTTTGTAAGATATACAACAAAGATCCTGGTTTTCCGATCAATTAAATGTCCTTTTTTTTTACAATAAATCATCAGAGAAAAACAAATCTAAACACTCGAAAAACAACAACAGCAGACAATGTGCCCCCTAAAAGAGAGACATAATCCACACACAGCTCTTCACCACTACAAGAGAAAACCAACATAGGGCCAATAAAAGCAGGTTTATAAAGCCGTGTGTCTGAAATGACTGTTAAAAGCTAAAGGCTTTACTTAATGGATTAAACTGTTATACCAATGTCATGTCAAGAGATTCCTTAAATATTAAAGAGGCTGCATCTGAAGTGATGCTAGTGTGGATCTGGTTATAGTGCACCAATAAAACACTATTGCTGATGATAACATCTTTCAAAGGCTGCCTTCATTTTATGATGTTATTTCAGAAGAAGCAAATTCATGCACTTTTTTTACTCAGGATAGTTCCAAAATAAGTGTCAGAATTCTTTGTTTTCTTTGCTCTCATCTGAACATCTCTCTGCACTATCAGCTTCCACTTCTTGTTTTTGATCAGTGAGTTTTCAAGTGTGATCCTCCCGGTCGGACCAGCTTACCTGGCTTCTGGGGCTCAGGCATGTCTGTCTGTGTCTGTTTATAGTGATTCCTCTGAACGCGTCTTCCTCCTTCCTTGTCTGTGGATCTGCCTGCACTTTCCTCCTTCATCCCTTTTTATCACCTCATCACTCCCCCCACCCACCCAACCCAAATACAAACCCAAATACACACACACGCACGCATGCACACACACACAAACGCACGCATGCACACATACACACACACACACACACACACACACACACACACACACACACACACAAATACTGCCAGTCACTTCATCCTCCCCTCGTCAAGTGGAACAAGGAAGAAGGAGAGCAACAGAATAGCTGTCACTTGAAACCTTGGCAGGAGCTGCAGAGCTTTGAGGAGGAGAAGACACCATGAGGGGTAAAACGATTCAGAGTCTTAAAGAAGAATCCAGCCCTCAGGGAGAACCTGCCAGCTGATTAACTCATTAGGCCCCACAAAAAAGACATTAACAGCCCCACTGATGTTAATCGGCTCTGACAGTTTGATTGAAGGCTTTGTTGGCAGCTGAAACAGTTGGGATATTTTTCCTGTTTGACATGGGGTAAAACCTGACACTGTAAATATTTTTCAAGTATTTTTCATCAGAAAAATTAAAAAGTTAGACCTTTTTTTCCTCTTTGTTGAGAAGACCATTGTTCTGTACAGTTAAGTGTTCACAATGCTTTACAAAATAAGATGGGGCAGTAACTTGTGAAAATTACATTTTACCACCATGACAACAATACCAAGGAATAGTCAACACTAACACTAACACTATTACACTAACTCTCCAGTAGGTCCTCTGAGCTTGAGGGGGTTCTTTGGATGAATCGCACAGAAACATGATATTTATTTAGAAATGCAGGGTTTTAGGGTTCAAGTCATCTGTGCAAGTTACATGACCTGACAATTTGGATGAAGCTGCTCTGATTGATATATCTGTTTTTTATTAGTGTCATTTGTGGACTATTTTGAGGACCAGTCAAGAACTTATGCACCCTGAATGCAACCCAGGAGTTGTGCTCCATGAACCCTTATGTACAATTTGCTTAACAACAAAATGAAGGAAGTTTCTTTTCCATTATGTAACGTAAAATAACTAATGAGTAAGATGAAACAAAAGCTCCTGTGAGGAGTTTTTGGACTTTCATGAAATACCTTGAAATACATCAGTAACAAGATCAATGGTTCTTTGGTAAGAGGAAATTACTTACAGTGCATCCAGAAAGTATTCATACCACTTCACTTTTTCCACATTTTGTTATGTTACAGCCTTATTCCAAAATGGATTAAATTCCTTTTTTCCCTCAAAAATTCTACACAAAATACCTCAATGACAAAGCGAAAAAACTTTTTTAAGAACATTTTGCAAATTTATTAAAAATAAGACACTCAAGTGTTGCATATGCATAAGTATTCACACCCTTTGCTGTAAAACTCAAAATTGAGCTCAGGTGCATCCTGTTTCCACTGATCAGCCTTGAAATGTTCCTCCAACTTGATTGCAGTCCACCTGTGGCAAATTCAGCTGATTGGACATGATTTGGAAAGCCACACCTGTCTATATAAGATCCCACAGCTGAATGAATGAAAAAGAACGATGAAATTTTGCTTCTCAATAAAAACTTATAAACCATGCAACCGACAGATGTAAACATTTTGTCATTTAAGTTTTTTATTGTCTTTACCTTAACAAACTTAAACTGTTTAACAGCTGTGATCACATGTTGAAAACACTTTTTCTTTCGCTGGACACTTCTGTGCAGCCAACAGGTGATGTAGACTCTATGTGTGACTCCACTAAATAATGTAATGTTGAGCATTCATGGTTTGCAAAGTATCTACGTGCAATCAGGTTGGTTTGAAGGTTGAGCATAAATTAGCTGAAAGTATTCTGTGTCAATAATCCTGAAGGGGGTCAAACAAAATGTTCACCCCCCCAGACACAGAAGGCCCGTCCTGGAGACTTCAAATAAAAAAAAACTATGTGAGATATTAAAACAGGAGCAGAACAGCAGCAGCAGCCTTGCATTCCTATAGGCTCTGACAATCCCATTTGTTCTACAGTAGCAACAGCTGTCAACAGGGTGTATTTTATGGGACTGGGAGGGAACAAGGTCAAAGACAGTAGGAGCTAGGTCGCTGACCTCAGGAGCCCCTGCAACGATTTGAACTTCACAACCCCTTCCAGGTTTTACTGAAGGCACACAGTAAAAGTATTTGCAATCCATTCCAGTGTTTTAAAGAGTCATTACACAGCAAACACAAATTGGTTTTATCATTCATGCTTTGATTCCGTGAGTAAGTGTTCAATTATCCATCCAAACTTTTCCATCCTCAGTTGTCTGTCTTTTTTTATTTGCATGCTCTTTTTACCAGGCCGCTGTAACATTTGCAATAACAATAAACATCTTTGGCACTTTAATTTAGGCAAAAGAGCTAAAGTCAGAGAGAGATGCAGCAATTGAAGAACAGCTATTTCAGGCAAGTGCAACTTGAGATTCAGATGTTCAAGGGGAGCAAAATCCCCTCGGGGAAGATTATGGAGGGCTGTCTGACATAAAAGGTCCTTGAGTCTATTCCACCTAATGTATATTCTAACTTTACATTACTGAATGTTTAAGCTGAATTATCCCTAATATATCTTTTTGATGAATTCACAGTTCATCCCCCGTGATTTATACAGTGATTATACTCTTTGAAAAGGTTGAAATGGTTCTTATATTGTGGATATAAAGTGGATATAGGAGCCTAAATGTAGGTGTCCTACATGATCCGGTGATCCACTGTATAGAGGGTGACACCAGAGTTATTTAACGCCTGAATTAGTTAAGCCTCACTGAAGTACATATTGAGCCAACAGGAGCAGATCCCCTCCACCCTCTTTCTCACGACTGTTACTCATACACTTAGAGATTAAAGCTATCACCAGGCTGCCTGTGTGGTTGGTATTTGATACTTTAAGATATAATTAAATAGAAATTGCCATTCGTTTGTAATGGGAATGGGTGGTAAACAATATGTGCAGACTCAATCAGGCTGAATGAAGTACCAGCATCAAGTAAATGAAAGCACCTCTCGACCAGGAAATCCTTCAAAATACACGTCCAGACCAAAAACTCAAGGAGATGATAAGACCATTAAAAATGCTTGTAGAACCAGGTCTGGGTGATTTTGGAAGATTTCCACTGATGGGGTTCAAATGGGTACAGTTCAAAATAAACCAAAACATAAGAGGCAAAGTCAGGTTAAGCAACTGATATGGCTGTAAAACCTTAAAGATCTGCTGGACCTACAAGTGCTTCAGCTGGTCTGTAACGTCGGTCAGCATCTGCTTATACCACGCTCTAAATGTGATCACAAGTATGTACAGTCAGATTATGAATATGATGAAGAGCTGATACAGACAGATTAGGTTAACTGATTTTTACAATGTGTGACAATCTGGAGATGTCTTTAGGGGGGAGTTACAAGAGTAAGATGGGGTTCAATCAACAAATACATCTCTATCAACAATCATCTCTGTCTGTCATTTCTTTTAGCAGTCAAAGGTTGACAAAAATCTGAGGGTGGAAAATCAGGACAAAGTTCATTGCATAGGCAACCCATCATCAACCCAGCTGTACAACAGTTTGTCCCTCTGACTCAGGAATATCAGCATATTTCCTAAAAACAGTGAACACTTCATCAACGTGTAAATATGTACAAATAACTAAGTGAGATTACAACATGAACTTTGCAGCTTGTTACTGAAACCAGTGTTAGCCTCAGGCACAAAACACCAGATAGAAGCAGAATACATTCAGCTGCTGACGCTAACTTACTTACTGTGCAGTCAGACAGTCCTCCTCTTTATCCTTCTCATCATCATCCTCATTATCCTCCATTTGTGGTAATGAAATGTCTCCACCACATTAGTAATTAGCATTTTTTTCATGACTGGAAATAGATTTATGTGATTGTCACCACTAGCATCTACCACTTTCTCCCAATTCCACATGATAACTAATTTTATGCATTTAAGAATAACCAATGAACTGATTGTTGCAGAAATGGGGGGAAAAAACAGTATTTTGACAGTTATTGTCACTCCTAGACAAGAAACTGTCAGGCACACTTTGATCATACACTTCAGTGATATGAAACCAGCAATCTCAAAGCACAACAAGCAGCAGAAGTTATTATAACTAGGTCTAATATAACTAGGAGCACAAATGAATATAAAAGGTACAGTTACATTTCTCACTGTATGCATGTCACATCCAAATAAGCCTGATTGATTTATTAGCTTATATATAGTTTACATCTGTCCTTTATTATAGATATTTTCATTTCGAATCAGTTTGACTTCAGTCGGACTTATGTGTTTTCTAATACTCCAGTTTCAGTCAAATGAATGCAATAAATCAAGTTTTTGACAACATGTAAGCAAGTTACAGCAAAAGTCATTTTAAACCCTCATTTGAGTTTTTGTGTATAGTACTTTTATCTGAATAGAGTAAATTTGCTCTGTAGCACCATGTCTTGTCTGTGCATAGATCTCAAAAAAAAAAAAACACAGTCTAACCCCCAATTTCCACCGCATCCGAAATGGCTACGAAAAGGCCGTATCCGCCGATCGTAGCTGATCGTGACCATTCAAGTTTATGTGTCAATTTCCACCAGCTTCTTTCAGTTCCGCTGTGGAGTCCAGCGATCCACAGCGGATCACAAGAGTTCTACTTTTTTCCGGACACCAGAGCATGCTGGATAAATTCAAAATAAAACATGTTTCAGGCAGAGTGTGTTTCACTCCATGTAAATGGGCAGGGATGAACAAGTGAAAGGTTTATAGAAAGCATTTCATCCCGATGACACCATGGATGAGGAGACGCTGATTTTATAAGTCTTGAAGTAGATTTCCTCCACTGGGAGGACACAATTTACTGCTTATATAGTTAGCCTATGTGGCTAGAGACAACTTGTTTTCGTGCAATTGTGCTTGAATCCGCAGGTTCCGATAGGAATTGGTGGACAGAGAAAATCGCTGCCATTCCCATAGCCTTGTAGCAGCCGTGTGCTTACCTGTCGGTCAAATAAACAATGACCCTTATCCACCTCTTAGCCTTAACATAATCAAAATAGATATGTTAT